TCTATGTAAGACTATGAAAATCTCGACTTTTTTTTTTTAAATAAATAAATTAGACCTAAAACTTCTAAGTTAGACTATAAGTTAGATATTTTTTACTCACCTAATTTTATAAATAAAAAAAAAGAAGAGTTTTATGTGCAATGAACTAATGGTGCGTTTATTACATACATCAGACTATCTCAGATTGAATTAGCATTAGGACTAAACTGAACTGGCTTGGTATGAACTAAGTAGTATAAGAATTATGAAACGTTTAGTGTAGTGCTGGATTAGGTAGGATTAAATTTTTACTTTTAATTATAAGAACTTCCACTTCATTGTCTAAAAAGGTAGAATACACTCTATAAACATAAATAAATAAAAAGCCAAAGATCAGATATCATGCCGAATACCGAAGAATCAAAATATTGAATTTTCTATCTTTCCCGTCAAAGAGTTGAGTTACACCAATATACAAGGCCAAATTGACAAATAATTGCAGTGAAAACAAAATAAAAAAAATCCAGAGACGGTGCTACATCCCATAAAAAAAAAAAAAATATGATCGAAGAAGTTGCAGAAGAAGAAGAAGAAGAAAAAGAAGAAACTTGGAAAGGATGGAGCAATTTTCTTGATGGATTTGATCAGAAAAAAATTGTTTAGGCGTGTTAAAAATGGTGGGGGAGACCAAATTGGGAGTGGGTATTGGAGGCCTTGATGCGTTGTGGGTTGAAGCATTAGGAATTGAAGCTTGCAAGAGCTTGGCATCCATGGTGGTCACGGCGACAACCGAAGCAAATAGTTGCCCCGATGCCTGTTTCCTCCCAACAATATGCAAATCCAACGCGAATCCCATCTGAGATTCAAAAACAACAAAGCCTAGAACTCGCAGGGGGTGAAGCAGGGAGGAGGAAGAAGCCAGTTTCGAAAATGGATGTGGAAGTGGGGAAGAAGAAGTAAATGTGAGGGGTGAAGCAGAAGCGAAGCAGAGAACCATATATGGTCTAAGCAAGTCCCATGGTTTTGGGGAGGATCTCGCTAATAACTTCTAGCGAGGCCTCTAGTCTAAGCGAGTCCTATTTAGTCTCATTTAAGTTAGTCCTAGCATGGAGCAAACATGTGACTACATTAGTATATAGTCCAGTCCAGTTCAGTCTAGTCCCACTTAGTAAGTCCAAACAACCACACCAATTTTAAGTCACATCAAATTTTAAAAATTATATTAATTTTTTTATTCACTTTCAAGTTTTTGTTTTTGCTCATTATTTTTGTTTCTTTCATGCCCTTCCGCCACCTTTTTTTCATCATCTTATTTTTATATTTTTTCTTGTACCGCAAGCTTAAAAAAATGAAAACTAACAATATGCTTCTAATTCAAATAATTAAGAAAACCTTTAAAAATAAAATAAAGTGTTAGTTTCGATTCTCGTTAAAATTAAATTTAAATCACATTATTACTAATTCATTATGAGGCTCAGTCTACTTCCTTATTTTGATGTATATAATATTAATTATTAAAAAATAATAACAACTACCTTTTTATTAAAATAAAAATGTAAAACATAAGAAATGAAAACGACATAATTCAATAGCTTTTAATTTATTTATTTTTGGGTAAAAACTTTTAATTTTTTTAATAGACCAACAACCATTGGGTCAAGCTGAGATAATAAAATATGACTAGAAATCTTGGTCAAAGGTCTTCAAGGTTGTTGGGAATCAATGGATCATATCAAATTCCCAACGGATCATACCAAATATTGATCCATCAATCAGTAGCGGGTCGACCCATGGGCCCAATGGATCATAACCACAACGCCCTAAACAAAACAAAACGAACTCCGACGTCGTTTCCTGCGGCAGTCCCCCATAAACCTTCCCGTCGTCGAGCACAGTGACCGAGTGACCAAAACCCCCAAAAGCCCGAAGGTTTCACCAATGGCGTCCTGCAAAGTTATCTCTAGGTTGTCCTCCCGATTACAGCCCTTCGCGCGCAATCTGACCAAGACGTTGCCGGCATCCGAGCTCTCTCAGCTCAAATCGAGCTTTCTCTCTCCGGCCTCCGCTCCCATGCGACGCATTTCTGGCCTTTCCAGGTATATTAGCTCCTCCAATACTCATTTCTCGTCTTCGTTTTCTTACGACCTGTTTGGCGTCCGAGAAAGTGTAGGCAATATTTGAATCTCAGAAAGATTTTGTCTTTGTTAGGTTACCACTGGAGTTGGGATCAATGATGCCGTTGCACAGCGCGGTGGCTTCGGCGCGGTTGATATCGAGCTTGTCGATTGACTCCCAGAGCTGGGGATTAGTTCCTCAAGGTGAGTTTTTTTTTACTTTAATTTGATGATTTACGTGCTCTGTAGCTTGTACTTGATATGATGTTAACTAGAAAATGCACACCATCTGCTTGTTTATTTGCCAACTTAATCTAATTGTTAATTGTCGGTGTTTAGCTTCGCGGACTGTCGGATCAGTCTGCCACGAACAAGTTAAATTGTTTGAGCTATGTTGCTTCATGATAAAAGAAGCTGTCAGCTGCATTGTTGAATAGTTGTTCAATTGTCCTCGAGCAATCATCTTAAGTGAAAGTGTGGTTTTGAACTACTCAGGGGACGAAGTTACATAACAAAGTTCAAATTCTGTTTGAAACAAATGAAGTTTTCTTGTTTTGGATGCTCGGCGATGTGGGGTGTTTGAGCTTAGCATTTGCTTTGAATATAAACTCTCTCTATTTGATTGAGTTTTAGTGTTCTAAGTTTCGGATTTAGGTATATATGTGGACTGCATTGGCTATCCGTTGCCTGCCTTCTTATGAGCCTCTGAGTGAGCTTGTGTGGTTAAGCCGAAAGATAACTATCCAGGGGCACACTGTGGTTATTTTCGTTTTTTAAATGGAAATTTTTGGAGCTAGATATATCCTATTGACCAAGAATTTTTCGGAGCCTCAATTCGCTGCCCACTAGTAGTTTATACAAAAATTTTAGGGTGCTCCGTATTTATAAAGAAAAAGAAAAACAGACAAATCATTTTTAAGTCGGAACTGGCATGCCACTCTCTTTGTTCTTAAAACTGGACATGCGCATATATTCACACCTGCACACTCTACCGAGTTGTAACAATGAATTCTTGTCATCTTTATGTATAACTATATCAATCAAACGATATACAACACTTAATGAAGCAATGGGTTAATTGCAAGTAAGAACTTCCTTGTTTTGCTAACCGTAAGTTCGCCTTACATCAGCCTCGATATAATCACGTTTGGCCATTTTCATGTGATAATATCAAGTACGAACTCTTAACACTTTCTTCTTTCCACATATTTCAGGGATTTCAATGCCTTTATGACAGTGTCTCCCTGCATCAAGTGGTCTCAGATACACTTCGTTCACGTTAGTGACATAAGATGTTGAACAGTTTATCGGATACCCGTGACTGTCGATTTTCATCCTTTTGTTTGAATGTCTGCAATGAGGCTGGATGCTTTTTTGTTTATATATAATGCAAGATGTGCCCGATATTGTGTACTTATTTTATCCACGAGGCCGGATGCTTTCTTTCTTTTCGGTATTCGAATTACAAAGTTATACATGACAATATGGCATTGTAAGGTGATTCAAGTTCCATTTCAAAGCTGTTCGAAAAAGTTGCCTATCTACAGAACCCTTCTCTCCCAGTCAGTTACTTGTGGGACAAACTTTGAGAGGATAAGATAAGGAGGCCCACAGTACCTTGCCATTTGCTGATAAGCCGGTGTTTTTGACGTTTAAGCTTGTAAGAAATAAATTGGATAAAAGATAGCTAGTTATTTCGTTAGCCTCAGGGAATTTGCCACTTTACCATCGCACTGGTAAGCAGCCCTGTTCAGGAACTTCGTTGAGGCATTAGGGTAGCGACCAGTGAGCCCCAAACTTATTCAACAACTGAGAGGTTTCCCTTTGCACGCGTGGATGGTGGGGTTGGCTGATAGGGTGGTCATCCTCTTAAGGCCACAAACCTTCCCCGTTTGTTTATGGTTGCAATTTATGGTGAAACGTGATGGGTACATGATATTTGATTTAAGTAAACTCAATTTGATGCTCGGGGCTTGTAGTTTACGTAGTTATGATAATTTAACTCTGCTTTCGAGAGCACATGTTTGATTCGTCTCTTATCAATGTTGGATATTCAATTTGATACATTGACCCTTTGAATGAGAAAGTGTAACATATTTACTTGGACATTGGAATGGGTATCAAAATTATTTTAATTCTTGACACTGCCCTTCATTCTTGTTCCCTCTCAGCTGTATTCAGGACTTCTTTGATTTATGACTTCTCTCTTACAAGTGAGTGGATTAGAGGCAATTGATCTCATCATCATTTCTTTTCTCTCAGGTTTCTGACTTTCTTAATTCATGACTTTCATTCTAAATGGTAACGTATGCGACTAGTTTAAGGTAATCCAGATCAAATCCAACTACATTGGGAATCCAATAAACCTTGTAAATTGGCTTTAATCATCTTATAATTATCTTACAATTAGCTTGTAATTATTCCTGATAGAAAATCATTTTGTCATAATCTCATATAAAGAATGTTAACAATCATACCATGCAAATAATACAGCCGCTGAAATCAAATATTTTAAACATATTTAAATGTAGGGGGTATTCTTCTCATACACTCGAGCGATGATAATGCTCAGCATTCTATTTATCAACGTTGAATGAGTTTAAACATTGAGATTTGTATCTATTGACTACACATATTTTAAAATTTAAACTTATCTAACAGTAATAAATAAGTTGATGAACATCATCATCACTTAAAGATGATGAGCAAAAATATTCTCTTAAATATAAAGCACATGGCAATCGTACCTTTGATTCACTTGTCAGTCACTAACACCTTTTTAGCTTTTTCATTTTAAACACAAGATAAACAGAAGAAAAAGGCAAACCAACACAATCACGGGCTGAAAACTGAGCTTTTGTCATATTTCCCTTTCTCGATAACATGCTGATGCTGCTGATCGTGCCTTCGAGAATCTCTATCTCTCTCTCTCTCTCTCTCTCTCTCTCTCTCTCTCTCATCATCTCTACATATCACGAGCCTGAATAGTCACAATTCTCCGCTTCTCCTTCTTTTGCTCAAAACAAAACCAACCCCCACCACCATCCTCTAAGTTTTCAAGTTCCAGGCATGGAGGAGAAGATGCAGAACAACTCTAAACCCTCCTCGGAGCAAGATGCAGAAGCAGAGTCTAAGGACGTTCCAAACATGGAGGAGAACATGCAGAACATCTCTAAACCCTCCTCAGGGCAAGATGCAGAAGCAAAGTCTAAGGACATTGGAAGCTTTCGTAACTCTCTTCAGGTACGTTTTCTGAACTCAACTTTAAAACTATAACCATTTCGTATTTTGTTTCAGGTTTTTAGCGGCGGAGGAAGAATGATGTCGGGGATGTGGAAGAAATGTTTGTGAAATAGTACACAAAACAAAAACTAAAAACCGAAAACAATTTTAAGTTGTATTCACTCCCAAGATTTTCTTTAATGCATTCTCTTTTGTTTTTCAGACGAAAAACAAAATGTTTATCAAATATGACCTATAATTAATGTTATTCATACCATATTTTTGTACCACATTTTCATACCATCTTATGTGGCATTTGATATGTACAACCACATCATTTAAATTAATCAGATTTTTAAATTTAGTTTATTATTTAATAAACTAAAATTAAGAAAAATTAGTTAATTAAATGATGATTGTGGTATAGAAGGAGTCTTTCTCCTTCATTTCCTTGGGTTTTGCATATTTTTCAAATGATGTGGCTGTCCACATCAGATGCCACATAATGTGGTATAAAATTGTAGGTATAAAAACATAATACGAATAACATTACTCTTGTCGATATTTCTTTTTTGCTTTTGTATTATTTTATTTCTTATTAAAGTGTCAAATTCCTTCGAGTTGTTCACATGTAAGCTTTTGATAACATTGAACTTCAGAGATAAACTACGTCAAACTCAAGTACTTTAGAAAATCAAAAACCGACTTTGTAACGAGAGAAGGGCACCAACTTATCGGTTGTCGGGGTGTTTTTTCAAATTTACTGAATTGTTTTTGTTTGTGTGTTGAAGGAACTGAGAGACCTGCGCTCTCAACTTCACTATGCTGCAGACTACTGCGAATCAACCTTCTTGAACACCAAAGAAAAGAAAGTGTGAGTCCTCTAAACAAACCTAAATTCCAAATATCTCCATATAATGACCATTTTAGCCCTCACCCCATGAACAAGAATTCAACATTTTATCTACTTATTTTAATTTTCCAGAGTGATGGAAAACACCAAAGAGTACATATGCAGAGCTGTGGTGACTGTTGTTGATCATCTCGGATGCGTCTCCGCCAACCTTAACGGCATCGTTTCCGAAACTAACGCATTTTCGGAGGCTGAGATTCGAATTGATTGCCTCAAACAAGTTGTTATTACCACCTTATTACATTAATCAAGCCAGCTTATGTTAGTTAATACATTAATTTACGTAATTGCATGAACCACTAACAGTAAACTTTGCTTTGTGGTCAGAGGATGTTCTTATGTGAACAATACACCCACAAGTTTGCTCTGCCTAGAGTCCGATGGAGGGAGATTATCCCGCGGCATAATGCACGTTTTTTATCGGCAGGTAAAATCCGAAACTGCTGTGCTACTTGCAAACATGTTCATAAACTCCACTTTTCCCACTTTCTAATTCTTTGTTTTGCGATCAGCTACCAGAGAAGCTGAGAAACCCAATGAAGATTCGAGGTAAAGTTTTTTGTCTTTATAATTTCATAGAATTTTTTTTAGATTATTTGGCTGCAGGATATTGTGCATTCAAAAGAAATTTTGAATTTTATGAATTTGATCCATGCAGGGATATTCCTAGAAACCCAGCCTCTCATAAAACCACTGACAAGCAAGAATCTGACAGAGATGTAGCAATGCCGCTTTTCTTGTCCACATCGTCTCACAAACCGTCTTTGTCCAAGGGCGAAAACAATTCAGCTTTAGGTAACATGATCCATATAGTTTTATGAACTATATATATTTAACATAAATTAGCATATTTAATGAGCCATTCTCAATGTTTAACATCGATTTGTTTTCTGTAGTGCCGGTTCATGATGGCCTCTCAATCCTGTCTAGGGGTCCAAACCTTACCTTTCACTTCCAGGTGGGTTCTACACATACATAATGTGTATTACATGATAAGTTCTAAAACTAATTTGTCTCCCATTCCTTCCATTATAGTATGTCTCTTCTTGTGTTGTCTTGCAGGAATCTCGGAAGATTAATGGACGCCTCAAGAAATCTGGGCACGGTAATGACATCTTGTCGCTCATCAGACGAGCCAAAAGAAGAGTATGAAAAAGAGAAGAAGCTATTTTGTTCCGCATTGTAGATCTCATCTCTTGCTAATAGCAGTAGATTATCCCGAAGCTTCTTTGTTTCTTTCTTTTTCAGTGGTTAGGGATGATTGTTATGGTTATGCAAATGAAATTGCATTTTACGTGGTGAGTTGTATCTTCAAAGTTTGTGTCCCTTCGGTTGCATAAAACTTAAACTGAGTGCAAACCAAGCACCAATATCCGGAAGTATGTTTTCAATACGATTAACTCCAACATTGCCAATTTCGCATAGAAGAGTGCATTGGTTGGTAAGTATTCGGCATTTCAATCTCACAAGGTTTTTCTCCACCGGGAGACTCTGTCTGACTCTTGCCACCAACCAGAAAAGGGTTGGCAGCAAAAGAGGGGCGGTTCTTGTGGTGATGGTTTTATTTTTATGGTCTAGTTGAGACATTTTAAAGTTTTATTCGAGTGATAGTCTAATCTAAACTACAGGAATAAGGATTCAAACTTGGTTGCAGAGGGGGAGGCACACTGACTTAGCCAACAAAAACTGTGATCTAGTTGAGACCCGCGAACAAAACTTTTCGGATGAAAAAAAGGAAAGAAGATCATAGAACCTTTGAGAAAAACTAGAATACATGTATTGTTGTTCCTAAAAACCAGCAAAGATCAGAAAAAGCACATCCCAAATCTCAAATGCATCAAAACCCCACTAATTACAAACACTCCAAGAGACTTCCCAATCCTTCAATAGGATGGAAGCACAAGCACACTACTTAGAAATACTGACAAGTTAGTATCCTAGGAAGTATTTCTGTATTTCTCTCTGTCTATCTGCCCCTCTCTCTCCTTTTTCGTCTCTACATTCTTCAATATTTTCCGATCAATGCCGAGCCGTTGGACTTCTTAGACCGCTTAACTTCTCAAGCTTCTCCAAGTATGAAAATCTCTTGGTGTTTATGCTAGCAGGAGGTTTGCTCATAATCTTTTCACTGTCTTCTTTGAAGTAGCTCTGCTTGTTGCCCACTGAGCTATCCTTCTCCATGTCATTCTCTTCCGTTTCAGCATTCCACCCCATGAACTCAAACAGTGTCTTTGTTGGTGTTGTGTCTCCGTCTTCCCTAGAATCCATTGAATGTGTCATGTTTGATAATGATTTTCGAGCTTGAGTATCAGCGTAAAGCACATCTTCAATCATGGACATGATTTTGAAGGCCAAGCTTTCGATCACCCTCGAATAGCTCTCTAGGATAGCGTACCCTACATCCTGCATAGAAATGAAAGAATCGCGGTTATTAGATCTGAAAACAAGTTAACAAACACAAGAAGCAAATATATGTTTGGAGTTTAGCTCTTTACCATATTGAATTGAATTTTGCTTATGTCAAGTGCAGATTGTGGGATTCCTGGGAATTTCTGCTTCAATAGGAGCAAGATCGTCTCTACTCTCTCTTCAAAGAGCTCTCTCTTCTCGAAGCTTACGGCTGAACCCCACGAAGACTTTCCACTCTTGTGGTTCATCTTTTGCTTCCAAATCACAATAGAGGCCTCGATCCTGTCTTTCAGGTCGAGAACTTTGTGCTCTGTGGACAAGTCCATGGAGTCAAAGAACTCCACAGGATCAAAGTGGTCCACTGTTATGCTCTTATAGATCGAATCACCGAGGCTAGCCCTACCGTTCTGTCAAAAGAAAATATAGTCAACCGCCCTGTTCATAAGAAAAACAAAATCTTCGAGACTAATTAGTGAGAGTGCTATGTGTAATACCTTGGGAAGAGATTCAATGTAGTTTTCGGGGATATCCATTTCGGCTAGTACTTGCGCATTGATGGCCATCGCTGCTTTTAGTACTTGGTTCATAGAGTCCTTCTGAGATTGCATCCACCTTCGGCATTCATCTGAAAGCCCTTCGGGGGGAACTTTAACATTGGGTTTCCACCATTTCTCATCATTTCTCTGGGAATTATCCTTTTCAGAATCTTGGGCACCTTTTTTCACATACCAGAACTCACTTGGGGTTCCAAAGCTATCCAGGTGACCCTGTTTTGTATAACCGATTAGCAAAAGGTGTATAATTCTGATATTCTCTAGCTAAACCAGAAAGTCTGTAAGGAATGAAGGTACTTACAAGAAGCATTGCATCGAGCTTGCGCAGGGCAGGAACGTTCATGTGCAGATCATTTCTTTGCCGGGTCACCATTATCTATCAGATTAGAAAGAAAGAAAAATTAGAATCCTGCAAGTTTTGGAATTTTGAACTATGAGAAAATTTATGGCACAGACAAAAGTGAGAAGGAGTTAAAACCTCCATGTTTGTTCCATTCTGCTGCGAAGGGACGAATTCAACGATGTGATCTGTCACAGACAAAAGCCAGCCTATTTCATTCATCCACCGTGCTTTTGCATCCGAAGACATAGGCTCTAGTTTCCTTTGTTCTCCGAAAACAGATGCTGCATTGTCATAGAAACAAAGGAGAAAGCAAAGAACACGGAATCAGAATTACCCTCATTTGGATTTCGTATTTTAATTCGTAAAATCATTAATGCAATTGCGGTGAGGCACAAAGTTATACCTGCTAGGTTAGTTATGGCATTTGATAAAGCCAACGCGGAAGAGACGCCCTTTCCACCACCCGACATATCTTCCCCCAAAAGCAACTTAGAGAACCTTTCCTTCATCATTTCCATATCTAAACACACAAAAATATTCAGACAAATTATTAAAATGATCTTTCATCTAGCTAGCATTGTGACAACTGACAAGAAATATATATAGCACGTAAAAATTATATATGCAGCAAAATATTTACCTGAAGGCCTCTTGGATTTAGGACTCTTCATCTTTTCGCCTTCATCTGCACCGGAAGCTACACCCTTATCGCGATTAGGTCCCCACATTCCTTGTGTCTCCACCGGGCCGCCTTCTGGTGTGGTCTTGGGACTCAGTAACTGAGCGGTATCCCTATCTCCCTCGCCGTCCTGCCCATTCTCAAAGGTCGAATTCTGAAGGTGTCTCGGAATCTCAAACATTCGTTTCAACTGGAAAGATCTTGTCTTCTGCATTGTTTGTTGTTGGGATGTAAAAGCTCGGACCATTGTGGAACTCGAAGACCTTAGATTATACAATCTAAAGTTACAGCAAAAATCTTAAAAGTCCGATGAGATTATTGGGAAGAAAATATAACAAAGTTTGAAATATTTCTTCACCTTCCTTTCTTGGGAAACAAACAACAACGGTGTTGTTGTGTGGGAGAAAGGAGGAGAGGTTTTGAGGGGAGATAGTTTGTTTTTCTTCTCTCCCAACAGAGAGGGATCGAGAGATGTTAGAAGATATGAAAAGGGTTTTTTGGAACTTTTGTTTTTCGACTTCGAAATGTTTGTTGAGATCGGGAAAAAGAAGCAGAGGTGATTAGTGCAGTTTTCTGTTTCTGCAGCTAAAGAACGTGGGGTGCATAAGTTTTGGAGAAACCAAAACAAAATGTAGGGTTGACGTAATTAAGGTGAATTAATTAAGATTAATGGTGTTTGTGTTTCTTGGGGTTGACTTAATTAAGATTAGTGCTTTTTTTTGGTGGGGTTGATTGTGTTTCTTGGATGAAGGGTGGTTAATTAATTTTTTTTTGTTTTTTTGAAGTTTGTTTTTATAGAGGGATTGGTGAGAATTTTGATTAACACTTTCTATACTCTCAATCTACGCGTTTTGACGGTAAAAATGGATAGCCGGTGGTTGTACATTACTATTTTTGACAAGCAATGGTCATCGCTAATTCTAAGCTAATTTGACTGGTTTTTGCTAATCATGATTAGTTTACTCCCAAGTATCAAGTATTACGGCAAATCTCTTATGTGCTCTTTGGTATTTTCCAATCACCCTGTGACAGAATAGTGTAACGTTAATGTTATGTGATGTTACTAATTGACGGGTTGTTAATATGGGTGGACAAGTTTATATTGTAGAACATGGTATAGCTAGATAAATTAAGCATATGTTACAATATCTGTGAATTGATAATACAATGCGCGAAGGTGACAGTTACATTGAAAAAATCTCATTTGTGTCATCCCATGTGGTTTTGGAATCATATTTTTATGTTCGTTCTGACTCACATATGATTATTTAGTTTAGCGGCACTCAGTCTCTACTTTGTTGAAGTAGATTCTAAGTTTACGAATCACGAATAACAATTACCTTAAAAGAAAAACAAAACGCTCAACATCACTTCTTTAAAGCCTACGACCAAGTTAATCAAGTGGCATCGATTTGCACTTTGTTGGAAAAAAGTACGAGTTCAAATCTCTCGAACGATTAATGTTTAGTAATAGAAAACCTTGCAGTTATGGTATCATGATTCATGTGTAAACACATGATTATTGCTTCATTTGCTTCTTGTAATCATTTGGTTCTGCAGTGCTTTGCACGCAAAGATTAGTGTGCGTAAAATTATGAAAGTGTTCTGACCGTTTGTTTCTGGTTTTTTTTTATTTAAAAGTTGAAAGACGTGATGGCCACAACACGAACCGCCATTTTAATTTCGATGTCTAAAGGAGCCTCACCAGAAGAACAACTGGCGGCAGGCGTCTAATCTAACAAAGTCAAGCATTAGGACTCTTCTGGGTCGCCAAAGTTGAAGCCAAGGAATTAAAATTTGTTTAAATAATGGTGAAACTCTGTTCCAATTGCTCCACCAAATAATTTAGCATTCTATATTCCATTAATTAAGAACGTGAACACAAGAAAAACATTCCACTAATTAAGTCCAATTATCAAAAAAAAAAAAATCCAGAATCAAGCCCAACAAACCCTAACAAAGGGCCAAAAAACTGGGGATAACATCCAAATTTCATCTTCGGACACATTTAATCTGGCACATCTTCACCTGAATTTTCAAGTTTCTTTGGACATCCAACTAAAATTTAAAATGTTCCTAAATAACCTAAAGCTACAAATTATTTAGGGAAAAGGAAAAACAATCAAACCTAAACGATCTTCAGTAACTCAGTCAGACTCTGGAAGGAAGAGGGGAAGGGAGGGAAAATTGGATGTTATGGTGGTAGTGTAATTAAGAAAAAGAAATTATAGGTGTAAACAATATTTCTCGCAATTAACTAATCCAAACCCAAGCAAAGGAGCCCAACGAAGACAACCCATTTTTCAGTTAGGGCCTTTTTTCATGTAATTGAAGGGCAGTCGAAACCCACTTAGAAACAAGGTTTCGTAGTCACTTTCATTCTTTTATGGCAGCAATATCACCTTAAACTTGAAAATGTTGTGTTGGCTTGCATGCTTCATGTGAAGATACTTGGGTTGAAGGGTTCTAATCATTATAAAATTAAAAGAAAATTAACGAAAAAGATTTGAAAATTATGAGTTTTAACCATAAGGACAAAATAAATGGTAAAGTGAATAGTACCCATATTGATTTTTTAGTGTAAAAATATGGTTTTTCGTTAAAATGAACAACACCGAAAGTTTTTCATTAAAGTTCCTCAAAATTAATTGGAACTATACTATGAACTTAAAATCCATCTCCCCATTGAATTCTCAAGAGTCTTCAAGTATTATACCGTCACACGAAAGTATTGTGCAGTACTAAAACACAATAAATTCAATATAACCATGGATCCATAGCTCAAACTTTTTTCAAAAACTTTGGATGGAAAGCTGACTTTAACTCGCCTTTTCAATTTTGCCCCATGAAAGTGCCAGTGATGCCTATTTAAAATGTTCAGTTTCCCAGAAAGTGAAAAGTACCTGAGTGGTGGGTTAAAATTTAAATTTTCAAAGTTCAAACTATATAACAATGACGATAAATATTTCAACGTGTTGAGAACACGGATTGGAATACTAAATGTTATAATATAAGTGATTGGATACTTAAAAATAAAATTCAACCACTTATATTATGATACTTGATGTACCAGACTATATTCTAAGTATACTGAAAAATCTATCGAGGACATGCATTCTTTATGATATCTCTAAAAAAGGAAACAAAGTTGGTGAAGATTTATTAATTTCATTTATTGGTACAGTACTTTTGCCAATTTGCAAGACTTCTGTGACTGCATTCAAAATCTCTCATTTGGCTACTTTTTGCCACCTACTAATCAATTAGACTATGACTCATGTAACCCCTGGTGGTAATTAAAGGGGATATAATTTAATTGTTCATGTTAATTGTCGATTAATGATTATAAGAAGAATGATGGTAATCAATTTATGTCCTTTTTCCAGGTTGTATTCTAAATTATTATAATTTATGAAAAGAAAACTCTCCTGATTAAATAGTTTGTTTTTAAATATTATTTGGTATCACTTAGTACTACAGTCTATTAATATTTTTCTTCACTAGTAAGTGAGAGGTCTTAGGTTCGATTCTCGTTAAAGGTGAATTTGAACTACATTACTGCTAGTCCATTGTGAGGCTAAACCCACCTCCTTTCCTTAGTATACATAATATCGTTTGTAAAAAAAAAAAATATTTGGTAATTTACGGAAAGAAAACCGTCATGATCAAATAATTTGTTTTTAAATATTTTTTGAATTTAGGCTTTAGTGATTATTTTTAGAATTTAGCTCATTTGTTGTCCAAAAACAAAAGAGAGTTGCGTGATTACATTCCCTAATTAATACAAAATAGTCCTATAATTTTTAGATGCATTGGCTATTTGTGAATTTTGAACCGAACCAATCAACCAACGATACAAACTCCAAACCCAAGTAATTAGGCTGATGATTATTGTTTTTAATGGTGGAATTCTGATAGAGTAATCAGCAACTAGTTATCTATGTGAAGCTAGATAGTTTCTTCTTTTTGTCAACTTGAATGACGATTTGAATTCGAGATATTTTTCAGTATTAAAAAGAAAAGTATCGCTGAATCAGTCAGATAATATGGAACGAGATAGAATATGATGTTTCAGGAAATGGCCAAACAATAGAAATTGTTGTTTCATATATGATTGGTTTTGTTTTTGGGTTTTTCTACTTGTGATGGTTCAAAACTTGCACATTCTTCTGCAGAAGACGCCAAAGTGGAATAATTCCGAATTGTTAGTTCATACCTTTACTGAATATACCAAATTTTAAAGAGTGTTTAGTGCATAGCCTTTGAAGAAACTTTCTGGCTTTTGCTTTTGATGAATATCTTCCATGGAAGTTGTTACCAGCACTTTTAACACGTCACGCTTTACTAATTTACTATACAAAAAGGGAAGAAATTGGACTTTTGAGGATAGTGACCATGATAATGGGGGTATGTTAAGGACGCTCTTACAAAGAAAAATCTTAAGAAACATTTCATCCAACACCTTACCCTCATACTTCGACCAAAGAAACTCAAATTTAGCATCAAATTATGTGTATTAACCCTATTGTGGCTTCACCACTGTTTCAAAATTGCACTGTGATCATTTTGGAGTTCCACTAACATTTTTTTTTTTGTGTAATTACCTCTTGTTGAAAGTTTCAAGCCGGTCATGGAAATGAGAAGTAATAACTAAAAAATATGGATGAAAGTTGCAAGTGGAGACAAATGGATCCCAAAATTAAATGGACACATGCCCCGTCCGCAACAAGTTTGAAATGTTACAACACATGCATATATATATATATATATATATATATAGATATAGAAATAAAATCTACTACTACTAGTTCGTTTAATTTCATTCACAACCCAAAAACAGAAAAATAAAAAATACTAATTTCTAATATTCTCCTCCTCCCTCATCAGATCCAAAATTAATGAGATTGGCCGCCCCCGTCTTAATTATTTGTTAATCTCACCAACTGAAATCTCTGCATTTCTGGGCAAGGCTTCAAATCCCAGTTAGGAATTTTCTTTAACATCTAATTATGCAAAACATTCCCTAATTAATACAAGCAAACACAAAAATAATGTAAAAATGAGTAAAATGAACAAGTAAGACTAGCACTATGACTAGTAGTTGACATGCACAAAATTAGAATCGGAAAGATGGTAAATCTTCAAAAGAGATGTCAAATTTTAAACATAAATTTTAAGTTTAAAAGCTTATGGCACTTTGATTATTATTTTTTTATTTTTTATTTTTTTAAGTTTTGTTTTCCATCCGATATGTCAAATTTAAACTATTTGTTAATTATTTACGTTTCATAGTTGAATAAATATTTTTAGAATAAAAAACAATAAAAAAATGATAAAAAAATCATTTATTAATCAATTAAAAATGGATTTGATGTTGTTGTAAAATTTGACAGCAACCACCTTTGTTGCCAATCCATTTCCCGTCACGTAAGAATTGACGTTTCGGTTGATAAAAAAACTAATGTTGTCTATTTTTTACTATTATTAATGGGGATAATTTGATATAGATCCAATTTTGTGAGAGATTAGTAGAATTAGTCCACTTCATTGAAATAGGTCCAATAATTGAGATTACATGTATGTTTATTTGTGGTTTGTACCATATTTACCCCTTAGGCTTACGAATTGTAGTAAATACACAAAATTTCTTAATTATGAGATAATTTGTGGTTTAACAAATCCCTTAATTGTAGGATTAGTTATAGCCATATAATCATCTCAACCCCCATCCCTCATTTTTTCCTTCTTCCAAACAATTCCCTCTATCAATCCTCCTCTTTTTTGTCTCTTCTTTTCATGGGTGATATTTTTGTGTTCTTCCCTCCAAATTCGTTCCTTTAATGGAGATATATTATATCATATTTATATTTTTATGTTCCGCCATGTAGGTTCCCAACATTTTTCTTCCAATACAATAGGTAGTTTATTTTTGTTTTGCGGGTAGATTATATCTGCTTTGTAGGTATAAAGCATTTTCTTCCTATACAATAGGTAGGTAGTTACTAGATTATATCGGTCTTGTTTTCTTCATAAATAGTAGGTAGTTACTAGATAATATTTTAGTTTGAGTATTTAAATATTCAAAATTTAAAAACTGAATAAATGATAAAAATTTAAAGAATTTAAATATTTTTATCTGAAGGGGCAAAATTGATATCAAAATATGTAATTGGATAACTGGACTCGGTCCCAAAAACTATCTAAGTTTTTGGACCTAGATCCAAAAGCCCCTTATTAATGATGTGAACATTTTGACATCTCTTTGGAGATGCTCTAAATACTAAATCATAGTTTACATACTGTTTATTGTCGGTTTTGTATCTCTATAGTAAGAGAAATGCTAAGGATGCTCTCTCAACAGTGGGATCTTCTTTGGATTCCCTGGTACTTCATAGTTTAATGTCAATTATCATGTTAATATTAAACATTATGCATAAAATATAAATTGATAGAGAGTTCATAAAGAATTTCATTTAAGATAATCTTCATAGCATTTCTCGAATTGTGTGATTTGGATTGATGTAGGACAAAAGAGTAAAAACCAAATGCACCGATTGATGACACCCACAATCTCCTGAACGATTTTCTTGTCTAATAAACAAAGAAAAAAAAAGCACCAAATCTTAAGAGACTTGCTTTTGCTGTGAACTTTCAAGCGTGTACGCTTCCACTCAACTTCCATAAAGTCAAAGCACCAACTGCTCACCTCTGCTCCTGTAATTTGGATCTGAGTCGAGTCACTGCTAGCTAAAGCTCACTTGCAGTTTCTGGGATTTTCAGACAGGTTTTGAATTTGATCAATGCTGAGAAATCAAAGCCTCATAATTCAGGTAAAACAAAAAAAAAATCAGATGTGCATGGATTTTTTCTGGTATTTTGTTTGTTTTTTTTATTACAGCAGTTGTTTCAGGATAGAGTGAATGCTCAGTTACAAGCGGCTTACAGTGTTTTTTGGGTGATTTGTGCTAATTGGATCATGACATTTGTGCTTTTGTTAATGTTGATATTCTCGTATCTGTCATTATGCAAGATATAGAATTGGGTGGGTGATATATTTTTTCTTCAAAACTTCAGTTGATTTTTTATGCTCAGATCTTTCACCTCCAAATTTCAGTAACGGCCTCTCTCTCTCTCTCTCTCTCTCTCTCTGTATGCATGGTTTCTCAGTATCTTGAAGCATCAACGAGAATAATCCAGCATCACATTTGAAATTTTCAAAAACAGAATCTGCCATCTATTTGGGTTCATCTTTGTTTATTGTTTATGCTGGCAGCACCTAATTGTTTATTTGGCCTGTCTCACTCCGCAAAACAGAACCAACCAAGTGTAATTCATGACCGCTACGGGCGATTTTCGGAACAATTGACTAGAATATCCAAGACCATGTACGTTCATGCTCTCTCACATGATGATTTATTTGTAATTTTGGGAGTTTTTTTATTGGATTTTAGAGTTCTTGGCAGCATCTGACATGTTCTGACTTTTAGTGACTGTCATTTTGTGTCACAGAATATGCCTCAAGACGGCCTGAGATCAGCTGTGTACAGATCATTTGTCACATGTGACGATCCAAAAGGAGTTGTTGATTGTGGGATGATTAGAAAATCGAAAAGTGGTTCCCCGAAAACAGAGCAGAAGAAGATGGAAAGTCGAAGAAAATCGAAGAACTCGAGAACAAGTTTGGATCACAAGGCTGAGAAGGGTGTTGTGATCACAGGGGAGTATCAGAGCCCTTCGGCTTTTCAGCTCATGGAAGTGTCCAGAGGAGCTCAGAAGCTGAACCGCACGATTGATTCCTGGTCGAATGGGATTAGGTTTGAAGGGCAGCAGCCGAAGGACATAGCGAAAGACTTGTTGAAGGGAGCTCTTGATCTGCAGGATTCTCTTGTCATGCTTGGCAAGTTGCAAGAAGCTTCACAGTACATGTCTCGCTTGAAACCGAAACACAATTCTGTGAGGGAATTTGAAAAGCCGCGGCATTCTGCTGATGGGTTTTCGAGGAGTGGAAATGAAGAGCTTAAGAAGGTGATCAGAGACAGCCTTGCGAGGCAGCAACTGGTGGAAAATACAGAATCTGTCGAAAAGGGGTATACTTTTTTCCCTCGAAGAAATATGGATTCGTGTTTGGATACTCCATCCAGTAGCTCAAGCCAGAGTTCTATGTTTCACACCACTAGTGATTCCACCATTGCAACCTCAGCTGCTCCGCAGAAGGCGGGGAAAGGCCCGAGTCTGATTGCCAAGCTCATGGGAATAGAAGAGTACCCCTCGAGATCTTCGAAGGCAGCTCTGAAAAAACAGATTGACGAGGGTGAGAAGATTCTTTCAAGTCAGCAGAGACCTATGTTTGACATCGATCGGCCTAAGGTTATGAAGCCTCAAACTTCAGCTCAAAATGTTGATCACGAAAATAGGACTTTGAGGGAAGTTCTTGAAACGATGCGATTTAAAGGACTTTTGAAAGGCAGTTCTATGGAAGAGCATAGGCCTGATTTCCTTCATTCCAATCACTCGGATTCCTCCCAAAGACTTAATCGTGATAGCCCTCCCATTGTGCTTATAAGGCCTCTTTCTGTTTCATCGATGGAACAGGAGGAACCTCGTGCGCCATTGGTTCGGGGAGAGGAAGCTTTCTACACCAAAGAGATGCTAAAAAGTTTGGGAACAAAAGAAGGAGCTTTGAAGTCTGAAAAAATGCAGCAAAAGATGAAAGCAGACGATACTCCAAGCAAAAGGCTTGACCAGGAAGAAAGAGCTAAAAACCGGAAAGTGGCAGCACAGAAACCCGAGGAAAGAGAGGTCAAGACGAAAGAAAAGGCTTCGAGAAAGTTGAAAGCTTCTCATCCTGCAGATCACAAACCACAGAGGAAGGAGGCAATTGACAAGAAGGTTGATAAGATCCAAAAGGTGACTGCTGTTAGCAGGAATTCACCAGAGAAAGATATAGAGAAATCTAAAAATGTGTTGAAATCTCAAGATCTAGATAAATTGACATCTGCAAAGGCAAGAAAGCATGAATCTGGATCAAACATCACAAAGAATTCAATTTCTCGGCAACCAAATACTGCCACAATCACAATCTCGAAACGTTCAACTCAGAATGTAGCGTCGAACTCAAACGAGCGGAAAAGGAATCACTTGAGGAAGGAAAAGTCTGCCAATGAGCCTACAGTAGCTAAATCAGTTGTAAGTATTCCTTGTCTCAAAATCTTTATAGAAAATTTCTTCTTTTTTTATTTAAACAAATATAATTTAGATACTAATGTGGTAATGTTCTATTTAGCAGACCAAAAATGTTGTGAGTGAAGAAAGTGAGAAGAGAATTATTATGGATGATAAAAGTGACGCTTCCCCGATCAGGTCAAACGCTGATCTTGCAGACGAAAACCCCAAGGAAGAAGAAAAAGATGCCTGTGGATCTCAAAGTGGAGGTATGGCCTTCTTGAAAAACAAGTAACTTGATTATATAATGTTCAATGTTGACTATTAAGTATGGTTAAAAATTAGAGCGTGCATTGACAAGAAAACGTTGGGAGTTACCACATCATTTCTTGCTCGTTAGCGCTTTTATTAGTACGTACATTGACAAGAAAATTAGAGAGTAACATCTCTTATGCATGAGCAAAACTAAAAGGACTTGCTTAAATTACAAAATCATGAAGCGTAATGTTTTTTTTATAACAATGTCTAGGTGAACACATTAGCTAAGTAATCCTTTAACCTCATTGCGACCAGGAAGAAGATAAATTAGTCATCAGTTTGAGAACATTATCCAGTTTATAAATTTCTGCTCTAGTATCCGCATGGTGATTTCGAGCCTGCATTATCCAGTTTATGAACACATTTATTTTCAGTTAACCAAAATTTCAGATCAGTTTGATGATCATAATATTGATTTTAGTTAACCTGTTTCCTATTTTAACCGCAGGACATTGCAGTAATTTCGAAAGTTCTGTATGTGATGCCACACCACTGAGCCCTAAACAAGAAATAGAAACCAAAATTGCAGAAGAAGCTTCAGAACACATGAGTCGGAGTGCAGAGAATGGCAAATCATTTGAAAGTGCAGAAAATTTCGAACATTTTCTATTGAGCAATCCCTCATTTCTTAGTCTTGCGGAGGAGCTTTTTGATCTTAACATGAACAGCCCTACAATCTTACAGACATCTTCCATCTATAATTTTGAGGAATCCGACAGAAGACTATTTCTAGATTGCGCAAACGAGCTCATCGGGTGCAAGAGCGTTCGTGATTCGCAAACAGTCAATCTTCTGCTACTAACATGTCAAGGCAAGCCAAGAATTTGCATATCTGTGGACCAGTTGGTGGAGGAAGTGTGTTATGGGATTGAGAAGATGCGAAACTACAGCAAGCTTACCGGTGAGAGGCTTCTTGCGGACAGTCTGTATTTGATGTTGGAGAGCGACATTATGTGCAGAGGAGTAGTGAACGGGACATGGGATTCGGGTTGGAGGAACGGATTTTCGAGATACGAAGTGGAGCAATTAGTGAGTGACATCGAGAAACTGGTTTTAGATGGATTGATTGAGGAGGTATTTGCATAATTTGTGGTCTACCAGTATCAGACACATGCATAGTGTATTTCTGTACATAAAAAGAGTGCTCAGATTACTGAAAGGGGAGTAGAAACTTTTGACTGGAATCTTGAGCTATCAATATCATTGATTTCTAACCTAAAAAGTAAATTTTCCTGGTATATGTAGTGGAAGTAGGGAAAATATTTCTGCAAATTCGAGTTGTATCTCTCGCATCGCATGTATTGATTTTTGTAATGCTACGTCAAAGTTGAAATATTTCTAGATACAATTTATCGTCAAAATTCAAAACTACTTCCTTGATAAATCATAAGAATCTAAAAGAAGTATGAAATATCGACTTGTCATTACGAACTGGGAAAGCAAAATACGAAAGAGGCCGATGGCGAAGCTGACGGTGATATGTAGTCCGCTGAGACAGATATGTGATGATGATGATGCATCACCGCCTTGATCGTACCTCACCATAGAACCGAGCAGGAAGTGGGTCAAAAGCATAGCCTGCTTGGTTAGCCGGACGGTCCTGTTTTCGTCCAGTGGAATAACGTCCAACTTTTATGAAATATTGCTCCGTATCACCCTGCTGAACATTTGAGAACGAGTTCATCTGGTGTTGGTTCGGTGGGTGGATGCCGAATTTGTGGACAACATTTAGTCTCTGCCCGCAGAATAATTTGCAAATAGACGATAAGTGATGCTTCTGCCATACATGTCAAACGTTGATCATGCAGATGAAAAACCTACGGCAAAGGAAACAGAAACCTGTGGATCTCAGTGTGGAGGTATGGCCTTCTTGAGTTACAAGCAACGTGTTATGCAATGTCCAATGTTGACTATTAAGTATATATGGTCGCATTGATAAAATGAGAGCAGGCTATGTTGAAAGAGAATATGGTACCTGATCGATATGCTGGTTTTGCGTATCTTACGCATCCGATTGTCCTAATTATAAACAGCGTTCTGAGTTAGCACAGAGGGTTTTTTGGTGAACAAGGCGCATCTGTTTAACTACTTTGTCCAAAGCATAACTGAGAGTTTACTTATTTTTCTTTGTGGAAACAGAGTTTGGCTTCAAGTTCAACAAAAACATCTAGATAATCGAAACAGAGTTCGGTTTCAAGTGTAAAAGAATACTCGAAAGCAGGAAGAAGGGTAAATTGCACGCAGGTTTGGGTGAATTTCCTTGATGATTTGTCACTAATCAGCACATGATTCTTAATACAGATTTACATGGGGTGTACAAAGCAAGGTTTGACCTTTGTCGTCATCTCTTCCATCAGGTTGAAGGCAAAAAATCCAAACAGCCGCAAAGGTCCAGCCGTTGGGGAAATGGTGAAAATTGGCAAGGCCGAGAGGATCATGGTGTCAGATATTCAAAGAGACGAGACATTAGCCCACTCCTAACCACACCGGTATTGTCCTAATAGAACCACACATTGCTAGATGGTGTGTTTTATACAAAAAACATCGGTGTTATTAGGAGTGGAATCATATACTTATATATCGTATTTTATTTTCTCAATTTCCCGATGTGAGACTTATATTCAACACATGGTGTAGGACTGCTAACTGTTCACCTTCATCTTTAGTACCACTCATATGATTACTGGGATGAGTCATTGCTTGCTCCTGCCTCGTCGTACAACCAATCTGGATGTGGGTCAAAATGATACAAACGAAGATGCGAATCATGCATATTCCTTCATAAATTTGTTTAACCCCTATTTTCTTCACTCTCACGGATTTTTCTGCAGTGTCAACAAAATACCACCTTTGTCCGCCCTCGGCAAATTGAGCATGTCATTCGATGACTGTCCCTGCCAGAGGTAACTGTGTTCAAGTGATTCCCTGGATGTTGGTATCGAGGCCCATGTTATCCAGGTGTCCAAAGCAGTACGCTTGGTATATTTTATAACAGCTCAAGAACATGTCGTACTTCCAGAGTTTTGATTTGGAGGTGAATGAAGATGAAGAGGAGGATTCATGAGCTGTCATCATATTCACTAATGGGTCCGGTCACGACTGTTGAATGGCAGTGCGTTGTTGCAACACTGGTAATTCTGAAATACCCTACCCAAGTCAAGCTCCTTCAACAAGATAAAATCATATAATCTAACCGTATGGATGACTAACGACATAATGCTGGCCGGAAAGGTGAAAGGAAAGAGAGAACAGAGGAAAGAAACAAGCACGAAACTACAAAGATTATCAAATATCTTATAACAACGACTTCTTGGACTAATAATTCAATGTTTAACGTAAAACCTCTCACTTAAGTAAAGAGAAATACAATCTACCGTAATATTAGGTGGTGCTCAAACATAATTCTTAGGAACCGCAAGGAGGCATATGGGGGTGGACTGCGAGGCCCACTGCTAAAAACTATTTCAAAATGCGTATTAGGATTAAACTTCTATTAGCTATCTTTCCTTAACAGTTTTCATATATAATTGGAAGTGAAAGAATAAAAAAAATTAAAACTAAAAAGTAAATTGCAAATTGGGTATCAAACAGACTCCGAGGAAATCTCCTGGTTTTGCCACTAGAGGCAAATGAACCATACAATACACCAAAATGGAGCTAATTTACAGTGCCTTTTTATACGACTTGGACTTGGGTACTGGCTGCAAATTTGCATGCAATGACTTTCTTGGCGGTGATTAGCTAGTACAGCAATTCAACTCTCTTAGTTTCACTCTCTCCAAATGGTAAAGACCAACAGAGTCAGGCGTCCGGCTGAATGAGGGCTGCGAAAGTAGATGATGAATGATCAGGAGACAAAGAAAGACGTGCAAAAGATATGCAAAGGTGCGCAAGAGGATCATCGTCCACTGGGTCGGATGTCTGCTCTCCACTTTCACGGACCGCTGGACCCTGTGGCCGGAACAGTACTGGGAGATTCTCAGGACGAGTTTGAGGCTGAGAGTGAGAGTGAGGCTGTCGCAAACGAGGCTGAATCTGACGGCCTGCAGGAAGAGTATCAAGAGACAAGGAAAGACGTAAATGCGCAAGGCCAAGAGGATCATGACCATGCACTGCTACTGCTAGTTGTTCTTCTGTACTACTCATAATTTGATTAGTGCTCGGATCACGTGCGCCCATTGAGTCAGATATCTGCTCTTCATCTTCATCTTCGTCTTCATCTTCATTTAAGTCTTCATCTTCATCTTCGTCTTCATCTTCATTTAAGTCTTCATCTTCATCTTCATCGGATAGGTCGTCACGTGGTTCTGCCTCGTCGTCGGTTTCCGACAACCATTCCTCATCTGTATGTGGGTCAGAATCATACATTTCATCACTGGGATCAGAATAATCGTCACCAGATGCGTCATCCCTTGCTCCTGCCTCAACATCAGCACCCAACCACCCAAACCAATCTGGATGTGGATCATATTCATACAAATGGGAATGCCAATCATGCGTATTTTCCGTCATAAGTTTGTCCCATACTACATTAACCCCAGTTTTCTTCACTCTCACATAAGTGTGAGTAGGTTGTATGTAAATACTAACTCTGTCCCCACCTTGCAAATCGAGAACATCTTGCGACAATTGTCCCTGCCAGAGATAATCGTCTTTACCATCACAGTAATCTGGTACTGAGACATACATTATGGAGGCCCGCAACTCAGTATGCTTGGTTTTATTCATAACGATAACAGCAAAATGAAATTCAAATTTATAGATTGGCGAGTAAATGAAGAACAAAGTCAACCCTTTAAAATTACGGCCGTCACTTTGAGGAACAACAAACTCAACTTCCACGCCCTCATCGACAAACTCGAACCAGTCAGGAACACAATTCCCTTTGAGAAAAATGCCACCATAACCGCAAGAAGTCCATCCCTATATAATGTAATGTAAGTGTCACATACAGGTAATGTGCATTTGTGGGATAGAAACAAAAAAAGAAGAGCATGTAGAAGATAGAGAAAGGTACCTGCAGGATGCTCCTCCTAAACTCCGCAGTGAGATTGATGCACCCTTCCATATGAATCCCTACCATGGAGTTCAATGACTTGTCCAAGCCTGGCACTTCGGTGAGTTTGGGAGAATCGTTGAGAACAAACTCTATCATAGAAATCTCCGAAAAATCGGGCATGGTTTCCAATGCAGTGCAGTTACGTGCATACAAGAATTTCAAATTTGTTGGTAAATCAGGGATTTCACAAAGATTTCGGCAATTATGTAAGCACAACATTTGAAGCTTTGAAAGACCACTGAGGCTAGGTAGTCTACAAAAACTATTTTCTTGAAGATCCAAATTTTCTAAGGAAATCAGACTCCCAAGATCCTTAAGAATTGCACCATCAATTAAATTGTTGTTTGAGAGATGTAGTTGTCTTAAAGAGTTTAAGCCAAGTAAACTCGACGGTGACACTCTCACACCACATAAATTTAAATTCACGAGGTTCTTCAGTCTTACTATAGACGATGGTATCTGTCTTATGTCTGTACATTTTGCATTGAGTTTTTTCAACGATACCATCTCCCCTAATCCCTCAGGCAGTTCTCTAAATCTTGAGCAGTGGCTAAGAAGAAGAATCTCAATGGATTTGGACTTACAGAAATCTCCTGGAAGATACATTAGCGCATCGCAGTATTTAAGATTTACCAAAGAAAGCCTTTTAAGATGACCAATGGATGGGTGAATCTCAGATAAACTCTCACAGAATTCGAGTACCAATTCTTCAAGATTTGGAAGCCTTGAAAAGTCCGGTGACTTTTTTAGGTCACTGGAAAAACTGAGATCAAGGATTCTCAACTTCTCAAGTGACTGTTACACAAAGCAAAAAAGAAGCGGAAATTAAATCCAAAATGAAGATCTCATCAAACCAAAAAAAAAAAAAAATCCAAAAGGAATAGAAACGGAACATGAAGTGTACCTTGGAACCCTCCGAAACTTGTACGAGTTTGCTATACTTGAGGTCCATGGCAACCAGTTTTGGTTGATCAAAAAGGTCCTCTGGTATGGACTTCAAAGGGAATCCAAGCCAGCACAACCATACCAACTTTTTGGGAAAACATGTGTACTCTCCAGTAAGCTCTACGTCATTGAGCTGGAGCAATCTCAGTTTCTTCATATTGGTAAATGCTTCTGTACTGAAACTAGCCTTATCAGAACTTCGCAAATCTAGAGTAAGTCCTTCAATTTCTCCGGTTCCCTGTTAAACGAAAGGTTATTCAGTGAAGAAGCTTATTTTATTTGCATGTGAAAAATGGTTAAACACATAGAAGGACATATTTGTTAGCCAAATTTTTATAGGGGTGTGCTATCCACACACTCCATTTTACTTCTCATACACCCTTTAATAATTTATGTTTGTTGATCTTCTTCAATTCATCCGATCCGACGCCCGAAAATTTAAAAGGTGTGTGAGAAGTAAAATGGAGTGTGTGGATATCACGTCCCTTTTTACAAACGTTTTTGTTAAAAAAAACAATTGTATGCATTGATAGACCCAAAAAAAAATTGTAAAGCAATAAAAAAAAAGTATTGGGAATGTACTTACAGATTTGTCCGTCAATACATCTGTTACTTGTTCAAAATCCCACAATCTACTCCATTGTTCAGGGTGACTAGGAAATTTTTCAGAAATTATTCTTTTGCCCATTTCTCGAAGCAAATCATGCATCTTCAATTTGTTATCTTCAACGGTTACAAGACACCGTTCCCAAAGAACAGTGATTCCTATTCTTGCAAAACAGCCACATCCATCTAATATTTTTGTGACATATATCAAGTCCATTCCAATAAAGAAACAAGAAATATCAAGGAATATAGCCTTCTGTGTAACATCTAACCCGTCATAGCTTATTCTGAGCTTTTCTAGAATTTCTTCTTCAGGTATTTTTTCCAATTTCTCCAATTGACTTTCCCACTGTGCTTGGGTCCTGTCAATCAATAAAGAACCTAAAACTATAAGTGCTAATGGCAAACCTCCACAATAAGAAACAACCTTTTTTGAGAGTTTAAGATATCCTTCGTGAGGATAACTATTTTCAAAGGCATGCCAACTAAAGAGCTCAAGAGCTTCTTCTTCATTCATTTTCTGAGCCAAAAATGTCTTGTCTGCTCGCTTTAATAAATGTTCATCTCTTGTTGTTATGATAATTCTACTTCCTGGTCCAAACCAATTATGATTTCCAGCTATTGCATTTAGTTGGTCCATTTTATCGATATTATCGATAACAAGAAGTACCTTTCTACGTCGAAGATGTTGTTTTATTACACTGATCCCTGCATTGACATTGTTTATCTGGAACTTGGTGGGTTCTTGCAAGATGTCAGAAACAAGTTTTTCTTGCACATTAACCAGACCATATTTACTTGCAGTATCGCGAACGTCGGCGAGGAAACTTTTGAACTGGAACTTGTGATGAATTTTGTTATAAATGGCGTTGGCAGCTGTTGTTTTACCCAATCCACCCATCCCCCAAATTCCAACCATGACAACGTCATCTGGTCTACCACCATGAATAAGATGACAGATAATATCTTGAATGCGATAATCAATTCCAATCGGGTGCTTGGCCACATCTAATTGGGTTATTCTGGGCAGCCATTCTTTAACATTCTCGTCAACAATTTTCCTGATAAGCTTTGCTTCATGCCTGAAAATTCAATTCATAATCATTAGTGGACTCAATGAAGGCATAGCTGGAGCTATGTCCATGGGTTAGATTAATTTAATTTAGATTAATCATATCGCTTGTTCATAAAAGTCTTAGGTCTGAATCTCGTGAATAAAAAGTTTCGATACCAATTTATTTCTCTACCCCTTCTATGTCCTCCAAGTATGCTATATTTTGTGACGACGTTGATTTGAGATTGATACAAATGGCCATGCAATGCTCCACTATCAGAAATAATTACCATTTCACCTTTCCAAAATTCTATACATCGCATGTAGCGCGACGCGATATAAAAAATGTATTTTGTATGCCATGAGTGAGTACAAAAAGGTTAGTTAGGTTAATTTGTGCCATGGCCAAGGAAAAAAAATTCAGTTAATATATATTTGATTTTACCTACGTTTGTCATTGATATAATATAGGGCCTAAATAAGATCATTCTTTTATTATAATCTAGATGAATTTAAAGATCTGATTTAAGTTCAAAATTCAACATTTATTACCACATCATATATAATACCTTTGCCTACATTTATTTATTTTGAATTTTTCCATCTAGAATTTCGTACTTAATCAAATCGAATTTAGCAATTTAAAATGAACGATTTTAAAACCTATTATTAATGAATATAAAACTATAGGCTTATTAATTGAATTGCCTCTGAAACGGCCTATTTAGTCGCAATTTACTCCTTAAAACTAGTTTTGTCTCATTTTGCCCATAAAACTGTCATTTTCAACTCATTTGGTCTCACTTTGCCCTATCCTGTTAAAGAAAGAAGGGGTTTTTTGAAATGGGTCCAAAGTAACTAAAAATTGGACCTATTTTAAAAGTCAAAAGTCACTAAAAATTGAACCTATTTCAAAAGGTAGTCTATAAAATTGGACCTATTTCAAATTTTCCCAAGAAAACATTAAAGTCAAACCTATAAATCATTAAATTCTTTCTCTTCTTTCATGAACCCTAATTTGTTTTGCCAAGAAGATCAGTGAACTAAACTAAAGGGCAAGATGGAGGCAAGACAAAGAGATGTGTAAAAAGTGAAATATCCAAAATACCCTTGCATTTAACGTTTCTTTAACAAAATGGGATGAAGTGGGACAAAATAGTTAAAAAAAAAAAACAGTTTCAAGGAGCAAAGTGAGATAAAACCAATTTTAGAGGTAAATTAAGATCATAAATATATACAGGGTCATATGTATAGGTGCACAAAATATATACATAGATGCATATATATCGGTACATAAATATATACAAGTTCAAAATGTATAGTCACACAAATATATACATAGGAGCATATATGTCATTATATATTTTTATGTCAGTATATAAATATATATAGGTTCTAATGTTTTAAAAGGCTCACCTCAGGGCGCACCTAAGCGGCCTCTGAGGCTGGGAGTGAGGGTTGCCGCCTCTGTTTTGAGGGAGTGGGCGGAAGGCGTGCCTTAGGGCATCCAGACATCTATGTTTGGCTGCTTCTTTTTTATTTTTTTTTTATTTTTTTTATTTTTGTTACTCCCAAACCCAAATTTTGGGTAGGGGTTTTAACTGCCTCATACCTCTTCCTTGCACTATCATCTCTCTGCCTTTTTTTTTTCTTCTGATTTTTATTTGGAAAACTTTGGATGCGGTCCCTATCTATGAATATTCTTTGATTGAAACCTTGTTGGTTTTCAATTTTTTATTGAAGTCCCTGAAATTAATGTGATAATTTATTTCTATGTACGTTTTTATATTTTTTATATTAAAAATTGAAATTTATAGTTGTTTATATTAATGATTTTAAATAAAAAAGCATAATTTGTGGGGTTAAAAATATTAAAATATAAATATACTATTGTGTGTTGTGTGTGTGTGTGTAAACATGGGTACATTCATCAAAATTAACCAAAAAATTATTGTATCAAAGCATGGGTATATTATTAAAAATCATAAATAAAAAAAAAAAGGAAAAGATATTAGGCTTAATAACATTAGTAAATTTCTTCGATTAAACTTGACATGGATACATTCTCAAATCAATATAAGTTTAAAAATGGATTAGAAAAAAATTGAATAGGTTTTATATAAAAAAGGGTACATTTTACATATAACAAATTAGTATATTTAAGAATGAGTACATTTTAAGATTAAAAATTTGAAAAAAATTACATGAATGGGTACATATAATATTAAAAAATTGAAAATATTTATAAAAAAAGCTAATGGGTACAAACTTATTCTTTATTTTGGAAATGTTTTGAATTAAAAATTAGTTAGGAGTTTAATAAAGGTGTGAGTACTAAAATTCTAAATCAATTATTAATTTTTATTTAAAAAAATTATGTAACTGATATGTAAATTCATTATTAAATTAATGTTAGAGACTTAGATCAAAATCTGAGAACTAATAAGGTTTCAGTCAATGAACATTAGTAACTAGGGACTAGATACTAATTTTTCCTTTTATTTTTTGATATAATAGATGTGTGTGTTGTTTGCGTGCATTGCTATATATGTGCTCATTGTGTTTTTCATCCTCTATATAATATATGTATATATATATGTATGTGTGTGTGTGTGCACAAGGTGATTATTGATTAATAATCTTCTTCTTTTTTAATATAATAAATGTGTACGCTCAGTGTATATATTAAAAAATTTAGGTCCGCCGGGCTATCCCTCAAACGTCTCGCCCACGCCTCACACTTTTAATACACTGATAGATTCATATGTATAAGTACACAGAATATGTGTGTGTGTGCATGCGAGCGCATCTAAACATATATGTACACAAAGAAGTGTTACACTGAATGAGATGCAATCTATTGCAACGTGATACTAACTAATAGAACAAGGTAATCATTTATCGGTATTGAATACAAATTAAATTAAAAATATTCTATATTTCATACTCAAAATAAAACAAAACAAAAGTCAATAACTGTTAGCTAGATTTTGAGGTATTGAATACAAATTAAATTAAAAATATTCTATTTTTCATACTCAAAATAAAACAAATCAAAAGTCAATAACTGTTAGCTAGATTTTGAGATGATATATGAAAAAATGTTGAGGTGGATAACCAAAATCAAAATTTAATCTCATACCCAACTTTTGTGAAAAGTCGATCTTATTTAAGGATTATAATCTAATTTCTTGTATAATATGAACCCGATCAAACTAACAATGATATAGAGGGAAATATATAGTCTGATGAAATAAGCTTACCCATTAGCCGAGTTTTGAAGATGATGGCCAGACAAATTTGCAGCTTGAGTAAGAGCCTCTCTCCACTGCTTTACTCTTTTTTCCTTAGCTTCACGTTGTTTGTCATCTTTCTCTTCACGGATGTCATCTTCGTGCTTCTGAAATGCTTCGGCCAAACAACCCTCCTGCTTCCTCACAAGTGAAGGATCGACATCATAGAAGATTGGCAAAACCTCTCGCCCGAGTTTTTCTCTACACTCCATGATCTTCACTAGTTCGTCAAGACACCAACTCGAATCCGCATACCTCTTTGAGAAGACAATGATAGAGATCCTCGCCTCTTCGATTGCCCGGAGCAGTTCCTCTTTTATTTGTTCCCCTCTTTTTAGATCGTCCTCGTCGATATAAGCCTGGTATCCCCTGTCTTTTAGTGCAGCATAAAGATGGCTTGTGAAGCCTTTGCGTGTGTCTTCGCCTCTGAAGCTCAAGAACACGTCGTACTTCCAAAGTTTTGAAGAGGATGAAGAGGAGGCTTGATTGGCTGTCATGGTATGGACTTTTTGGCAATGCAGTGGTTCTGATCACAAAATAAAAATGGCGTGGTTGTGTTGCCGAACGGATGATACTGAAATACCCAAGCCAAGTCAACCTTTCTGCAGTCCAAAAAAACAGAAAGTCGTCCATAATAATATAATAACTTGGCGTCTAAACTTGGTAAACGACAGAGTCCCGGCCGGTAAGGGGGGAAAGAGGAAGGAAACTAGCAGGAAACTCCAGACTCTATATGAGTATATGTCCATTACAATGAATAAATAAAATAATAATCTTCTATTGACCAAAAAAAAATTATAATAATCTTCACGTATAAAATTGATATTAATTATATATATGTAAGTCTTGTCCAAAAAGAGGGAAAAAAAGAATAATATATATATATATATATATATATATGTATGTAAGTAAGTAACGGGGATGGACGTCCGTCACTCTCGGCATATTGGTGGGGATTTTGGTGCCCATAATTATTTAACTAGCCTTCATGAGCGCGTGCAGAATTTATTTTTTGAATCACGATGTGCTAAGTACGACTTACATGTTTTAAATGTATATATATGTGTAAATTGACAAAAGAAATGTTAAATATTTGAAATAAATGAATAATCTTAGATCATGCTAAAGGAAACCCTTCATAAACCAATTAAAGTAACTGAATTTACATAATAAAATCAGTCTCTATAGAATTAACATTAAGAATAGAGAAAATAATATTTAATAAACAATTGATTGAATCACATTATTGCTAGCTCATTGTGAGACTAAGCTCATCCCCTCCCCCTTAGTATAGATAATATCGTTTGTTAAAAAAAAAGAAAAAACAATCATTTAACAACTAATTTAATCAAATTATTATTCGTGTATGAAAGACTTTTTTTATAACCGGCATTACACGCCTTTTAAGATGTTTTGAACGTGTTTAAAATAGAGAAAATAATATTTAATAAACAACTGATTGAATCACATTGTTACTAGCTCATTGTGAGGCTAAACCCACATTCCTCCCCCTTAGTATAGATAATATCGTTTGTTACAAAAAAAAAAAAAAAAATCATTTGACAACTAATTTAATCACATTATTATCCGCGTGTAAATGATTTTTTTATGATCGGCATTACATGCCTCTTAAGATGTTTTGAACGTGTTTAGAAATAGATAAATTAAATCAAATTATTGCTAGCCTATTGTGAGGTACTAATTAAAAAAAACAAAAACAAAACCACAAAATAATTTAATTATTAAAAAAATAGTATTAAAATGACGAAAATGCCCCTACCTTATTTGCTACATTATTTTGGGATGCCTTTGAAGTTTTTTGTTTTGGGGGAATTTTTGTCCAATTATTTTTGTTGAAACTTGGTGACACCAAAACACTATTCACCTTTCTTCTCTCTTTTTCTATAATAGAATAGATTAATGGGGAGATTTCCTTGTGAGGATCAACCAATGCTTCCTAGCTAGACTTGGGCCAAAATCCTACAAACCAACATGCAAGTGGGCCCAGTATTTTAGTGCCTAACAGAATTATGGAAGCTAATCCCTTAGGCTCTGATCCATTTAGTTTGTTGCCTGTTATCTTGGCGTAGAGTGGTTCCCGGTGCGAAACGAAGAGTAGTATAGTTTTTATGGAAAGTCTAAGGTTAGGTTTCAGTTTGATAGAAGTTTTTTCAGTTGCTAGTCAGGGCAGGTCCGGAGGTTTGTGTGTCTTTTGGAAGGAAAAGGCTAATCTGGGACTTCGTTCATACTCTAATAATCACATCGACCTGGATGTGGGTGGCATTGGTGATAATGGTTATTGGTGTTTGATGTGTTTTTTATGGTTTTTCGGTGGTTCATGATATTTATAAGTCTTGACAGCTTCTTGATCAGTTATGTGGGGTGTCAGATGGCCTGTAGCTTTGCTTGGGAGGCTTTAATGAAATCCGCCTAGCAACTGAGTAGGAAAGAGGTAATGTGCGCAGTGAATGGATGGGTTCCGAAAGGTGGTTACTTGGTGTCAATTCCAAGATCTAGGTTTCAATGGCAATAAATTTACATGGTTCACAACAAAGGATGATGGAATCAAGTTCTGTTTGGATAGAGCCCTAGCAACATAATCATGGATAGATTTATTCAGAAATCACATGGTCTCGCATTTGAACAAATCTACCTCTGACCATGTTCTTATTTTAATAAGTTGGGACAGTAAACACAAGCATAGTTGGAAGAAGTAGTTTCGTTACGAGAACAGATGAAATAATGTGGAAGGGTGTCAAGATGCAGTGGCTCAAGGATGGGTAATGAGGTTTCGAGGTTACCATTATTCCAAGTTACTGAGAAGATAAAAGCAACGAGAATGCTGATTTTTAAGTGGGCAAAACAAAATATGCGTCATGGTTCTCAAGAAATTAAGGAAATTGAAGATAATGAGCTTATTGGGCTCAACATTTACGAATGAGACAATTGGGTAGAAAAAAGCACTCATGTCCAAGCGTAACATGCTCCTGGAACAAGAGGAATCGTTTTGGCGTCAACGTACAAAGGCTAATTGGTTAAAACTTGGTGATAGAAACACGAAGTATTTCACCAACATGTTAACCGTATACAACGAAGGAATTGGTTATTCGGTCTCAATGATCAACATGGAGTGCGACAAGAGTCCAAAAGTGGGATGGAGAAAGTAGTGGTGGATTATTTTTCAAAGTTGTTTGAGTCTCATGGAGAGGATGGAATGGAAGAGGTCATGACTAATATACTACTAGTGGTTTTTGAGGAGATGAATACGGATTTAATACGTCTGGTATACGACGAGGAGATAAAAAGCCCCCGAAGCAGATGGCATGTCCCCGTGGTTCTATCAAAAGCACTGGGATGTCGTGTGTTCGGATGTGTGCAATGGTATTCGATCTATGCTGCATTCCAGATGTATTTTGTGTAAGATTAATTTCACCCACGTTACTCTTATCCCTAAAGTGAAGGACCCTACAGAGATGTTCAGTTACGTCCTATAAGCCTCTGCAATGTTTTGTATAAAATCGCGGCAAAGGTTTTGACGAATAGATTGAAATTCATTCTTTCCCAGATTATATCACCCACTCAAAGTGCCCTTGTCCCCGGTCGGCTAATTTCAAATAATAGCTTGGTTGTGGAGGAGATAGCCCATTGTATGCACAAACGTAATTCAGGTTGGAATGGTGTGATGGCTTTCAAGCTCGATATTAGTAAGGCCTACGATAAAATTAAATGGAATTACCTGGAAGCAGTTATGCGGTGAATGGGATTTGCAAATACTTTGATTCAAATGATTATGAATTGCGTGTGTACCGTGACTTATTCTTTTAAAGTTAATGGTGAACCAGTGGGTTATGTTCATCCTTGAAGGGGTATACGGCAAGGTGATCCTCAATCACCCTTCCTTTTTGTTATTTGTGCCGAAGGTCTTCCTTCCCTTTTCCAGCGGGAATAACATCTTGGTAAAATTCAAGGTATTAAGGTGTGTCGACAGGTACCAAGTACCAGTCATCTTCTCTTTGCAGATGAAAGTTTCTTGTTTGCCAGAGGAACACTAGAGGAGTGTCAAAACATTAAAAATGTGTTGAGAATCTATGAAAATGCTTCAAGGCAATCTATGAAAATGCTTCAAGGCAATCAGTTATTTTGCTAAAAGTTGTGTTGCATTCAGCCCTAACTTAGCTCCAGTAGATCAACAGTTGTTGGCTAATTGTTTGTGTGTTCGTAAAGTGGATTTCCATGACAAGTACTTGGGATTGCCAGTCTTCATTCAAAAATCGAAGAAGGCAACCTTTGCTTATATTAAAGAAAGGTTGTGGAAAAAGCTAAATGGTTAGAGATGGGGGTTGTTGAGTAATGCAAGTAGAGAAATATTATTCAAAACAGTTGCCCAAGCCTTGCCGGTTTATTCCATGCAATGCTTCCTCATTCCTAAATCTTTTTGTGATGAGTTAAATAAGTTAGTGGCCAAATTCTTGTGGCATGGGGACGTGTGGCAAAGAAAGGTTCATTGGATGAACTGGAAAACGCTTTGTAAGCCAAAATTTGAAGGCGGCCTGGGCTTTAGGGATTTGAATGCATTTAACTTTACGCTACTTGCTAAACAGGCATGGTGGTTCCTATCCAAGCAAGATTCACTTGCTTATCGAGTTTTTAAGGCAAGATACTTTCCAGATTCGAATTTCTTAGGTGCTCGCGTTACTACGAACGCATCTTATTTTGGTGAAGTATCGCCTCTTCAAGAACCGTTATTCGTAAGGGCATGAGATGGTAAGTTGGGAATGATTCTACTATCAGGATTTGGAAAGATGGTTGGCTTCCTCGAGAAAGTTTCCTTCAGGTTGTGAGTATGACCCCGGCGGGCTGGAATAGTGAGGCCACTGTTATTAATTTATTTTTGGAGAACACACGGTATTGGGATGTACCGCTAGTCAAGCAAGTGTTTTGTCTGGAGGAAGCTGAATTAATACACCATTAAGCTTATGGAATGTGGAAGATCATATAGTGTGGCACTTCGAAAAGAATGGTAAGTTCTCGGTTAGAAACGCATACCATTTAGCAAGGAAGGATGTTACTGTTGTGGGGGTAACGAAATGGTTATCGAGATCGCATGTGGCTGACATGGTTTTATGAAAGAAGCTATGGAATACATATGTTCCTAGGAAAATGAAAATTTATGTGTGGATTGGTTGCTTGGATGCTTTGCCTACTTGAGGAAAGCTTAAACAAAGGCGTATTTTGGTAGTAGAGGAATGTTTGGTGTGCGGGGCCATTGTTCTTTGGCAGCTACCGTCTGGTCTTCTTCACTTGGGTTAAGAGTAGGACAACTCGGAGGTATGAAACTAAAGGATTGGGTTGCTCATTCGGCTTATTCTCTTCCTGATTCAATTTTCGAGTTACTATTGATGATTATATGGAGTTTATGGAAGGTTAGGAATGATTTGATTTGGAAAGGAACACAAACAGCACATAGGGAGGTGTCTCTTAGGGCGAAGGAAGTGGTTTGTGTCCTATCATCAGTGCCATAAAATGCATAAGGAACCTCGAACTTCACAACATGCAAAGTTGGAGTGCTCTACCTCCAACTTAGGTGAAAGGCAACTTTGATGGTGCATGGGTGAAGAGTGCATAGAAGGGTGGAGTAGGGGCCATCTTCAGGAACCAGAAGGGTGAGTTTGTGGCTAGAGTCTTGGTCCACATTGCACATGCTACCTCTCTGTTGCAGGTGGAGTTGTTGGCAGCTAGAAGGGCTCTATTGTTTGCCAAGGAGTTGATCTCATATGGAGGCCTGTGTATTTTGAAGAGGATTCTGCTATTGTACTTGTTGCCATGAAGAGACAAGAAAATGATGTGTCTATTATGGGACCATTATCAATGACATTAGGCGGCTGTTATTTTCATTTCCCAAGGTGAGAGCTTCCCATGTTCAACTGAGAAGCCAATTAGGTGGCACATCGTTTAGCACGTGCAAGAATTAGTAGTGATACTGATATAGTGTGGTTTGAAGATCCGCCTGATTTAATTATGGATGCTTTGTTGGAAGATTGTCCTACATAGTAATTGATTTGATTGTACTGTTAGGAGGTTAGTTCTTATTGTTTGAATGTGCGGGACACTCTTTTTTTCTTCGTTCGGATTGAAATCTCCGACAAGATTTTTATCAAGGCCCATTATGCACCCAATCCTCCATTTTTGTGTACGTGCTCTCTTCTTAATGACTATCGTTTTTTTCCCCAAAAAAAAAAATGTAAGTAATGACCCAAATCTTATTGAAGCTAATTAAATAATGTAATAAAACAATCTTGTTATACAGTTGTAATTAACTATTTTTGTTTTAGTTTAGAAGTCAAGTTGTAATTACTTAGTTGTGATTAATATCTTACTTTTTTTTAATCAACTGTAATCTCTATATTCTTGTAACACTCATCATTTGTTAATAATTTGTGCTTCGACAAGTTTGTTTGCGATCGAGGTGAGAAGACTCTTTCGGATTGTACGTAAGCAATGTTTGAGAGAGATATAGTTCAGAGAAACTGATTTTAGATGAAGCTGAGAAAGTAGTGAATGATACAGAGAAAATTGGTTTTAGAAGAATTGATTAAGGAGGCATACATTTGCATAATTTGTTCAGAATATCAAACAAATATAGTGTATTTGAAGAATGAAAAGTTACAACTTACAAGATGAGCCCTTAACTTATGTACTAGTCATCATTAGTTAGTAAAAATCACTATACAAGCAAGGGTACATTTTTGCTCACTACCTTAAGGTCATCTTTAATTGAGAGGGCTAAAGGTTCAAAAGTAAAAAAATGGCTTGATTTGTCGAAAAAATTCATTTCTAAACGATGGTTGTGCTATAATTCTGTAGAGCTCATCAGGCCATTATTTGGCCAAATGGGCATTAGGCTGGCCAAATGTAGCCCTCCACTTAGGTCATCTCCAACCAAAGGTTTCAGAGGGCCAGAGGGCTCGTGGGCCCCACGGAATCTGAAAAGGCCAAAGGGCTGGCCTAGAGGGCTGAGTATTCCTGTCGGTTATAACCGATAGGAATGCTTAAACAAAAATTTGAATCCAACGGCTAGCTTACTAGCCGTTGTATTCAATTTTTTTTTCGGTTTTTTGGGCCAAATTTTTTTTTAATTCTTAAAAATTCTAATTTTTTTTTTCCTATAAATACCTAAACCATTCATTAAATTTAAATTCTAATTTTTTTGGTTTTTTGGGCCAGTTACCGTTATAGTTTTTAAATATAAGTTGTAGTTTTTAAATTTAAGTTGTTGTCGGATTTGAATTTAAGTTGTTGTAGTTTTTAAATTTAAATAATAAATTATGTTTGGTCCTTTGGCTTTCGGTTGGAGACGATTTTTTGTGACATGGCTAAAACAAGTCATATGGCCATTTGGCCCTTGGTTGGAGACAGATGCAAATATAGCCCTGTATTGTTCATTAAAATATTAACTATCTTGAAGGGCCAGAGGGCTAAAACGAGCCATCTGACCAGCCCTCGATTAGAGATGTCCTTAGCCTCTTTTTTGGGGCCCCTCATACCTCGAAATAATATAGTCACTCAAATCAAATATTTTAAACATACTTAAATGTAGGGTGTATTATTCTAACCATCCTCAAGTGTTGGTAATGATCACTATCTTATTTATCATCGTTGAGTGAATTTAAACTTTGAGATTTGTGTCTATTCACTACACAGATTTCGAAATCTAAACTCATTTGATGATGAGAAATAGGATGGTGAGTATTACCATTATTTGAAGGTAATGAGTAAAAATATTCCATACAAACAAGCCACCAAAGTCTATGCATGTGCTATACAATATATATAAAATAAATAAAAGTGGTCTCTAATGAAAAAGCACTTTAGCAACCACTTCTATGTTATTTACTGCATTTGTTATTTAGAAGCCACTTTTCTTTATAAGCGTTTTACTTGAAGCACTTCATTAATTAAAAGCAAGTCAATTTTTTTTGTAAAATTCTAAATGCTTTAAAAACGCTTATAACTTTTTCTACCAATATCATCACAAACATTTTTAATTTTTAATTATCTAAAAGTATTTTTAACAACTCTAAAACACTTCAACGAATTAGCCAAACCAGGAGACAAATTAAGTTTTAAAATCGTGAACCTCTAATCCAATATTTGACTCAACCAACCAGAGGCAAATAACGTACATCCAACAGTGTCTTTTTATATGACTTGGCTAGTTGGACTGGGTGCAAATTGCAATGCCTTTCTTGGCGTACAGCTAGCTATAATTCAACTCTCAATAGTGCATTATGTAACTTGGGTCGGTATTTGTAAGCATATACTCATACAACCACAGATTAAAAAAACAAACTATTAACAAAGAAAAAAAGGAGATGGGAATTACAAAGAGGCACTCCTCAACTACTTCACTACCATTTTATACAAAAACTCCTCTCTCTCTCTCTCTCTCTCTCTCTCTAGAGTGAAAGTGGTGGAAATAATTCAAGAAGAGGCAGCCTTGAAGACAAGGAAATTGAGGGTCTCCAGAGCAAAATATATGAAAGTTCCAGGTGAATGAGTGAAGAAACAACCGAAGTTAGAGCCCACCACACACTGCCACCCACTCCCATACATCTTGTCAAATTCCTGAAGACGCAAATATCATTAAATAAAATAAAATTAATGAAAATGATTTGAAAATTTTGAATTTTAATTATAAGAATAAAATAAAAGGTAAAATGAATAGTATTATAATTGATTTTTTAGTGTAAAAATATGATTTTTTGTTAAAACGAAGAGTAACAGGAGCTTTTCGTTAAAATTTCTTTAAATAAAAAGGAAAAAAAAACTAACTATTATTGTAAAATGAACAAAGATTCGACTTATTTTAGGGAAATGAATCCTCTTCGGATCCCTTCCATCAAATTCATCAAATTCTGAGATTCAGACCATTGAAATTCGATCCAACGACTACAAACAATAGTCTACTTTAAAAGTTATAACAACTTTAACTGTTAGATCAAATTTCAATGACTCGGATCCTTAGACTTGTTGATTAGAAAGAAAAAATCGAAAATGATCTACTTCCTTATTTTAGCTATATTTCCTTAATTGATTTTCAAGTAAAATTGAAAAACGAAATAGGTATCGAACCAACCCTAAGAAAAATCAGTAGTCGCGAAGTATATACCTTCTTGATGTGGGCGGCTATGGATTTGCAATCAAAAACGTCATGCAGATCAAGGGCTTGAGAAGCACAAGCCATGGCTTGCATCTGCATCTTTTCTGGCATGTCTGCTTCCCTTATCGTAGCTTTCCCTTCCAGCATCTTTCTTCTTTTTCTGCTTCTTTCTCTCTACCTTTAGAATCCCAGATAGATAGTTATATAGATTCCTTTGTGCAAGCTAGTGCTTCCACAAATGTAGAAACTAATTATATGGAACTCAAGAATCTATTGGCTGGCTGCGATTGCGGAGCACAAGTTATAGGGTCCGAGATTGACTAATTTTGTGCGCCCGAACTCAGGAGAAGTTTCAAGCTGGCACGTAGCTCAGCTTTTCTGTACGCGTTTTTGTTTGTTTCCACTTCTTTCCCAATCCAACTATTTTTCCGTCCATCTAAATCTTCTTGATTGATTATTCCTCCAATTATTCGTTTACAACTCCTTGGCTCTAATCTCTACTTGATCATAGAGGAGTCGTGGATGTAAAGAAATACTTTTATGCCCTTCAATCATGACCGCGGTGATATTCAGCAGCGGAGTCAGCAAAAATTATTCAGAGGATCATGTGTAAAAAATTTACTGGACATATAATAACTCAAAAATTAAACTATAGTTCTATCGTTTATAATCTATAGAATAAATAATAATACAAGTTATAATTGTTCACAACATGTTTTCATCGTATTTGAAAAAGCTGCATTATAACTTCATTTTCAATGAAAAACATTAATGAAACATTGCTCTCAATTAAACCACCACGCTATCATTCAACCATTGATCTTACATTCGGTTACACAATGAACTTTTCACAATAATAAGGCAACTTCTCTTTGAGGTATTTTATCAAGTTGTTGGAGGGCTTGTATGAAGGGCAACTCCAACCTTCAAAATAGCAGCATTCAAGTTATCCATGGAAATTTATCGAAATTCGGAATGTCAGTTGACACTTTTGTCTCTGGTAGTATCACACATAAATTACGTATTAGATGTCACGATAATAGTACTTTATATTAATCATGCATTCTTATGTACTTCTTTCAATTATCTAACTTCTTAAAGAGTATGCACTGAAATCCTTATCTATTAAATGCTTAGCCATTAATCTTTTACCGCACGTTCAATCTTTCATTTACGTATTTCGTGGCCAGTCCATTCTAGAATTTTCACTCAAAATTGGTTCACCTCAAAGAGGTGAGTAATGTTACTGTTGTCACGTGTGGAAGAACTACAGTTTACAGGACGGTCTGTCATCTAGCACCACTTACGTGCAAGGCTCTGATAGAAAGGGCGGTCACTACCAACCTAATCGGCGGAAACTAACCATGATTTCGCCTTGGACTCTGACTTCATCCACATCCATTTCAAGCCTGCAGCCTGCATCTCTTACATATTAAGAAATCTCCATTGGGCCAATGGTGCTAGTTTCATGTCCAAAATCCTCCTTTCTAGGGTTTCTCTTTTCTGGCCTTTTATTTTGGGCCTCATTTCTGAACATGTTTTTTATTTGAGAATTTTTTTGACTGTCCAGTATTCTACGTGTCATAATACAAGTAAATGACATGGTAAAATATATCATTTTCTTTACTTTTGTATTATGTCATGTAGAGTACCACTGAATACTCGACACTTGGAAAAGTCTCTCAACGAGGAGGGGTTTTCAATACCAAGAAGAAAAGTATAACTAGATGAATAAGGGGTCATTTGGAAATGCTCATGTATAATGTATTTGTTTACATAACACTTTTACGAAATGAGAAATTAGGTTCTCATCCCTCTTTTCACTGCTTCATTGATTAAAACCCTATTCTTTTTCAATTTTTGATCAAGGTTCTTGAGTATTAATAACATCATTAATTATTTCAATAATAGATATTTTTTATTTTTAAATATATTCCCTTGGTGTTAAAAATGTTACAATTAGTATATTTATATTTATGACTAAATTTTTTATCTTATATTTTTATTTTTAGTTTGTACCCATTTTTAATTTGCAAACCTTTTTTTAATTGGTGCCAATTTTCTTTTCAGTTTTAAATTGTACCCATATATTAATTTCTTTTTGTGCCCAGATTTTTTAAAGTTTTATTTGTATTTGTGCCCATGTGTTTACTGTCACGTGACATTGTATAATTAATCAATGATAGAAAAATTACATATGGTATATTTATGTTTTATGGCTAAACTTTGTATCATATATTTATATTTTTAGTTTGTACCAACTTTTAATTTGCAACCTTTTGTAAAATTTGTAGTATTTTCTTTTTAGTTTTTATTTGTACCTATGTATTAATTTCTTTTTGCGCTCATATATTTAAAATTTCATTTGTGCTCATAATTTTTTAATCTTTTATTTGGACCCTAATTTATTTATAATGTACCATTCTTCTTTATTAATGTACCACTTTGTTATACGTGAAATGTACCAATTTTTTTTAACACTATGAATATATTCTTTAGCCATTTATTATTTCTTATTGTTACTAGTTTTTATCCATTTATTCAATCAAAATGTTTGAATTTTTTTATTGTAGCCGTTTATAATACTATTTATAATGAGGGATTTTAAATTTATAGGGTATAAATCTCATAAAATATCAAACCATTAATGTCAAAACTATAAAAATATAAATATTAATAGTAATATAATGAGGTGTACAAAGTCAAGGGACTTTGATCAAACTTTGAATAACATTAAGGTTTTAGTTAAAGAGTGTTAGGAACTAGGAACCGCATCCAAAGTATCCCTTTACAAAAAAATAGTTTGTTGCTTGACACAACTAAATAGATGCTTTTACACCATAAAAAATGCTTTTGATATTCGGTAGAGTGTTTGATGTTAGTATTGCTAGCTTAGTTGATGATGACCAATTATGTTACATGATGTTAAAAATTCAACACACAAACTTTCAAACATACTTTTCAACTGCTTTAGACTTTAAAAAATGTAGCAATCACAAGAAAATAAGATGACCAAGTCGATGTCCCAAGCCAATTTATGTCTTTCCTTCCTCTACCAAAAAAACCAAATTAAGTTCATTTATTTTTGCTTCCCTTTGTTCTTGTACTAATGACATCCCCTATAAGATAAGATCTTTTAATTTGGAAAAGTTATTTATACATCTACATTGAGCTCCACTTTAATTTAATTGTAGAAACGGAAGTGTCAAACTCATAATGTTAAAATTGGCAACACATAGTGGATATGCCATTTCACGTGAATTACACACATTTTTTTATTTGTACAAAAGTGAGTTTTCAACTATTTTTTTTAGACGCTAATAATACCACCATAAATTTGACATCTTCTTTACGCTCTTATCAATTTTCAATTTAAACTCATCATCTACTCATCCCCTCCACTTAGGAGTCCAACTTGAGATTTAATTTCAAAGACCATCCAAATTACACTCCTAATTAAGAATTGTGTATGTATAAATAGTAGAGATTCAACAACTCACTTATCTCAATACTTCATTACCAAAAAAGAAAACCAAATTGAGGGGCAAAAATGCTGCCATCCAATCATCTGAATACACAGCCCATCAAACATCAATATACAGAAAATTTTGAGAAACAAAGTGAGATTAAGCATTAATTAATCCGCCCATTTTTTAATTAGCTGTACAAACAAATTCCTTGAAGTACTCGCCTAATTAGAGAAAAAGGATTAACTATTTTATTCCTTCAAAATCCTCACCCAATTAAAAAATTAATTAAATTAAGTAATAAAAACAAAAAAAATTGAAATGCCAGAAATACAAAGGAAGCAAAACGAGGATCAGGAGAGCTTCTCTCTAATCAGAGTCCTTGGCTCATCTGGAATTTCACTGGCAAAAAAGGGCCCCGCGTTGCGGCGTTGGAACGGCGCCGTATATCAATTTGGGGTCTGCTGGTGATGGGCGATGAGAAGTCGTCGTCATCGATTGTAATGGCGAGCAGAGACAGAGAACCGCGAGACCGTGAGCTTCTCATTCCCGTGGCGGACTCCGGCGACGAGGATGCATCGTCCAAACCCTCCTCTTCGTCCTCCTCCTCCCACCACACCGGCCGCGAGGTGATTTTAGATTGCTGTTTTATGGGCCTAGGGTTTAGCTTTCTGTTTCAAATTTCATTGCTTTATGTTATGTTTGGCTGCTGAGAAAATGGAGGAAAATTCGAGGGAAATTCTGAAATTCTTTCATAGGTTGCGAATTGAAGTTAGTGTGTTTGTGTTAATTGTGATTCATGGGTTGATTCTTGTGATTAAATTTCTAATTTTGTGTTTGACTTAGTTTGATGTACTGTTTCATGAGACTAATGCAGTTTGATGTACTGTTTCATGAGACTAATGCAGAAGCAAACTCAGATTTGGGTCTTGGTTTGTTTGTCAAATTTTCATCAGTTAATTTGGACTTGAAATGTGCTAATTGGTTCGAAATTTTGGTATGAGTACGGCTTTATTTCTATCCTCCAGCTTCCAAGTAATTGATAGTGGTATATCTAGACATTTCGATAAGAAATTGAGTGACATCATTGCGTTTAACTTTTAGTCAGTTTAAAGGTGTATCGCAGTAATTTATCAAGAACCGGTTAGTGAGTCAAAAGTTTGTTATTTTTTATGGCCTAAGTTGCCACATAAGTTTGCCCACGTTTTGTGCATTTGTGCGTTTTTTCTTAATCTTCAGTAAAATCGTTCTGATTTCTAATTATGTCTGTGCAGACGTTTTCCAAAGTTGTTAGAAGTTGGGCATCAAAAAAGTTCATGACAGGATGGTGAATATTTCTTTCTTGTGGCTCTTATTTTCGTTCAAATCACGTGCATATGCTATTGCATTTGAACCTGTGTGTAAACCATCAATTCTATGTTGTGGGGAGGGTAAATTTCTTTAATGGTCAAAATGTGACGTTAGTTTTTTGCACCTGTACAAGTTCTTGGATTTCTGATTACTGTTAAGATTTAGTTCTCAGGGTACTTTTTAAGTTTATTAGCTTGAGCCATGAGGTATTCTGAAGGATGGAATGCTTTGGTAGTGATACGAATTTAAACTTAGATTGTTGGCATGTATCTATAATCTATTTTTCCCTCTTTCTGAAAGTAGAAGTATATCATTTATTTGAGCTCTAGGAGTTTTGTTACAGGCAAAGTAATAGTTGGATAAGATAGAGAACTACCCTCTCGCATGAATTCAAGAAATGCACAACTTAGCTTCTTATAAGTTTTAGACTGAGACCATTTCATGGAAATTTATGCTCATCATGTATGTTTTGATTTATCTTGGTGCATCCATTTGATGCAGTAGTAATGAGATCATATATATTATATCATACTAGCTTTGCTGTCAACATTTTCTTTGTTCAAGATTGCTTTTTTCTCGTATAAATTATGTTGGCTGCTCACTATTTGTTCTTTTACAGTGTGATCCTATTTCCAATAGCGATCACTTTCTATATCACATGGTGGTTCATTCACTTTGTGGATGGCTTCTTCTCTCCGATCTATGCTCAACTTGGAATCAACATTTTTGGTAAGTAGTATTCAGAAATGTACTCCCTTTATCCCCATTATTTCGTTGTTATTATTCGAACTTGCATTAGTTATTTGGTAATTGGATTTGACCTCGCTGAGCTAAGTATCTAGTTTACTTTCTCTCTCAATCTAACCTTAGAGACACAAATTTCAGTGTGAGAATCTGACTTGGGGAAAGACAGTTCATATCCTTTAGATAAATGAAAACAAGATGCTGTGAAGCTAGAGTTTGACTTTCTTTAACTTGCATGCTTTATTGTCCTATTCTTAGAAACAGGTGCTTAATTGCCCTGGTGATCATATGTCAGATCTAGAGTATGTACGCAAAGGAATCAAAGAATGTTGCCATATGATGTAGGACAATAGGAAGGGATGGGAATAAAAGAGAAATCCAGACTAATTCTGGCCTTTGGCATCACAACAAAGGTGTATTGGAATCACCTCAGAAGAGAAGTTAGGAAAAATCTGGCATCACACCAGAATATTCCTTGGATTCACTCCAAGTCAACATGTGCTTCACACGCAAGCAGAAATTCCAGAACTTCTTTTCACTAAATCTGATTTTAAAAGCTTTCAAAGTAGATCCTTTTATGGGCTAATTGGTACATGAATTTGGAAAGATCCACATGAATATACTTAGGAATTCTAAAGACTAATTTATGACACATTGTATTAATCTTGTAACATAGAGAGTACATGTGTAAAGACTAACTTATAACCCGCAGAGTACGTGGAAACTGCATTTATTACATAAGAAACTAGGACTCTAATGTGTTAACTTGGCTCCTGCATCGCATATGGTATGGTCAATGTTGGAGTTTGACAAAAAAATATACCCCTAATGCACCATATGACACACAACACGCTTTTTTCAGATTCATTATATGATGCCTAGTTTACAGTCAACACATCCTTTTTCAGTGATTCTGTTTTGGTGTGGTTTTACAATGTATAATTGACCTTTCAACTTCCATATACATGTTAGGTCTTGGATTTGTAACTTCCATAACATTCATATTTCTCGTTGGGGTGTTCATGTCATCATGGTTGGGTGCATCTGTCCTGGGCCTTGGTGAGTGGTTTATCAAAAGAATGCCGTTTGTTCGTCATATCTACAATGCCTCCAAGCAGATTAGTTCTGCCATATCCCCAGGTGAGCTCTATAGAAATTTTCATCCTCTTTGTTTGAATGAATGAATTACGTGGGGCCAATCTTTAATCTTTAGCTCTATAATTTCAGATCAAAACACACAAGCCTTCAAGGAAGTGGCCATAATAAGGCATCCACGTATTGGTGAATATGCATTTGGGTTCATCACTTCATCCGTTGTCCTACAGGTATGGTAATAATTTTTCATTGTAAAAAACGAGAACTTAACGGATGAAATGATGTTGTGCAGCTTGTGCTTTTAAACATAATTGGTTTTTCATACTGTTTGTAACGGTGACTTTATTTCTCCTTGGCTCCAAAATTATTTTGCAGAGTTATTCTGGAGATGAGGAGTTGTGCTGTGTTTATGTTCCCACGAACCATCTTTACATTGGTGATGTGTTCCTGGTCAACACCAAGGATGTTATCAGACCAAATTTATCCGTACGGGAGGGAATTGGTGAGTAAGCTTATATTATTCAACTTCATATAGAAATAAAGCGGCAGGGATTAATAGACTTGAGCCCTTAGCTTGAATTTACCTACCACATCCGAAAAGTGAAAGGTTAAAATAGAGAGGAAAATAGTTGCTTTATCTCCATGAAGTTGTACTTACCATTGATGCAGTATCTTATTTGTTTATTTTTTAATGCAGAAATCGTTGTGTCTGGAGGCATGTCAATGCCCCAGATCCTGTCAACGGTTGATTCGCGGATCATGCCAGTGGAAAGATGAGGGAAGGCGTTAGATTTAGCTAAGTTGCTTCTTTAATTTGTTTACCTTCTTTGGTTCTTGAATGTCATCAGACTGGCCTTGCAATCAATGTGGTGCTATATTATCAGGTCTTAGATTCTGGTGACATTTGTAACATCGGTTTTTTTCGGGTCAAATTTGTAACATCGGTTGTGATGTTAGAATGTAGAAATGTTAGTGTTTCTGTGTTTGCTTGAAATATAGCTTGATGGATTAAGTGAGGCATATTATAGCCTTTTATTTATTTATTTTTACATTTCATATTTAAAGGCTAATTTATAGCTATTTTCTTTTTAATTTAAAACTCTTGATTCTTGTCATACTAAAGCAATGTTGTAGGTTGAAACGGCAGGTTCTTTGGTTTGTTAAGGAAACTTGATCATTGCTGTGCTACTATATATAACGGATCACGGTACGTATAATCGAGGACGGACTCAGCCAAACCAAGATAAAATTTTGTTGTAGGGGCTTCTAGTTCGAGTGGTTGTATTTACCCGCGCTCTTGAAATTTAGTGTTCGATTTCCCCAAACTCCCAATCTAGTTTGTGTCAAGAAAGAAAGTTGGTCTGATTTGGTGTAATGGTTAACCAAGAAACAACTCATTGATGGATTCTCGGGCAAAATCGATGGATATCACTTGGAATTTATGATAAAAACACTTATGGCATGTTTACGTAACCGTAATGAAAATATGATGAATTGAATTGAGGAGGAGTTGGAAGCTGTTTACTTAAATGTTCTGGAATCGGAATAAAAATGACACTAATTTTATAAAGCTATTTACTGATTAAGCAGAATCAGAATATAAACCAGTATGATTACTAAAATGCCCTTGTCCCAAATCAAATATTTTATGTACTTTTTTAAATAAAATTTGATATAATATATAATAGTAAGAAAAAAATTAAGTTGCTTTAAAGAAAAAAATTAAGTTGCTTTTTTATTTCATAGACACTAAAATGCTTTTGTTTATTTTTTTTATTTATAAATTTAAGTATTTATTTTAATATTTAAATTTTATCACTCAAGTTGTAGTTTCTTCTCTTCGGCATATGCATGGAGTTGTGCATAATGTGAATGAGCATAGAAATACAAAAAAGTAAGGAGTTGTGCATAATTTAACTAGGGTTAATGGGTTTATAAAGGATAGTCTTAGAAATGAAAAAAGTAAGTGAGAGCATAATAGGAAGAGCAAATGCATTCTCGATTCCCTCACCCTCCCAAAATTCAATTACCACATCCATAGAAGGAGTCCAATTCCTCCAATCCCGGGAATTGAAATTCATTTTTTGTGTGGGTCCCACACACTTTTAATTCATCTCAATTTTAGTAAACACAAGTATAATCCGTAATCAGAATTAGATTCCTTATTTTCATTCCGATTACGGGTTTGTAAACACTCCCTTAGCAAAAAATACTTTTTGGGCATAAGCACTTCCAAAAAATAGCCGCCCAAAACGGCTCTATGATGGTGGTACACTTCTTATTTTCAACAACTGCCGTCCATGATATAAGAGCCCATGAACTCAGTGAAAATAAAAATCCTTTCAAAAACTCATTCAGGTATGGGCCTTTTCTGTTGTAAGGGCTTTATCATGGGCTGGCCTGATGTGGATCAGTTGATGTTAGAGCCCAACTTCATCTGTCACAGGATGAGGCGCATGTTATAACCATACACCCACATGTAGCGTACAATAATCCCAACTCAAAAGCCCTACCCATACGCAAAACCCTAGCCCCCAAAGCCTCCGCCACACCTCTTTATAAACCCGCGAACTCTTCCACCCAAAACACACAAAAATATGAATGTCTACTCGGCCGCTTAGGGTTTCCAGCTCCTCTGCAATTAGGGTTTCCAACTTTCCAGCTCCTCTGCAGTTAGGGTTTTCAACTATTTCCATCGCCATCGCCATTTATTTTCTATTTTGTTTCCAATTTCTGTAGCTTTGAATTCAAATTTTGGGGCAATGACGATTCATTGATATAAGGTCTCGTTCGTCGTAACGGCCGTAAAGGCCTTGCCGACCATCCTGCTATATCACCACCCATATTCTGAGTCCCTCTCATTCCAAATCTTAAAAAAAATAGTATCTTTTGTTCTTGATTTTCTCCAAATTAGGGTTTAATTATAGCTAATCTCCTTTTGTTATAAAAAAGAATCTGTTTTTTGTGTTTTTTTTTAGGTCAGCCGATGATTAAATTAAATATTTAGACAAGCATATGTCTGAATTTCTATATGTGGAACAACCTAATCTTCTCTATGAGGCTGATCAAAGGTTTTTTCCAAATTTTAGGAAGATGAAATTTTTTATCTTCTTATTTTACTTGAAATTTTTTGTGGGCATCTTATTTGTTGGTTTTGGATTTATGAAAATACCCACCAAACTATTTCCCAAAAAAGAAATGAACAGGGTTTAGGATTTGAGCTCGGTTGCCAATGATGATAGTACGGTTTTCGTGTAATTTATGACAATTTGTGATTACATATATACCTACTGCCTTCCTTCTGAGGCTGATCTCTTTTTCGAAAATAATAACATCCGTTTTTATGAATTTAGCGTAGATTATTTTATCGTTTGTCAATTATGAGTAGTATGGTCGCGTGATGATTTGACGCATAGTTCAACTGAATCTCTGTGATTAAGCAAATTTCATGTCTTTCGCTCCTATCTGACGACCCTTGTGATTGTTTCTCTAGTTTTGAATTAAACTTGATATTTGTGTCAAAATTGCGCTTATTTTTTCATCCAATCAATTTTTCCCTTTTGTTTTTGCCCTGTTTGCCGAGTGTGGATGCGGATTATGCAAATGTTCTCTGATCAATAACATTCAGAAATTGCTTATCGTGGGATGAAAGTGAAGGAATAGTTGCAGGCGGGGGCGGGAGTTGCACGATTTCCTGGTTGATTTATTGATTGTGCACCCCCTGTCGTCCTCCTGCAACTTTCCCACGTTTTGTTAAACCCCTGAGATTATCATGGTACCAAGTGCCATTGTTGTGCGTTTGTCCGTCATCGTTGTGCTCTCATTTGTTTGTTGTGTTCTTTTAATTGTATTTGTAAATGCAAGCATGTCTGAGATTGTTGGTGCCGGTATTGTTTACTACTAAATGTTAATCCATTTCTTCTGTGTGGAATGCTTATCTGATCCCTCCCAAGGCCGAATTGGGTTGACCTATGGCAGTTAGATTGATGCTATATCTTGCAACATCAACATTGCTTAATTGTTTGGAATTTGTTTTCTCGAGTATCTCACACTACCTATGGCAGCATCAATCGTTATTCCAAGATGTTTGTGTTTTGGTCTCTCGTCGTAGTGGCCTCTTTGGCCTTGCCGACTACTGTGATATTGCATCAATTGTCTGAGTCCATGAAACCTTTAAGCATATGCAGTTCGTCGAGCAGTGTGTCTAAGTTTTTGTGGTATTGGCATTTTTGTATTTTGTTTCTTGCAGGTGTCACGTTTTGTTGTGATGTTTGTTAAACGAGTCTCGTGGTGATCGGGGCACTCCGGGCATTCGAAAGGACTTGCAGCAACGAAGCACACATGAGTTTGTAGCTGGATATGCCATTGTATTAGGTTGAGTAGCGTAGATGGTATTTGTTGGTAGTGCTCACGATTGTAGGCTTATTGTCCGCCTAAATTGAAATTTATGGTTAATAAAGTTGGCTTTTGCACATGTGACTGGCAGCTGCTGGTAGCACCACATTATAGAGTTATTTGTGTTTCAAAGTGACAAGTCTTTGTTTTGATTTTAACATTAGTTTTGTCTCATTTTGCCTTCTGAAACTGACGTTTTTAAATCTTTTGGTACCCTGTTTTGTTAAAGAACTTTTAGGGTCATTTAACTTGCAAGGCATGTATATTGGCTAAAAGTTGAATTTAAAATATCATTGAATTTAACAATTCTTTAACGAAATGAGATGAAGTGGAATCAAAAGAGTTGAAAATATTAATTTAAAGGACAAAGTGAGATAAAATTAGTTTCAAGAGATAAATTGAGACAAACTAACAATTTTAGGGGACATTTCAATTAATAGGCTAAAACTTAAAACCAAAATATCCTCATATTTTATCCATCTGCCAAGATATTTTATCATTGATGGAATTTCATGGACATGTAGTAACAGTATGGAAGTCTCTCCCCTCTTTGAGCAACTTGCATACACAGTTACACAACCATATGTGGACCAAGAGGATCCTCATCGGATCCTCTTGTGAGGATCTTAAGAATTCTCTAATCATGTCCGTTCATCGTATATTGTGCGGTTAAAAATCATTGTAAATTTTTTTTATTTAAAATTGAATGTAAACAATATCGAACAAAAACCGGTCGCACAATGTACGATGAAACGTATGTGATTGGAGGATCCCCAGAGGATCCGGCAAGTATCCTCTCTCATATTCTCATATGTGGATAAAAATCTCACACATTTTATTGGCACGTAATATTACTGATACACATCTATGCAATCAATGGTAGATAAAAAACTAATACGTTTTATAGACATGAAATGTTACCAAGGCTTATTCATGTAGGTCGTCCTCTCTCTCTTGCGTAAGTTGAAAGTCAATTGTAATGAATTTTGGACCAAACTCATCTAATGCATATTTCGGAATGGTGAAAACGTTACGAAGTATGAATTTGTAAAATCTTTAACAAAAATTGTAACACGATGACTAGTGAGGATCATCAATCACGGCAAGTGGTCTTCGTATAACTTGGAATTCTAAGTCAGTTTACAAAATCACGGATGATCTTTTGATATAAAGTTTTGAGATGAGATGTGCCACGCATTTAGTCTTTCTGAACCTCATAAAGATTAGTCTTTAGGAGTGTAAAATACCTCTGACTTTGAAATAAAAAGACAAATGAGGATAGAGACGTCGCATATGAACGGCGTCAATCAGTACCAGCCACTCGGACAGCGTCACCTCGTGCGCGCCAAACGTAACACTGTCACAAAACTAACCCCGTCAAAAATTCACATGGTTAACGCGGGTAACTAGAGTAACGGACGACTAAAAAACTGCCGACACTTGATTCCCGAACCTGCAGCTTCGGCACCTCTGAACCTAAATCCAAACCTCGCTGTATCTAAGCTAACGTTCCTCTGACTCCCTCCACCCCAACTCCGTCTGTATCTCTCACTCTCTGACCAACAAAAGTAAGTGGTTATTCAACTTATTCTGCGGTAGTGGAAGTGCTCCGCTTTACTCAGTGTGCCCACATCACTAAAACGCCACTCTCAAGAGAGAGAGAGAGAGAGAGAGAGAGAGGAGAGAAGCACACCGAAAGTCCCTTTAGATCCCTCCTAAGTTTCTGAACCCCTCGAAGGCACAAACTTTTCTGTTCATTTTTTGCTCCTTCGTCTTCTTTCTAATTCTGCCATTTCAGTCTGTTTTTTCCACCAACCCGGTTGAATTCCGAGCAACCTGACGAAAACCCAGATCAAATTTCATTAAAAGGTTTTGAATTTCCATCTGGGCGTAATCGAATTCAGTTTCTTAGCTGAAGGATACTAGTTTTCTGTTTAATTTGATCAAGTTTGCTATTCGTCTTCTTTCCAATTCTGGTAATTTCGTTTTGCTTTAATTAAAACCCAAATCAAGTTTCCGATTAGCTTCCAAATTTCCACCTGGGTTTAATCAAATTTAACATTTTCCACCAAAATCTCTGTTTTTTTCTGAGCCAAAGGGCCTACTTTTTCTGTTCCATTTGCTCAGTTGTTCTTCATCTTCTTACCAATTCTGGCATTTTTCTCAGCTTTACCCGTGCCGTTTATTTAAAACCCAATCAATTCACAAAACCCAAATCAAATTTCCAATAAAGTTTCAAAATTCCCAGCTGGGTCTGATTCATCATCTTTCACCAGTTCTGGCATTTTCATCTGTTTAATCAAAATCCAAGCAATCTCACAAAACCCAAATCAAATTACCAAAAACGCTTCAAAGTTTCCAACTGCGTTCTAAGCAAAATCAGTATCTTCACACATTAAATACTGCACACCCCCACAGTAATTATGATGCACGCGAAATCCGACTCAGACGTGACGAGTCTATCCCCATCACCACCCAGATCACCCAAGCGCCCGGTGTACTACGTTCAAAGCCCCTCCAGGGACTCCAACGATGGCGATAAATCCTCCACAATGCAAGCCACCCCCGCCTTCAACAGTCCCATGGAGTCCCCCTCCCACCCCTCCTACGGCCACCACTCCCGGGCCTCCTCCGCCAGTAGGGTCTCGGGCCCTTTCCGGTCCTCCAATTCGGGCCAGAAGGGTGCCCGGAAGCGCAACGACAAGGGGTGGCCGGAGTGCAATGTGATCGAGGAGGATGGAGATTATGGAGGGCTTTATGGGAATAAAGGGATTCCGAGAAGGTGCCAGATTTGTGTTGCTCTGTTCGGATTTGTTGTGATTTTCTCTGTTTTTTGCTTAATTCTTTGGGGAGCTAGCAGGCCGAACAGAGCAAGAGTTGCTGTTAAGGTATGTTCGGTTGATTATTTTAATGATTTTTGGGTAAAGTAATCTTTTGGGAATGTGTGTTATTAGTTAGGTTAGTGAACCTGGAACCTGGCAAGAACTAGTGAACTCTCCCCGTTGGGGTTCTTTTACGTTGTATATTTTATTGCGTCTATCTCGCTCACAACATTTCACGAAGATGATTGAGATAGGAATGGATTTAGAGGTATAGACACAATGGAAAATATTCTCTCGATTTAGAGAGGTAACCAAAGTTTTTATTAGGAAATTATTTCCGCGCAACCTTTTTCGTCTCGTGTGCACAACTGTTTATTTGTACCTTGATTTATTTAATTCAGAAGTCAAAATCAAATACGGGCGGGCATGAAGAGAAAAGGGATGTGCCGATATCACTTTTATTTTTCTTTCGCTGATTTTACTGTCTAATGGTAACTACTTATGTTTCAAATAATCTTCAATTTAAGTGTTTTCAAAACCCTTTTCCTACAGAGCTTGGCAGTCCATAATTTTTATTTCGGGGAAGGATCGGACATGACTGGTGTGCCTACAAAGATGCTGACAATGAACTGTTCAGTGAGGATGACTGTGTACAACCCTGCTACGTTCTTCGGTATCCATGTCAGCTCCACGCCGATTAAACTGATGTATTCAGAGATTGCAGTTGCAACTGGTCAGGTAAGAATTCATACATTTGGGATGTGATTTGAGAACCTGCGCTAATTTCTTCACCTTGTGCTTATTGGTTGCAAATTCGATGCAGTTGAAGAAATACTACCAACCAAGAAAGAGCTACCGGAACGTGACTGTGAACCTCCAAGGGATCAAGGTTCCTTTATACGGGGCTGGGGCAAGCTTAGCAGTATCTGATAACAACGGAGGAGTTCCCATGATGCTGGTGTTTGAAGTCCGGTCACGAGGGAATGTGGTGGGGAAGCTGGTGAGATCAAAGCACCGAAGGCACGTATCTTGCACCATGGAAGTCGGCTCTCATATTAGCACACCCATCAAGTTAAAAACGAGTTCATGTACTTATAAATGAGCACTGAAGGCAAACCTCTCCGTCTTGTTTGCGCAGTTTCTTCATGGAACGAGCACATATTACAGTTATAATGGTTATCGGAGTGTGATGGAAGTTAAATTCTATGACTGTTGGATCGACGATATCCATCTTATATGACAGTTGATAAGTTAAAAGAATTTTGCTTTTTGTGTCCAAGTTATTCGTTTATGCATTTTGAAAGTAAAGCTGGAGTGACAGAGCAGATTTTGAAATGAGAATAAGTTACGTAAATCAAGCGTCGATTTACAATGTAACACTAATGATACTGAACTAGGGCCTTCCAAAAATTTGCCCGTAAGCGTGTTTCTTTAGAACAGAGATGTTACATGAGATCCAAAGCAAAAAATGAAACAATTATATGTGACGAGCCAGAAGAAACTTCGTACGGTTACTAATTCAATGATACACCTTCATTTAGCTGAGACGCTGGAATGCCTTCCTGACCTTCCTTTAGCTGAGACGTTGGAATACTCTCCGGCTTATCAGCAGCACAGCCGGTCTCAAGAACTGTGGCACCGATCCTCTTTGGTGGCCAATACCGAAACAGGGATCTTCCTAAAATATTCTTGGTTGGCAATGGACCCCTAAACATTTTCAAAACTTGAACAAGCAATCAACAGGAGGAACTAAAAGATAAGAGGTAAATCAAAGGTCTTAAAACTAACATATCTCGCATTTCTGCACTTGGGTTTTAGAAACATTACCATACGTGTGAGTCGTAGCTGTTGTTTCGATTGTCACCCATCACGAAAACTGAGTTCTCTGGCACACGCTGTGCAACATAAACACGAAGAAAAAGATGCAAAGGTTACATTCTTTTATAAAAGATCTAAAACATGGAAACCACCATATCACCTCAAATAAATGAAAAAAAAAGGTATGGGTAGATAAAATGTCATAACATATTTCTTACAATTGGAGTCATATTATATGCAGGTGGTTCAAGGATGAATTTTTCATTTCTCTCCACTCCATTTACTATGAGCTTCCCATTGCGCACCTGCAATCAGTCATAATTTTTTGTAGTTATGTTCCTAAAATTTAGATATCAACAACGACAGATAAAAGACAACTTTCTAGACGGACATACAGAAACCGTCACTGTATTATTATAAATCTACTAACTTTCAAAGCAAATCGGAATTAAATTTGCATATCTAGATTGTCATAGCACTCGTTCTCGACAAAATCTTAATTTAGATTTCTCGTCATACAGTAGAGAATGTAAAGTATACTGGTCTCATAAACCTCTTGGTTGACATAGGGATGTAATTAAATAGCAAGAAAACAGAAAGTAGCACCACCATATTATGACATGCGAAAATGCCAGTCTCACCTCTACAGTATCACCTTCCTTGGCAACAATTCGTTTAATGAAGACATCGTCCTCAGTATATCCTACTTGCTGGAGGACTGGTGGACTTTTAAAGATAACTACATCATTGGCACATGGCTTTCTGAGATAATATGAAACCTGACAATTTTAAGCAGAACATACGTTATCATTGATGATCAAACAAAATCGCATACACGTTGGATATCCCACATCGGTGAGTGAAAGAAGAAAGAAAGAGTTTACGTATGATCACCCCACTCTAACTAATACCGAGGCCTTTCTATGCTAAAACCCCTCACCTGATGGATTGGGCAGGTGGTAATTATCAAGTTGGGACAATATCGGTGTTGTTGGAGTGGGGCCCTTGGCCCGTTGACCAAAAAAATTAAACAATTCAAGTGCACACAAATCTGATCAATCTAGCTTGACATTAGCTTAATGAGAAATCTGTCACTGTGTATAAAATGCCTTTCCACTATCTTCTCAATTACCTATGTGCCCCGGAAGCTTTTTTTCTTGCTAAACCTCGTGCCCCTGAAAGTTTAACCCTCATCTGTCATCCGCTTCTTTATCATCCTTCTTATGTAACCTCACCCTCTCAAAATTGCATATCAAGAAAATGGTAACTCTGTTTTTCCCCAGGTAGTACAAGGCCCCTGAAAGTTTAACCCTCATCTGTCATCCCCTTCTTTATCATGCTTCTTATGTAACCTCACCCTCTCAAACATTGCATATCAAGAAAATGGTAACTCCGTTTTTCCCCGGGTAGTACAAGACCGATGCATAAACTGGTCATCCAAATTCAAAGACTCCATCCAAATTCTAATTTCCGAAATCCGAATTGTAATCACTAATTAAGTTCAAACACAAGCTTCATCTAAAAATGTAGCTAAGTAGCAATGCTGCCATTACAATTCAGACTTCTAAAGCGAAACCAATAGGTTTAAACCCTCAGCAAAAAGAAACCATACAGCATAAGCAATACATTCACCAGAAAAATAAATAAAAATCTGACCTTTTCTGCTACAATTCGATCTCCCACATCCAAAGTAGGATACATTGACAACGAAGGAATGAACCTCGGCTCAGCTATGAAACTCCGAAACGCCAGGGACACTGCAATCGCCGCAAACACCGTTTTTGCACCGCCGGTAGTGATACTGACCCATTCCGGAAAAGTCCCACTCTTCTTCTCCACCTGCTCATCATCCCCTCCGCCATCACCACCGCCTCCTCCGCCACCATCACCACCCCCACTGCCCAAAACCGCCTTCGTTTCGTCGCCGGAGTCCTCCAGAGCATTGCAAGCAAGTTTTCTGAGATGGGTTTTACAATTTGGGAGCTTAAATCGTCGAAAGTTAAGGGCTTTGAAGTTGGTTTTTGAAATTGGGTGGAGATTGAGGACTTTGAAATTAGGGATTTGGATTGGGGTGGATGAATGGGTAGGGTTGAAGTTAGGGTTTTGGAGGGAAGTTGATGGAGGGAAGACGTGTAGAGAGAGCATCTCTCTTTCTTTCAAAGCTAGCTACTCATTCAAACCAATCTCTGCAGATTTCGTAGCTTTGGGTATTCTTCTTTTTCTTCTTTTTTTTTATTTTTTATTTTTATTTTTATTTTCTGTATTTTTTGTTTTGAGTGTGGAAAATTTTGATCCTGCTACTTGTACATAGTTGGCTCCTTGTTTGTGGGTCCTACGGGGGTGTAAAACGAGTTTTTGACCCCAACTAGTATTGTTTAGAGATACTCTAAGTTCGTACTTGTTATTTTTTCGTTTGTTACATGAGTTAATTTGTTTTTTGTAGTAGCGTCTGTCTGTCTGTGCAGTATGTTACCAGGTTGCATTTAGATATCCAGATGTAGATTTTTTTGCCTTGAATTATGAACACATATGGTATATGTTACACATCTCATGTAGCAAATTACACAATTTCAGAACAAATTCATCAGTTCAGCAACACCAGTAGGAATGGAAGTATAACACAATCAGCAGCTCTGATTAGCAAAAGAATCATCCCCACTCTTGAATTCAAGAATCAGAACCAAGGAATCCTCCCGATCACCGCGACCGCCTTTGTTTCCTCGTTTATATATTTACACCACCGGACATGTATGTACGAAATGCCTGAACATCCCAACTTGACACCGAGACTGCCTTCTACATATAATCAGTGGTTGCTGGACTCTAAGCGCGGACGATGTAGTTTGCGTAAGACACATGGTTTTGGTAGCACTGTGCTGCATACTTTCAGCTGAAAACTCAAACCCTCTCACAAGCATATGACCTCGTATGTTGGCAGCAGAACCGCCGTTATCAGAAACTACTACTCCAGGTATCTGCAAAACATTAGGATAAGAAGTACTTAAGTTTTGTTTCCTACTAATGATCTCCAAGCTCTGATCAGGTATCTTGTCCCTCCTATTTTCTTTGTCCGAATCATTTAAGACTCTCATGGCTTCGGTCACTAAACCTATCGCACGCCAAGCTTCAGCCACGAGCTGGATAGTCCTCTTAGTAGGATGAACTCCCTTCTCTTCCATTATATTGAGTAAATCTTCTGCTAGCCATGGATGCCTAGCTTCTCCATATCCCCATATAAGGGTCTCAAAAGTTTTCAAATTCGGGGTGATTTCCATTTCGCACATTTTCTCATAGACACTCCAAGCATGCTCCATTTTTCCAGCGGTGCACCACCCGCTTATGATGGTCGTGAAGATTACAACATTTGGGTGCACGCCATATTTTCCCATGGATGTCATAAGTGACTCGGCCTTCTCAGGCTCACCAGCACGCACATAGCCTTTTGCAAGAATGCTGAATGCATGGATGTCAGGTTCTATGTCGGACTTTATCATGTCATTGAAGACCTCCTGGCATTTTTCCATGAGTCCTGCTGAGCTCCATCCATCCATTATGGTGCTAAATGTTATTACATCTGGTTTTATTTCAAATTCTTCCATCGACGTTAGTACCTGTGAAGTTAAGCTCTTTTTGTAAGTAAAATTTCTGTGAGAAAGTGAGGAACTGAGTGCTAAAGCATTGAAGGTAAAAACTCACCTCGTCAACTCCATCAGTGTCGGTAATGTCCAGAAATCCCTTGATAAGAGAGTTAAAAACAACAAGATTCGGCTGCACGCCAAGATCCTTCATTCTGTATACAAACCTCAAGGCATCTGTCATGCTACCTTCTTTACAGTAGCCATTTACAATGATGCCACAAGTTCGCTCGTTGGGGTTAACTTTGTTGTTCTGCATCTCGAACATCAGCCTTTCAGCCATATATGTTTCTCCATTCTCGGCATAAGCCCTTGCCAACGTGTTGTAAGTGACTACGTCGGGTTGAATACCAGATGCAACCATCTTATACACCACATTCCAGGCTTGATTCATTTTCCCCTCGCTACACCAGGCTCTAACAATAATATTATACGTCCTGTCATTCGGTTTTGTATTCTTATCCTGCAACATAAGCTCTAGCAGTTTTAAAGCTTCTTCAGGCTTACCGACAATTCCATACCCTTTGATAAGAGTGTTAAAAGTGCTGGTTGTGGGCTTACATCCACTCTCCTCCATTTTCTGAAAGACTTTCATGGCATCGTCGATATTTCCAGACTCAGAGGAAGCATTGATCATGGCATTAAAAAGTATTGAATCGGGCTTCATACCATTCTCCTCCACTTGAGAGAGGAGCGAGGGAATAGACTTGAAACGCCTCAGGCGCGTCAAGGCAGCTACAAGAGTTGTGTATGTTATAAGAGTTGGCCTGTGTCCTTCTTCTGCTAAACTCTTGAAAACGGAATGGGCCTCATGAGGCTTCCTTTTTGCAATCAAAGCATTCATCAATTTCGTTCTTGAACGAACAACTTGGCAACTACTCTTGCCCAAACATACAAGGCAGCGGGATTGGATCCCTGAATCTACCGGAGTTGATCCCTTCTTGCGCGACTGTGGCTCCTAGGAAGTTCACATTGATCAGAATTAGACCATTTACCATGTTTAATTAACCACACACACGCATAAACTACGCCTAATGTACATCAACAAAGGTTTACGAATGAACAACGCATTGTCAGCCTAATTAGTAGTGCAGATTAAGGAAGAAACAGAATGTACATTGATTGAACCATAAACTTACATAAGCTGCAACATATCAAGCAAACATACTACATTCAAGCAAACTGACTACTAAGCTAATTCGATATGATACCGCGAGTAAAGATGGTTCGTTGCCTCCAACGGAATCGTTACCTCTTGCCGTCTACCCATGAGCTGAGCCCCTAACAGCACCAAACTCTCCCAGTTCTTTTCTCCACTGCTTCCTCAATTTCGCAACTTCCTTGATCAAATTCAGATTTTGACTTCCAGTCCATACCTGTAAAGGCCAGGTTTAAGGCATGAACATTCACTGTATCAGAAATTTCCATAGCTTTTGAGACATCCACTATCTAATCCATATACCACTGCTGGCATCCACTGAAGGCTGGGAAGAGGGAACAGTAACCAAAAATCCAGGCAACAAGAACCATTTACATGAAATGAAAGTCCGAAATTCGAAATCTCAAAGGCAACAGGCTTGTAGTTCAGTTGATTAAGAACATTCATTTCTGTAACGAGGTCTCAAGTTCAATTTCCGCTCCCAATAACGCTTATACATAAAATAAAATAAACCCAATAAATCCAACAAAAGAAAAACAAAAATGGGGAAAAGAATCCAGCCCAAACATCCAAACCCACATCTTTCAAATATTCATGCAATTAAAAGGGTTTCTGAAAACCATCATAGTTATCATAACCAATGCTTAAGGACATTAATAGTACAATTTGAGCTCTCCACACAGCAATTAAGTAAAACTCAAAGCTACAAACTTTAAAACAAAAAAATTAGACATATATTAGAAATCCAATTAAGTTAAATAATTAAGCATTTACCTATTGAGCTGACAGTGGCAGAGGTTGGAGAGGGAGGTGGAGCTGCATGGTTGGCTGCTAAATGTGCATGTAAGCCTGTGTAAAAGTGGAAGGGCTGGAATTGTAGTCTAGCGGTGTGTGTGTTGTGTTGTGGCTTCCACTGGAGATTCTTATCCACAAATATTAGTGAGAAATTCTGGATAAAATTTTGAGGATGTTAAAGCATGGACAAATATATTAGAAATTTATAATTTATTTATTTAGTGGTTGAAATTACAAGGACCACAATATTATCTTCCTTTTGTAGTTTTTTCTTTTTCTTTTTGGACATTATTTTGTACCTCTTGAGTTCAAACCTACGTGGTCATTTCTCATTGTCTATTTTCTAAGACCTCCTCCTTGTCTGCAAGATTTTTAGGGGAAGAGAGATTGATTGACACTTAACTCAAGTATCCCCATCTAACTCTTAACAAATATCAAATCAAAATCAATACCTATAACCAAAGAGAAGAGGTGAAAGCTTACTTATCTAGGTTGTGTGTGCCATTTTTCTCGTTAATTGGAGTAGTTTAGAGTATCATATTATTGTTCACTACCATTAAAATGGCTTGTAGTAATTTAGACAAGAATGTGAAGTTAGACTAGAGTATCAAACTTTTAACAACATATATTATTTTTCTCGGTGTTCCGTGTCAAAAGTACTTGTATACTCTTACTATAAGTTGCTCTCTTAGACCATCTTCAATCCTTGGGCTAAAACCTAACATTTTTAGCTTAGAAAATTTAGGTTTTAGCTTAGAAACAGCTTTTCTGCTCCAACCCTTTTGGCCTAAATTTTTTAGCCTAAGATTATTAAACAATAAATTTAGGCTAATTTTTTCTTTTAAAGTAATTTTTTTTTAAATTATGTACAGTATCATAATTTAATTTCATGAACATTTTAACTTAAAAATATTTAAATTCCGATAAATATTAAAAAAATTACTACATTTTGGTGAATTTTGAGTTAAATAATTTTTTTAATTATTTTAATTGTTGGACATACATTTGGGCGTTAGATTTGATTATATTCGATCTCAACCGTTGAATTCAATAAATCCTGGGAGACATGTCCATGTGGGTGGGGTCCCGTTGGTGGTGCCCACACCATTTTCTGGGCCAAATCCTAAGAGGAATTTAGCTTTTGTTTGACTTTTACCTTTTAGCCCACACATTTAGTATGAGTTGGGTTATATTTGGGAGGGGGGAAATAAAACCTAAAAAATAGCATTTAGCCCAAGATTGAGTTTGGTCTTAGAAGTTTATGTTGATTCAATGGTAGTATATTTATATTTTCTTTTTCCTTCAATTTTTATCAAAATTCGATTTTAATATTGGCAAGTCAAAGAAATCACTATTAGCAAAAATAAATCAAACCCCAAACAAAAGACTCTCCCTCGCTCCAAGGTTTACAAAATCAAGAAGATGAGATTAGATTATATATTTATATAATATATATATATATTTTTTTAAACAAAAGATATTATCTTATATCATAATGAAGAGTAATAATGTGATTTAATTTGTCTTTATCGAAAATCAAGCATAAAACTTCTTAAAAGAATACTACTAAATCATAATAATAAATTACGATATTAGATTATTTAATCAGGTTTACCAACTAAGGCTCATACCTTTATATAAAATAAGCCCACCAACTTCATCCACCGTTTGCCGCCTCTCCGCACTCCCAGACACAGAGCACAGAGTCGCAGCCACCGCAAATGATGTTGAAGCTCTGGAAATGGTACCAGAACTGCCTCGCCTTCCACCCACTCAAAACCCAGGTCATCAGCTCCGGCGTCCTCTGGGGCGTCGGTGACATTGCCGCCCAGTACGTCACTCACTCCAACGCAAGAAAGCGCCTTCAACTTTCTGTGAGTTGGTTTTTTTTTTCCCCCTAATTTTGCAACCGGAACCTGTAATTTCATTTCTTCGATTCAATTTCTTGTTTTCGGGAACTGGGTAGCTGTAAATTTCTCGTTTTGAGTTGGGTTTTTCGGAAAAGTTGGGTAATTTGCATTGCTTTGTTGAATTGTTATTTACTTGTTTAGCTTCCATGGAAGTGAAGTTTCATGTTATTTGCTCGAAATCATTAAGTTTTTTGTTTAGAAGTAGATTAATTGTTTGTTTGAACTCATGAATCTGTTCTTCAGAATTAGACAGCATTGATTATGGGTCTGTTTCGATTCTCATAGAACTCGATACTTTCACCAGTCTTACAAGGTATCACTTATCACCCTGAATAAGGATACTATAGAGTGTAGATAAGGGAATGATTGACTGGCTTTCAACTTGTGGTGGATTTTCTGTAATGGCCAAATTGTATTTCACTCAAATAGATGAATGCCGTTACAGAAAACGGATGTCATCACAACAGGAGCTGATTGTTTCATGACGAATAAGCCTCTTATTTTTAGCTATGACCATGTCCTTGACAAAATTATGTAATAGAAATGCTTCATAATTCAACCCGTGGTATTTGCTCACACCTTCTTTGAGTAATAACTACATAGAGGAGCCTTGTTCGATTCATTTTTCTTCTTCTATATTTTGCTTTTCAGCTGCAGTGGAACCTTGCTTCATTACAGAATAAGACATTGTATTACTATTTGATAGAGTTCTCTTGCTCAGATAGTGCATAATGTACATGCTCCTTTATACATTTGTCTCCCTGTTGATTGGAAGTCAAGGAACTACTTTTATTGTGTGCAGGAAAGATATTTTTCAGTTTCGGTAACTGAGTCTTTCAAAATGAAAAAAATGAACTAAGGAGTTCATGCTACCCCTGAAATAGATCCTGGTGTGGGTGCGTGGTAATGCCTGTGCATGTGTGATCATGAGTATGGGTTTCCAATGTGGCTCCTTTTATACGGTTCTATAACGTAGAGTGTAACTACAAACCCTTGATGCCCTTTTTCTCTCCACTTAGTTGTTCCCAAACTTTGTTAACCGTTGGACTTAAAATCAAAGGATGCAGCTGAAATTTGGACCGGAACCTAAATGATTTTTAATTCTAGTCGTTTTTGGTGTTTGTTGTTTGCTTCAGTTCAAGTTATTGTGTGCGGTGAAATAGTATTAGTATTTTGTCCATCAACTACTTTCTCTGCTCATATGATGAAAATCTATACTTCATGTCACAGGATAGAGACGCAGACTTCAAAGTTAACTGGAAACGCGTAGCCATCACAAGCACATTTGGGTTTGCCTTTGTTGGACCAGTTGGGCATTTCTGGTTTGTTTTACCTAATTGTGTCTTTTCCCTCCAGGTCACCTGATCTGATCTGTCTGCCACCTGTATGTTATATACAAATAAAAAGAAAAGGTATAACGTTGCTTGCTTATAGGTACGAAGGCCTGGACAAGTTTATAAAGCTGAAGCTTCACCTACAACCTAAGTCAGTGCGGTTTGTTGCTGCTAAAGTGGCAATGGATGGCCTTATCTTTGGCCCCTTGGATTTGTTGGTGTTTTTCACTTACATGGGATTTTCCACGGGCAAGAATTCTGTTCAAGTGAAGGAAGATTTGAAGAGAGATTTCCTACCAGCCCTTGCTTTGGAGGGTGGTGTGTGGCCAATTGTTCAGATTGCAAATTTCCGATATGTTCCTGTGAGGTACCAACTCCTCTATGTAAATATGTTCTGCCTGTTAGACAGCGCCTTTTTGTCATGGGTCGAGCAGCAAAAGGATGCTGCTTGGAAGCAGTGGTTCACATCTTTTACTTCGTTTAAGGAACGAGGAGGTCAGGGAAAATTATGATGTCCACCAATTTTCTATTCTTTTCCTTCACTTCTTTGGTTTAGAGTAGTGCAAGATGGAGAAAAGTATGTGCTTAAGACAGAAAGCATCATGAACCCTCCTGTGACCATCGACCGCTGGTTTTCGACATTGGGGTTGTGGGAGTGTGTTCAATAACACTTTTACAATGAAATGAAAAACACAGTTTAATTTTTCAGTTTCCTGCCTTTTTCTCTGTATTCTTCTTCATAAGTAGATTTACGCATCGTATATTGACTCAAGAAATACTTTTTTTTAGCGTACAAAATGTTTCCCCAATGGAAATTTTGGGTTTGAAGCTTGCTGGGGTAAAATACATGTAAGCCAACCATGCAAATTGCAACATATCTAAATGCAGTACAAAAATTGGGGTTTGAAGCTTGCTGGGGTCATATATTGACTCCAACATGGGGCTGAATTGGAAAGTACAGCGACTGGATGACTAGATGAAGGAAGTATGACCTCCGCCAAGTGGTACTTTCGGCTTGAATGTTGCAGATGTTGCTAAGCGTGGGCAGTGTTTGAAGCCAATGCTCTGAAAGCAAGATGAAGGTTGTTACTCGTTACTCAACTACAGGACCGCCATAATAAATATACGAAAACTAAGAGGCTATCCTTTTAGAATTTGGATATACCAAAACTTACTGGGATGCTTAGCAGTAGTCCTTCACCGTTGACCTAGGACAGGCAAGCCTCTTCTTGCAGCGAGAGGGATGGACCTCAGGGATACAAGAGCTCTTTGTGCCGAGAGCCTTGCATAATCTAGACACTTGTTCGTCTTCTCTTCTGTTTGCTCTAGCCCGTTATCGAGAGAATGTCTTTGTTCTTGAAAGTTTTCCGAGGTCTGACACTTTGACAAGTTGGCAAGATACAGCCAATCAGGTTCAATCATGTTGCGCACCTCAACTACCGTGTCATGACCAAAACCACAAGATCTGCAACAACAGGAGCGACTTTCTGCCTCCAAAACCCTGTCAAGATTTGCTTCCTCGGAAGTTGCATCGTCAGTCTCTTCCTCACTCAAATTCCACATGACAAAGAATCGGTCCATGAAGCAACATATTTGCCCAGGTTGAAGTTGTTCGCTCCGTGATGTACTAGCAGATTTGACTCCATGCTCTGACTTGTAGTCAGCTGCGACTTTACTAGACTTGAAATTCTTAATCTCTTCCTGGTGCAATAAAAGGATATTTGTATGGGTTGACTCGCTAATCATACCGAGTTTCCTGGCTCCGGTTAGAATTGATTCAGGATTTCCTTCCAAGAAATGTACATCTGATTTATTTGGAACCAACGAATCTGCATACGATTTGCTATCTGATATAATTTGCTCTATCTCATCTGGAGTACTGTGTTCCTGTTCAACCTGAAAGTGTAAGCGGGATAGTCCCATTTTTAAAGGTAGAGGACTATCGACAGAAACACAAACTAGAGCTTTCATGCCTCTAGAACCAGGAGCCGGAGAAATGTAGCAGCCAGCTGCAGTAAAGGAGGTCTGCAGAAGAGGTAAAACAGAATGATATTTCAATGAGACCAAAAGTAATAGCAGATACAGCTGTTGAAACATATTATGAAAGCTAACTCTCATGTTGCTAAATAACATATACTCATTTGCAAACTGACTGCAGTAGTTTTACATCCGTGAATTGTGATGCACATCAAGTTGGTAAGTATCAATGAGAAAGCAGACGTACCTTGCATGGTAAAGTACGCACGTAATTCAAAAGCAATTTTGAAGTGCTACCTCTAATTGGCCTGTTCCTTTGTGAGATGAACTGGAAACGGCATGAACATAAATTCATCAAAAGATATACGTTTCTAACAATAACACCGAACAACTTGTATGGCAATATCTGATGTACCTTCAAAACCAAAGCAATAAACTTTGTCATGCATATGTCCTCGATTTCTGATTGGTTAAGAATCTCCAAATCAATAACAGCATATCCGAGCTGCAGGCAGCAGTATCAAATAAATTTCTTAAACATATTCCAAAATCTTTACACCATTATCAAATGAAAAGTTGGCTACAATAGCTATCAGTTATCAGAAGGTAGAAACAGTTAAACATATGAACACTCCAATGATGCTTACATCCGTAAAAGTCACTGCTTGACTTATCAAATTACTGCAAATATGATCAACGTATCTGCGTATTTTGCGACAGGCAGCAACAACTGCTTGTAGCTCCGACCTGAATGCACCTGGAAGGAAAAGAAAAGGAAAAGACATTAGTAGTATGAACATGTGTTTGCAAACAAGAAATGTGGCCGCGGAACTTTTGCACGGAGAAACATTTGAGAATTATTATATAACTCACATGTTGAGTCCTTTAAGAATAATCGAATTCTGTTACGAGCATATAACTGGCTTTGATTCGTTGGATCTTCCACCCAGACCTGATTACTTCCTTCACATATCTTCAGAAATTGTGCAAGAAAATAAGTCATATTGGTTCAAAATACAAATTCGAGAAACATGTATAATCAATAGATACATGCCTAGCTCTATAGCACCAACCTTGTACATATCTTCTTTCACAAGATCCAAGAGTGGACGTACAACAAGAATACCATGGTTTCTGGAAACTTCAGTACAAGAATGGGTATGCGTAGAGAAAATTTGAGATGTGAAAGGCATACCAGCAAGTCCAAGAACACTGCTATTGCGAGATAGTCTGAGAACAAATAACTCAGCCTGGAACAAGCCTGGAAAGTTAAAATCAATACGGACGAGGAATAATACCATAACCACTATAGCATAAGCTGATAGATACTTTCAGTTTTGAAACTACTAGTTTTAACCTCTTTTTTAAAACAAGTAACTTGTAAATGCCTCACACACGTGTGCAAACACAGATACTGCAACAGAAAGAAAGATAGACTAAACGGTTGTTGGACAAACCTGGTCATCAGCATGATGTGCAATAAGTAACACACCAATCCGGTTCTGGATGCAGATGTTCTGAAACATTTCATACCTGACATTCAAAACCCAATTTTAACACAATCGTAAATGAACTATTTTCCATCATCCAGTTAAACCACAAATGTAATGAACCGTAAGCCACCTCATGTCACGGGCTGCTTCTTGCAAGTGACCTTGTTTTGGGTGACCATCTGGCCAATCACAGCAGGCAATGCAACTTCTGATTCCTACACAAAGTTCAAATTGGCTTATCTTTCTTGTACCGAAAATCTTAACAGAATTCACTGTGTTAAAACCGAAGGCACCAAAACAACATATCAGCAGCAACAACCAAAAGTACCCATTTTCGAGACCCGATTGGAGACAGTGTTGGCCTCCTCTTTGCTCTCAGGGCGCAGCCCATGATCCACAATTATTGCTAAAAGCCCGTCAATGAAGCCACCATTGTCACATTTCTCACTAAAGTCTTGAGCTTTCCAGTGGGCAGATAAAACGCACAAGGCCATGCTGTCTGGACCTCCAGAAACTCCAATAGCTACAGATTACAAGCAACAAAACAAGCAAAATAAGACCCCTATTATTTCCAAAAACAATCAAAGGGCCAGTTTGCGATTACTTCTGAAATGGATAAAAGTGATTTCTAGTGGCCAAAAGCACTTCTAATTACGTTTGACAGGAAAGCTCAAAAGCGCTTCTCGGTCATAGAAGCAGCTTCGGGAGAAGCACCTGCTTTGTGCCAAATGCCAAAAAGCACTTTAATTTTGAACACAAATCTCTACATGTTTATAATAAAAGAACTTCTAGCGGCAGCACTTATAAGTAGAAGTGCTTGATACAAAAGCAATCCCAGATAACACCGAATTTTGGAGAGCAAAACAAGCGACATCGAGCCCATAAAATGAAAAAAAGCAAGATAATAATTTGAAGAGAACAGGGAGAAAAAAGTAATTACAGACCGAGGCGGTGGTGGGGTTTGAGGCCGGCCATGGCCATTCGTCTTGCGAAAGCTTCCTTGTACTTGGCCATGTCGACGACTGCGGCGGCCGGGGCTGCTTGGGCGGACGAGCACTTGCAGAGAACTTGGCGGGACATGAACGGAAGTTTCCATATCGTTAGGGGTATTCGGGGAATGGCAAAAAGTAAGGTCTGGGTACTGGTTTGCGAGGGTAGGATTACCGCTCGCGCCATTTACAAACCTTCAAGCTTTTGAGTGGATTTTGCTCTTTTTACAGATAGCGTTTGGAGATGGATGCGGCGGCATGCGGAGCCGTTGTAGTCGAAACGCAGCGTTTAAACTAACAACAGAAAATAAATAGGCTAAATTTCAGAGTCTAATGTCAAAATAAAAGAAATGAGTAAATAGATATCTGAAATATTCATTAATACCCTTCAATTTGAAAAAACACATTTTTTTAGGGTAAATCTCAGCTTATTACCCTCAAGTTTTGTGGTTTTCAACTTTGGTATATATTGACATGTGATGCCCAATCATTGTCCACGTGGGCATTACGTAATCAGTCAATGACAGACTTACCAACCAACTTAACAGATATATGAGATTCTCTCAAAATTAAGATTTGTGATATGATTCTAGGACGAAAAAAACTTTATGTACCAAATATTGAAAACCACGAAACTTAATAATAGTAAACTGAGATTAACTCTTTTTTTAATCAAGCAATTAGAAGAAATTTTGAATGTGGCCTTGAACTACAAGTGAATACCAAATCATAAGGATCAAAAGTGAAGGTCCATTCGACCAAAAAAAAAAAATTGATGGGCCGTTCAACAAATAGTAGAACTTGGTGGCCAGATGTGGTATGAAAAGAAATTAAATTATTGATAATAAAATCTATATTATTTACGTGTAGTAGACAAAGTACAAAGAAACAAGACAAGTTAAACTGAGATTAACAGAGACTCTCCGTTTTGACCAAAAAAACAGAGACTCTCCGGACCGACCGGCATTCTCTTTCTCCGATGCGGGACCTTTCCCGCCAAATCAATGAATCCTCAGCTCCGCCAATCTCCATAGCACCGCCGTCACCATGACCGCTCCTCCTCGCGCCGCTACTTCATCACTTTCTCTTCTCTTCGTCGTCATCGCCGTTTCCATTTCCATCTCCAGCTCTCTCCTCCGCTTCAAACCCCAAAATTCCCCAACCCTAAACGTAAACCTTCCCCCAAATTCGTCGGGTTCCGAGACAAACCGCCAAAACTACGTCGTTCGATTCGTTGAATACAGGAGGGCGGAGGAGCTCCGAGAGTATTTGAAATCGAGTGTGCGATCCGATGGGTGGGATTGGATCGAGAGGAACAACCCGGCGAAGAAGTACCCGACGGATTTCGGTTTGGTTTGGATTGAAGAATCGTCGAGAGAGACGGTGGTTTCAGAAATTGGGAGCTTGGGAATGGTGAAGGATGTGAATGCGGATGTGAGGTATGGGAGGGGTTTGCTTGCTGAGGGAAAGAGGGACAAAGTTGGGGCTTTTGTCGATGGGGAGAAGCGGCCGGGTAAGATTTTGACGGCGATGTCGTTCAGTGAAGCCGACGGGGATGCATTTTACTCGGCCGCAAGTAATTATTCGGTTAGCTGGAGAAGGCGGCTCATGTCTCAGGTGGGTTTTGGGGATTTTGTGTAAAGTTTAGGAAAAAGTAAGAAACTTGAAGTTGGGATTTTGATGTTTATTAATGATTGTTTATCGTATTAGTTTTGAGTAAGTTAGAAGTGTTTCCTAATTGGGTTTTCGTGGGTGTTAAAGATTCCAAAAACGAAATGGAGTTTTGGTCTGTTTTTGTTTTGTAGTGGAAGCTTATAAACTACCAAAAGCACATGTTTTGATTTCTAACTCGATAATTGCAGGACGTATTGAATGCATTACTTTGTTTTTTTTTTTTTTTCGAAGAAACTTGTATATTGACATGGAGACACCATTCTTTATGTGTCTCGAAAACAGGCAGTTTTGGAATTAAGTTTTGAGACAGTTCTGGCTGTGTTCCTCGTTTGTTTGATTCTTGGAGAATTCCCTAATGTTTTATCCTTAACTCACCCTCTTAGGTCAATTTTATTCTTGCAGAGATCTCAAGTTACTTCAATGTTTGGGGCGGAGTCCCTTTGGGAAAAAGGATATGCTGGTGCAAAAGTTAAAATGGCTATCTTTGACACTGGAATTCGAGCAGATCACCCGCATTTTCGTAATATCAAGGTAATTTCCTAGGGGAAAAGAGGTTGGAGTCTTTTTCCCTTGTGTGTTTTTTCAGTCGGTTAATCGGCATTAGTTACCCTAATACATGTTTGTTTGATTCCAATAAAATTTCGCGGTGTTAAATTTTGAGCAATTATGCAGGAGCGCACAAACTGGACAAATGAAGATACTTTGAATGACAACCTTGGGCATGGAACATTTGTTGCTGGTGTTATTGCTGGTGTAGATGCTGAGTGTCTCGGTTTTGCTCCTGACACAGAGATTTATGCTTTTCGTGTGTTTACAGATGCACAGGTAATGACATCGGACAATGGGAGAATTATTGGCATGACATTATGACTAGAATAGAATAGCATACCAAGGGAAAAATACAAAGTTACATTCATATTTCACGTTTTATCCCATAGGTGGGTGAAGTGTGTTTTTGCGTTGCACATATACGCATTGTTGATTCATTAATATTACTTTATAAGATATCGTTTTGGACGAATTGATTTGGAGGCGAGATTCAGTAAACTTTGTATTCGGCCTATGATATACAAGCCAAGCTATAATTTGAAATACTTGGCTTCATGTTGTTTCATTTGGTCAATCAAATTTAGAAAAATTATGAGAAGCTTGTATTCAGCTTATTGCAGGTATCATACACATCGTGGTTCCTTGACGCATTCAACTATGCAATTGCGACCAATATGGATGTGCTAAATCTCAGTATAGGTGGACCTGATTACTTGGACCTCCCATTTGTAGAGAAGGTAAGGCTTCCTTGTTGTTTTCCATTTTGCGTAAAGAACTTTAGTGTGGTAGCTTTTGATCTTCATCAATGATTGCATTCAGACAATTGTGGGCATATACTATACTTTTGCTTTTGAATCATGAAACGTATTTTGCTTAGCTTTTTGCTGCTGATTTCCTCACCAGGTTTGGGAAATAACGGCAAACAACATAATTATGGTTTCGGCAATTGGAAATGATGGACCGCTTTACGGAACTCTAAACAATCCAGCAGACCAAAGTGATGTCATTGGTGTTGGTGGCATTGACTACAGTGATCACATTGCTTCTTTCTCGTCACGTGGCATGAGTACATGGGAGATGCCACATGGGTAATCTAATCTTTTCTTCCATACTGCGTATTGTGATTGCTTTATTTTTTCCTTCCCCAAGGTTTTTAACTGATCTTGAGACATATCCAATCCTTTGTTATTCTTTTAGCTGCACTAGCTATCTTTGTTATAACATTGAATGTGCAAAGCATGAACTATTTGAGTTTTCTTCATACAGTTATGGTCGGGTGAAGCCAGATGTTGTTGCATATGGACGGGACATCATGGGATCCAAGATCAGTACAGGCTGTAAAAGCTTATCGGGCACAAGTGTGGCAAGTCCTGTGGTTGCTGGTATGGTATGTCTTCTCGTCAGTGTTATCCCTGTGAGCAATAGGAAGGATATTTTAAATCCAGCAAGCATGAAACAAGCACTGGTTGAGGGTGCTGCAAAGCTTTCTGGTCCGAATATGTATGAGCAGGGTGCAGGCAGGGTTGATCTGTAAGTTCTGAATTATAGTCCCCTTGCTTTTTGCCTTAATATCCAGCGTTGACATTTATGGTTTTTTTAATCTACTTTTTTACTTTTTGATCAGGTTAGAATCATACGAAATCCTCAAGAGTTACCAACCTCGTGCCAGCATCTTCCCTAGCACTCTCGATTATACAGATTGCCCTTACTCTTGGCCCTTCTGTCGTCAGCCCCTTTATGCAGGTGCCATGCCTGTTATCTTTAATGCTACCATTCTAAATGGAATGGGTGTAATAGGCTACGTTGAAAGTCCACCCACATGGGATCCTTCGGATGATGTAGGGAATCTTTTGAGCATTCACTTTACTTATTCTGAAGTTATTTGGCCTTGGACTGGTTATTTAGCTCTTCACATGCAAATTAAGGAAGAAGGTGCACAATTTTCTGGAGAGATTGGAGGCAATGTTACTCTTAGGGTGTACAGTCCTCCAGCTCTAGGAGAGACGGATACTCGGATTAGTACTTGTGTGCTTCAGTTGAAATTGAATATTGTCCCAACTCCACCAAGATCGAAACGAGTTTTGTGGGATCAGTTTCACAGCATTAAATACCCTCCAGGTTATATCCCTAGAGATTCTTTGGATGTTCGTAATGACATTCTTGACTGGCATGGGGATCACCTGCATACGAATTTTCACATTATGTTCAACATGTTACGAGACGCTGGGTATTATGTCGAAACACTAGGTTCGCCATTTACTTGCTTTGATGCTCTCCGGTATGGTACACTTCTTCTTGTAGATCTTGAAGAAGAGTACTTTCAGGAGGAGATTGAAAAGCTGCGAGACGATGTTCTTAATTCTGGACTGGGATTAGTGGTGTTTTCTGAATGGTATAATGTGGACACAATGGTGAAGATGAGATTCTTTGATGATAACACACGGAGCTGGTGGACTCCAGTCACTGGTGGCGCAAATGTTCCAGCATTGAATGACCTTTTAGCTCCGTTTGGGATTGCATTTGGAGATAAGATTCTGAATGGTGATTTTTCTATTAATGGTGAGCATAGTCGATATGCATCTGGAACGAATATTGTGAGGTTTCCACGAGGTGGTTATGTGCACAAGTTCCCTTTCATGGATAGCTCTGAGAGTGGGGCCACTCAAAATGTACTTCGGACTCCTGAGATGACCACGGTGAGCTCAAAGGCTACTTAATTCATTTTTTCCCTACTTTTTTAATAATTGAAGTCAATCATGATTCATATGTGATGGTGATTATGATGCCTGTTGATCAATGCAGGCAGATTCTCCTATTCTTGGTCTTGTTGAGGTGGGCGAAGGTCGTGTTGTAGTCTATGGAGACTCTAACTGTTTGGACAGCAGTCATATGGTGACAAATTGTTATTGGCTCTTGAGGAAAATATTAGAGTTCACCGGTGGAAACATCAAAGACCCCGTGCTTTTCTCAAACTCAGTTAAACAAAGTTCACCTTTACATATAGCAGAGAACCAATTACCGTCTCGTAGAACTGATGTGAATTTCTCTACATATTCTTCTGTTGTGGGAAAGGAATTGATGTGTGGGAGTGACTCCGTGTTTGAAATCTGGGGAACGAAAGGTTACAGTTCACAGGTCAGGGGAACAAACAGAAGATTACCGGGTTATTCCGTGGTTGACTTGGATAGAGGTTTAAATTCTACAGCCGATACTTCCAATTCAAAACGTACCAAATTGAGTGTGGAAAGTAGAAGTGATCCTTTGGGATACTTGGGCCTGTTCTATGGGGACGAGGTAAGCCAGAATGGTTAGAAAACGATATTTTCCGCTCTTCCTTTTACTGTCACAACATACTATCACACGGTTACATGATGCTGAAAGTTTCCTGTAATCCTTCCTGCAGCTTGACATGCCTGTGTTAGTTCCTACTCATTGGCTTGTTCCTGCGATCATTCTTGTAACTGGTAAGTGATCATTTAGTCCTCCAATTCCTGAAAAGAAGCATATACATGTTTTTTCTTTTGGTTTTTCGGATAGTCATTTACTTTTAAATTACTTGGCTGCTATTTATAGGTCTTCTGGTATTTTTGAGCTTTTGGAGAATCCGACAGAAACGACGGCGGCGAAGGAAAGGATCTGGTTCCGGTCGGTATTCTAATTTGTAGTTCCAGATGATTTTTCTTTTCCGATAGCCCTTTTTTCGGAGGCCTTGAATCTCTAATGGCGTTGTTCTTGTAATATTGTCACACTACCGAAAGAATTTCTTTGTGACATGGATTCAGTAATACAAGAGTCTTGTCGGATCACAGGAAATGATTTTGTATTTGTAAGGAATTTGATACAACAAATTTTGCTTTCCTTTAATCGACTGTATTTATGCTAATCAAGAGTATTAGGCAAGAATTTTGATAACCTTTCTTGTTGGGATTTCCTGCATTTGGGTCACACCAACCCCAAACTTGTGAAAGCTGCCTTTCAAATGCAGAAAATATACATGTGACCTTTGGAACACGTCTATACAGCTACATGGCTTCTTGTGAGGCCACCGGATGTGGTGGGCTATGGGTGTGGTGTGAGAGAGGGCAGTGACAAAAAGTGAGGCCGGGTGAACGTGTAAATTTTTAAGAAAACTAATGAAAAGAGTTTGAAAATTTTAAGTTTTAATAATAAGGACAAAATAAAGAGTAAAGTGAATAGTATCAGGATTGACTTTTTAATGTAAAAATGTAATTTTTTTGTTAAAGTGAACAGTACCATAAATTTTTCGTTAAAATTTGTTTTTTTTTTTGTGACTAGGGTTTGTACAAACACGTGGTTAAGTGTCAGACTCTAGAATTTCTCTACACTCACGACTCCCTCCCTATTTTTGTACAACCGAGACACTGGTGGTTATGCGTCGATAAAAACCTCTTGCATATGAGAAGAACTCTCTTGTAAAATTCGTACAAGAAAACTCTTTTATAATTAAAGATATCATGGTACAATTATCTTTAGTTGCGACTTGCGAGATAGTCTCCTCTAACAAATAACGTGACTTGACGAAGATTATCCGGTAATATTTCAAAATTTCCATGTACTTTATAGGAATACAAGTAGGGAGGCCCCTACAACATAGTCAGTCCCCACCAGGCTGAATGGGTTCAGATGATCAACTTTTTGCTTTGTTGGACGGTGGGCTGCGAGATTCCATTAGGGGGCGTTTGTTTGCCCTCACTAAGTCAGACTGGATTGGACTGGACTAGCTATTAGTCCAATACCGTGTTTGTTCCATGCTGGGACTAACATTAATGAGACTAAAGGGGACTAGCATGGACAAAATCCTTCACTAAGAGGTCTTAGCGAGACCCCTCAATAACCATGGGACTAGCTAAGACTATCCTCTCTTTCTCGTCCTTGTCATGCTCAACGACCACTCCCGACAGACTCCTCGTCATGTCTGGTCACCTAGATCAATCATTAACTTTCCGACTCTCTTTCAAATCCATTTCACAACCAACTTTCATATAAAATATACAAAATTGAAGCTAGGAGTGACAAGTTTACGATTCTACCTGAATCGAGGCCAAAATGTGGTCGAATGTGGCCAAAAAATGGCCTGGAAGTCTCGGCCTGTTTGGACTTCTTCAAATCCATAACAGATTCGAGCATGCAAAGCTAAGATCTCTGTCCAGGGATGGTGATGAATTTTTTGGCGGTGCTAACTTCATCCAATTTAACGAGGGTTGGTCGGAAACCACATCGGGAAACCTGCAACTTGTCGGAAAAATTGGAGCCGTGAGGTTCCATTCGAACAACGCATAGCTAGAGAGGGAGGGAGGACAGAGAAATAGAGACTGAAATCGATAAGGAGTTTGACCAGGAATGAGAAAGATACATGAATTGAGAGGTCTAAGAGGAAAAAAAGAGGGAGAGGGTGGGACAAAGAACTGAGAGAAGAGGAAGAGAGTGTGACGGAAATGGTAGGAAAAGATGGAGAAAAAAATAAGATCATAATAAAATATTAATAATTTATATATTAAACAATATAATATTAGAATTTGTTATTATCCAGCTTCTTAGTTTAATACTGCACCAAACGCTTCACTAAGTTAGTCCAGTTTAGTCTAGTCTAAGCCAATCCAGATTAATCCTTGAAGCTAATCCAGTCCGAGATAGTCCGGCGCAACAAACGCCCCCTTAGGGTTTAGGGTTAGGGTTAGGGTTTGGCTTTCAACTTTCATGATGAATGGCATTCAGCAAACCAAACCCATCATTCAAAACCTTGCACGCATGGTAGTAGTAGGGTTTTTATGGTCCCAATAATCTTGAACAACAGGTGGTAGGGTTTTTACGGTCCCAATTATCTTGAAGAAGAACAAAACTCAGTGTTCGACAATTGAATTTTATCCAATAAAAACGGGCAAAAAACCGTTAGATCAAATTCAACAGTTAAATATGCATCGACATTGAGTATACAAAGGTAATCAAGGAAAATTCGGAACACAACTTGAAACCATTGGTGTCTGGAAAAATTGTAATGATAAGAAACTATTATAAGAGATGTTTGGGAACAATCTGTGAAAGAAGGAAGATTAACCACAAATAAAAGAATTGGTAAAGAATCTTTTGTTGACTGCTGCATAAGCGCTGCTACAGACACTGTAAAACCGAAAACCGAAAACTCGATTATTTCGAAGAGGGGAAAAAATAGATTGAACCGGTGCTAAAACACGCTGTGTTCTTGAAATCAATGTTGATAAAGAGGTGTGTTAAGAATATGGGAAGGGGTAACTCTTTACAGGAAAAAAAATTTGTGCACTGGCCGTTAAGAGGTTCCGCTGCTAAAACCGTGGTTGGTTTTCTTTATCCTTCCCAACTCCATTTCTCGGGTGGTTTGGCGGCTTTGGCCTTCCCCGCTGCTTGAGCCAGATGGATACAAACCGTAATCACTTGTGGGCGCGCTATACTCACTACTAGCACCGTACTCCTGGCTTCCCAATGCCATCTTCCTGAACTTTTTCATGTCATCTTTGTATTGGCTTGTGTCGTAGTCTGAGCTCCCGTAAGAGCTATAGACATTGCTCTGCCCAGGCCGGATTCCTTCGTTGAGATCAGAAAGAGACACGTCGCCCTCTAAAGCTCGGACAACCTGCGTGTATCGAGTAAATATGGTCAGAAGACACATTACAGAACCCTGGTAGGTCTTGAAAACCTTGCTTGTCCAATGGATGCAGATCAACTAAGATCCATGACATCCAGAAGATTCATTCGCGGAACATGAAAGATTAACCTCTTACTTAAGAAAATTTACCTGACTCATTCGAGGTCGACGCCGTGCAGAATGACGTACACAAGCTGCAGCACAAGCAACCATGCGAGCCATCTCATTGGGGTCGTAACTGTTTTGAAGCTTAGGGTCAACCAGTTCATCAAAGTTTCTTTCTTCCAACGCTCGATTTAGCACAGGCCTTGCCTGCAATTCCACAACTCTCTCATTAGTCGTCATTCTCTAAAAAAACCAACCACAGTCCACAAGTTATTCACAAACAAAGAGACTTTTTACTCACCCAGTCTACCAAACTATCCTCCATGTAAGTTTGAGATGCATCAACAGGCCGGCGTCCAGTAATCAACTCCAAAAGCATAACACCAAAGGAGTAAACATCTGACTTGTCAGTGAGTTTTCCACTTGAAGCATATTCCGGAGCTAGATACCTGAAGGTAGCAAGCATGTAAGAACATGAATAATACGATATCTGGTTACCACACCAAACAACGTTTACAAGAGTCTCAACCTGAGACCTCAATCTTGATAAAATCCTGGTCATACTTTGGGTCAATCTTAAACTAAAATCATTATGATAACCAAGTCCATTGGGAATTTCAATATGAAAGGAATGGGTTTCACAACTCTTACCCAAAAGTTCCCATCACTCGGGTGGAAATGTGAGTATTAACATCGGACGAAAGCTTGGCAAGTCCAAAATCCGCAACCTGAGCCAAAGACAGTGAATCTCAGTTTATATAGAACTAAAAATTCCTTGACATGATCACCCAATCATCTTAAAATAAATCATATAGTACAGATCAAATCTGAGCACGATATATCTAAGTCAACATAATTTAACCGTCAAATTGACGAGGCATAGTAATGGCTGATCCCTCACTGATGCACAGTCCATACCTTTGCCTCAAACTTGAAATCCAAAAGTATATTAGCTGCTTTAATATCACGATGAATGATTTTTGGATGACCTGCATAACATTTACAGATTATTATGATGTAAAATCCAGAGTTCAGATGTCAAGGACCAATTTAAAGTAATTATTTTCAAGTGCACTTGTGTGTGTGCAGTGTGCACAAACATGGATAACTTACAGTCTTCGTGAAGATATGCTATTCCTTTGGCAGATCCTAAAGCAATTTTTAATCTTGTTGACCAATCCATGGTAGGTCGCCCTTTTCCTGCAGTATGAATATTCTATCAGATCCTTGTAACCAGAAGTATGCACCAACATCGCCATGGTAAAAACAATCAAGCAACGGTCTATCAACTACCTTTTATTATTATTATTATTATTATTATTAAGGGGAGGCGAGAGGGTTCGAAACTATTATAATAATTTAGGGGAAGGGGAGTTTCGAACCCGGAACACATGGATGGAAACCCAACACCCTATCCACTAGGATATTGGACCACATGCGAAATACAATATTATATTTGTGTGTGTGCACCCTAACTACAAACTACAAAGACATAATAGATTCACTGTTTTAATTTTGATTATAAAGTTGTTTAATTGTTTATAATCACAAATTCAATATTATGTGCTGCAAAAACAAACGTACCATGTAAGTGAAACTCCAAAGTATTATTGGGAACAAACTCATAAACCAGTAGTCTCTCGGATCCAGTCATGCAATATCCAACCAATGAAACAAGATGCCTATGATGTACACGGCTAATAATTTCAACTTCTGCCTGGAATTCACGTTCCCCTTGCCCACTTCCGGCTTTCAGCTGCTTGACTGCTACTTCCTTCCCATTTGGAAGGACTCCTTTGTGTACATATCCAAATCCACCTTGACCAAGAAGATTGGAATCCGAGAAGCCTTCAGTTGCCAATGCTAGTTCCTCATATGTGAATGTGCTTTTAGAAAATCCCAAGGTATAGCCTGGTGGAGGTGGTGGTGGGGGTAGATCACCCCCTGAATAATTGGAACCAGAACCTCCACTGCTGCTTGTGAAAGGTGGTGGTGGTGCTGCTCCCGGACTTGGATTATATTGTGGTGAGTGTGGTGGCCGTGCTGCTACTGGTGGTGGTGGAGATGGCTTTGGCGTCAGTGTGACTGCATGATTACCAGGCGGAGGAGCATTTTGTTGCCACTCATGCGGCGGACCACCATATGGGTCAACTGGAAAATACCAACAAACACTGGGATATCAGTATTCAATTCGAGCTGGATAATTCACAGCAATAATAATATACGGAGGATTCATTGGCAGTCAAAGGCAAACCTTCCTCAGAAACACATTCTTTCACACTCGAATAAGTTAATGAGTGCCAGAAACAAAAACAACAAGACAAACCACAAAAGAAAAACCATAAAAGAACACAACATATTATAAAGTTTGAGACTAAAATTCATAACTCAAGTCAGAGTACTACAGGCTGGAAATGTTTCTAATTGATGCTTAACACGATATGGTAACAACAACAAAGCCTTTTTCTACTAAGTGGGGTCGGCTACTTAACACGATATGGTAACGACCATAAAATCATGCTTTACCAGACTCCCCGGTACTTTATAGTAGTTCATAAAATCAGACATGCAGATGTCACGAATTCAGATATTCGCCCAAAAACATCAACAACAATGCAAATCAATGACCTTTGAGGGAGAAATGCAGAAGAGCATTTTCTAATCCAATGACCAGATCCAATATCGCAAAAAATCTTAGTCAAAAACCACTTCACGAAGGCCCCGTTTGATAACCATTTTGGTTTTAGTTCTTAATTTTCACTCAATCGAAACTTCAAAACTCAAAAAGTCTAATCATATCCATCAAATTTTACATGCAGAGCAATCAAAACGTTCCAAATGAAATTAAATTTAAACCCAACTCAAACGAAACAACAAACGCAGATCGAAAATGTAAAAAAAAACACCAACGGAAAGTTGATACCTTTGGGCCCAGGAGGCGGCGGCGGAGGCATATAATACTCTTCATCACTTCTTCTCCTTTTCTTCTTCTTACTGCAACAAATGCAGAGAAGACTCAGCACCAGTAAGATCGCCACAGCCCCGATGGCAATCCCGATTATAACCCCCGTGTCCAAGCCTGAAGATGGTGGCGACGGCGACGAAGACGATTGTGGCGGAGGCGGAGGACTCTTTGACGGGGTAGATGGCGTAGAACCCGAACCAGTCGGCGGCGGAGGAGATGGTGTGGTTGATTTCGGCGGTGGAGGAGATGGGGTGGTTGATTTCGGCGGTGGAGGAGAGGGAGTGGTTGATGTCGGCGGCGGCGGAGATGCAGAAGAGGCTGGAGGTGGAGTTGTCGATGGTGGTGTGGGTGTGGGTGTGGTCGAAGACGGTGGTGGTGGTGACGACGGAGTGGCTGGTGGTGGCGCGCTCGGTGTCGCTGGTGGCGGTGCACTCGGAGTCGATGGAGGCGGTGCACTCGGAGTCGTAGAAGGCGCCGGAGCTGTGGGTGGTGGTGGCGAGGTTGTGTTGGTCGACGGCGCCGGAGCCGACATTGTTCGATGTAAAATTCAGACAAATCTAATGAAATGGGTACTTGTAAAATAAAATATAAGAAAATGGATAGTTGGGAAATAGTCCTCTGGGCCTCCGCCGAATCAAAAGCTTCGATCCTTTTCCAGTTTCTTTCTTTAGAAAAAGTAGAGACAGAGAGACAGAGAGAGAATGTTGAGTGGTTTTAATGGAGAAAGTAGAGAGGAGGGAGAGGGAGAGAAACACAGACAGATAGCGTTTGCTTTTTTGGTTTGGGAATTAAAAGAAGGTATTTTTGTTGCTTTTTTTTCTTTCTGCTTTTGTTTCATAGCAATAAGAATTCCTCAGTAACATGGTTAGGAGAGAAAGAGAGAGATCATCGTCTGTGCTTTAGCTGTTACTGCGCTGGGAGGAGAGAGGGAGCGGGAGAGAGAGAAACATGGTTAGGAGAGAAAGAGAGAGATCATCGTCTGTGCTTTAGCTGTTACTGCGCTGGGAGGAGAGAGGGCGAGAGAGAGAGAGAGTGAGCAGCCGGGGTTTTGGGGTGATGAGAGCGAGAGAGAGAATGGAAACACCAAGTGGGAAGCTTGGTCTTGCGGACTTATGCAGTGGGCCCTACACGATTGGCCCCCGCGTTTCTCCGTCTTTTACTCGGCCGGGATTATAAGTTCTTTGGATTTTTGTTCTCTTTTGTTTCGGTTGGTAGTGAAATGGGACCGCTTTTGTTTTTTATTCCTTAAGTGAGTATTTTTTTGTTTGTCTTTGTCGTTCTTGCACGATATTCGTATTTGATGTGTACAAATTAATTTTCATTATTTTTTTAACGGTTAGTTATATTTTAAAAATATTATTTTATATTTTTCATAAATGTTATTTTTTTTAATTATAAAAAATTTAGAGTGCAAAATAAGATTTTTGGAATGCCACCTCATATGACTCCTCGTTCAATTATTTTGAAGTCATTAGATCTTTTTCCTCGTTCGATATAAATGGATCTTTTTATCCACAATCGGATTATATTTTTTAGATTAAATTATGTGATTAAATGATGTAATTTTTATAATTAGATAATTATTTAAATGTTGATTAATGTATTTATTTTCTATTAATAATATATTGTTTTGTTTTTTATTTAAAAATTTAGCCTCTTTATTTTTTATTTTTGTGTGTGCAATAGTCCATTTTTGAAATAAAATATTTGGTTGTCGGCATATATTTTTCAATGGGGTGTATTATCCACACACTTCATTTTACTTCTCACACACCCTTTGATAATTTCTGTTCGTTTATTTTCATCAATTCATCTGTTCTGATGATCGAAAATTAAAAAAGTGTGTGAGAAGTAAAATAAGATATGTGGATATCACACCCCTTTTTCAATTAGATATTGTGCACTTGTTTTTAGTGAACACCATGATATTATATGCCACATATGGAAAAGTGGAAAAAAGAAAATAAAAAAGATGAGTGAGGTATTTTGCTATCTAATCACACAACATGCAGACCCAATTCACATTGAAATTTCTGTGTCCAAATACAAATTAGGAAGGGTGATAATGTTCTTACCCAATTTGGATTTTTTTTATTTCTCTAACGTTGTATGTCATTCTAGATTTTTAGCAATTTGTGCTGATTTTGCATTTTCATTAATGTTGAAATTAGTAAGTTACATAGAATTTTGATATACTGTTAAAGTTATTTTACATAATACACTCCGTATGGTACAAAAACACCCCAAAACTATAGGAAGTGTAGCAAAACCTAAAATATCTACCATGAACTTTTCCCTTGGAAATGTCAAGATTCACAAACCATTCTTTTTTTAGAGAGAGAGAGAGAGAGAGAGAGAGAGCAGTTGACAAGAGAGACAGAACTACTGGTTTGGTTTGAACTTTGATATATTTGCGGCTGCTTCCCCCTGCCACAATTGCCGAGTGTCGTTCCATCGTTTTTAACCTAATTATTTTTATTTGGGATGAGAAGGAACTGGTGCATGCATTTATATACAGTGCAGCGGTTGATGCAGGTTATGCTTAGGGTTTTTTATTATTTAGGTATAAAGTGATAAGTAGGATTTGAACCTAATATCAACACTCAATCACTTTTATTGTTCTTCTATTCCAATACTTTTGAGCAAGGCATGAGTAACCTAAAGTATAAACTTATCATTCACTCCTATTATAATACATGATTTAATAGTATAACTGTTGAAGTATCAAACAACACAATAGAGGCTCGTTTAAAAGTGTTTTAAAAATGACTGAAAATGTTTTGGTGAAAATGTTTTTGAAACCAATTCCTAGTAAAATTCATAGTAAAAATACAAGTGAATCCTGAAAAAGAACTTTAAAGTACTTTTGAACTCAAAAAATCAATATCTTTTGTAACCAAACGAGCTCTTTTTCTTTTGTAACCAAAATGAGTGTCCATAACCTATTTCTTTTATAGAAATTATAGAAACAAGATTTTAGGGAGTTTTAACGAAACATTCCCGATATTGTTCATTTTAACGAAAAAATACAATTTTATTCTAAAAAGTCACGTCTGGTACTATTCACTTACAACACCTTTTTGTCATTTTGATTAAAACTCAAAGTTTTCAAGCTATTTTCATTTGTTTTCCTATATTTCTAATGTCTTTTCCCTTTATATATTAAAAAGGAGAATTATATATGGGTCAATGCATAGAGAATACCAATATGAAAGTGAGTTGTACAAATTAACTCTATCAATAACGTTACTCAGATATAGCATAAAAGAAGGCAATAAGTTATGAATTAGTCAAGGATTAGGTGTTCCTAATTTATCTGATTTGAAAATTTTAAGCCTTTTATGGCATATGTATACAGGTAGCTGTTACTCTAAGTAAACCCACACCAGCTGAACACCAACACCTAAACCCACACTCAACCAAGTTGACAACTGCATGCTTCCTACAGAAAAGAGGGATATAACATACTTGATAATCGTCTTCTAAATGAGGGGTTGAATTCTAATTGAAAGTATTAATCTGCATTTTATATTCTCTCTTAAGAATATGTTTTTTCTTGCTAAAATAATTTAAGAATTTAGAGTTGAACTCGCAGACGTGGAGGTAGTCATATTAATTATATATAACGGATATAAATATACTCCTCCATGCGTGGACATGCAAAACCCTAGCTAGTTGTCCATATACATATCCATGCATGGACCGTGGCAGGAAGAACCGGTCCGATATTCGTATGGCGTGCAACGGCCGGTGGCACAGATTGCAGGCGGCGAGTCAATTCCGAAAAAATGCGCGGCGGCACTCGGTCAAATCAAATGTCACATCCCTTAACGTCTGCAATTAGTGGATTTGCTGGCGATTATTTCATGTTTAATTAATTTTAATTGGTAAGATTAATATATCATTATTTGTCTAAACTCTTCTCCAGGAAGCTTCCTGAGTCTCTGAGTACGTATTTTTCTGTTACACCAAACATACAATCATAAGCCGATCTTTGTTTTAAGCTTTCAGTTCAAAGCCCAGGTCAAAATTGTACCCTAGTCCAAATGATGCCTTACAAGTTGTGTTAGAAAATGTCATTCTCACATGGTTGGATCCATCGCCATGACTATGGTGTAGTGTAGTTAGTCATGGCGAGTATGGTGGAGTTAGTCATTGCGTATCGTGTCCGACTTTCCCACATAATGTGAACAATAGATCATGTCTGGGTTTATCCATATATATGTTCATCGTATATAAATTGAGTCTTATAATTATGCAAATTTTGAATTGTGCAATGCGTCGTGTTTAAAATAAAAATTCTAAATTTTATTAAGGCGTAAGGAAGCTTAAATTAAGACTATCTCTAACCGAATGAGAGCCAGAGGGCTCTCTTTAGCCCTATAGCCCTTCAAGAAATTATATTTTAATGAACAGTGTCATACCATATTTCATACCATCTCCAACCGAGAGGGCCAAAGGGTTATAAGTCAAACATAATTTATTATTTCAATTTAAATACTACAACTTAAATTTAAAAACTACAACTTAAATATTAAAGACTACAACATTTGGAATTTTTTATTACTTTTTAAAAAACTTTTACCCAAAAAAAAAAAATTCAAATCCAACGGCTGCCGCCATCAGCATGACGTCAGTTAGCCGTTGACATTTGAATTTTGGGCTGGCCCAGGGCTGGCTAGCTGGCTCATTTAGGGCAACCGGTTGGCCTGATTTGGTGTTAGCCTAGTGGGGCTCATGAGCCATTTGGCCAAGTTCTCGGTTGTAGACGATTTTCATGTCGTTTTGGACTATTTTCAGCCTTATGATCCTCTGATCGGATCGATTGGAGATGGCCTAAGAGAAAGAAGGGTGTTTGGTTAGGGCAAAAGCCCGGACAATGATAACACGAGTGATTTGACGGTAAAAGAAAATTGAGTGGGACGAGAAGCAAAGCTGCTGGCAATTTGCTTCAAAATATAGTGATGACCTGGTGAAAGATATACGTTCGGTTTTCAAACATGTATACTATCAAGACCATGATCATTTTACCAGACAATTTCGTGTGTGTGTGTGTGTGTATTATACTTTTTTGAATGAGAGAGAGAGGGGGTTGAATTTGCCCTGGCCTCGCATGGGGATGGTTCATTCGATAATAATTAATTAGTGCCACGACATTGACCTTTATTTTATTTTAACTAAAGTGGAAGAAATATAGAGGTAATGTCAAATTAAAATATTTTTTTAGTTATTTAAGAAAATTAAGTGCGTCCATAATTTAGTAGTAAAATAATGAATTAAGTGAAAAAAAATAAAAGAAATATGTAGGCCTGATATTAAAATAAACTAAAATAAAATTGACGTTGTCTTTATATTTAGTAGCGTAGTGAAAAAATATCATTTCATGTAAAATTTTGACATTATGTTTTAAACTAGAAAATCACCTTTTTATTAAACAGTTCACGTAATACTTTTGGCATTTCTCTAAAGATGCTCTTAGCTCAATCCAGCTATATACTTTATTTATTTATTTATAATAAGTATCGTAACGTCTCTTTTTATGGTAATTAAAAACCATTACCAAAGCCGTCCTCCTTAACCAACAGGCTTTTAAATGTGCTTTAAGGCTTTACTTGCTTATTTAATATCACTAATAAAATAATTTCTGCATTTAGTCAACTTAGTTAAGTTCAAGACAAAAACATTTCTCGTAAGCCTAAGCAGAGAAGGTGTGTAGATGTTCATCGAAAACATGAACACCGTACAAAAAGAAGGAAGAGAGAAACAATGGCAGAGCTGGTTTTATGGTGCATCTTTTCGATTTACGCCTTTGTAGCATTGCTACTCCGAGCATGAACAAATTGGAATCAAATATTACTATGAACTACTCAAGTTTTTACATGATTTTGCATATAGAACCCCCCACAAAGCTCGGATTTGTAAACGATGCGTAGCAGTCAAATCGGCTTACGATGATCTACCATGAATGCTTCCGATCGATGCAGGGTAGAAAAATGGTACCCTGCATCTTCGGTCGCATACGTGGTTCTGAGCAATGTGTCTGGTCTGGTCCTTCACAAATAGTATCTGCCTGAGGTAATTCCTAGTGGTTTCGGTTTTGAGTTTGTGTGAAAATCTCAAGTACCAGGCAAGTTGCTGCTGGTGCTAGAGAGGATGATGAAGGCACAGACAACAGAGAGTGAGAAGACAGACACCCAAGTGTTCTCTGTGTACATCTCCATTGCATCAGTGAAGTAAAAACGGGTGCGGTTTTCTGCCCAGTTCCGAAGCCGATCTGCTTCTGCTGCGTACAATGCCTTGCCCTGCAAGTTATACCAGAATCAGTTTTCGCTTGTTTGCAACTACGGATGTCAAAGAATCAATGGCACTGCACTGTTGGCATGACCATAAGTCCTAGATTATACGAACCTAAAGCATCACTAATTTAACTATTTAAGTATCTGAAGAACTCGATTTGTCACAATGCATACAAGGGCAGTAACATCGCGTATCTTACGCAACAAAAGTCAAATAATTACCTGTTCATCAAACCAGCGACCACGTCGCAGCCATGCGGTTACTAAAGCAAGTAAGATCCTCGGAGGTGTCAAGTAATTGATGGCCTTTCCTGTTCCCTTCACAACTCGCATCCGTGGAACTAAAGTTCTAGCTACTGTTTCAGGAAGCTCGCATATGAAGTTAAACATTTGTTTGTTCTTCAAAGAGGAGCCACTGCAAACAAGCAATAGACAATTTCTCAGATCCTAGACGAACAAAACCATTTTCAAAAAAGATTCGGAACTTTATATATTCAGCTCATGAGGTGAACCATCTCGTTTAACAATAAACCTAGAAAATCCATATAAATGAAACAAGACATGCATCCTGAAAATAAAAATTCATCAAGTGTACCTCAGAAGCAGATCTGTAAGAACCATGCCTGGAGATGCGGTGTGCACTCCTACTTTCGACCGCTTGCACTCCTTTAAAAGTGATGATTGAAGCTGTCTAAGACCACACTTCGTTGATCCATAGCTAAGGTTGAAGAGGTAAAATAGCATAAGTATCAACATATAATTGTCACGGATCAGAAATCACAATTGCGAAAAAATAGGTGACAGTTCAACCTCTTCCCACAAAAGAAAAGACTATTATCTATCAACAAGACAAGGTACTCACACAGCTGTCAAAGGGGTACTTGATCCCCCCGAGCCTGCTCCATCCATATTAAATATATGCCCACCTTTAGCCTGATTCATCATTATACGCATCGCTTCTCGAGTGCAAAGTATAGACCCAACCAGGTTTGTCGAGACAATCTGACATAAAATTTGAAGGTTTAAGCTAGATAGTGAACCATTTTGAAATGATTATGCATTGTCAAAATCCTGAAGAACAAATTTCTAGTCACATGAATGTGATCATGTTTTTAATACAGACTCGTGCACATGGGTGCTAGGGTGTGCCTGGAGTTAGGAAGAGAGAGAGAGAGAGAGAGAGCGTGTGTGTGCGGTCTATTGCACTCTCTTCACATAAGAACCACAACATAGAGCTATTGTTTTTGCAAATACCTGCTTAATGTCTTCGTCAGTAAACTGAAGCAAGGGTCTAAATCCTTTATTAGTTCCAGCATTGTTTATCTGTGAAAGAGGTTACAAATTAGATAGTTACAAAGTGATAAGCATCTAATCGATGGTTTCAAAAGATTACCCAAATGTCAATATGACCGAGTTCACTAACAGCAAAATTTGCCAGTTTCTGCACATCGCCGGCTTCACAAACATCACATGCTATGCCAACTACTTTTGCATGTTTCAGGTTCTTGGATAACCCGCCTGCACTGTTTATACCTTCCTTCAGGTTTTCCTCAAGCTCTCTGACAGTTGCTTGCACAGACTCGGGGCTGCCTTGACATGATTCAGTAATCAGTGGCAGTAGTACTATTTATAACACCATAACCATGGCATAAACCTGTACACAAGTTTATACACACACAAATATCATAAATTCAAAATCTAAGTATCACCTTCGAGAAGCGACAACCACACGATCTCCAGAAAGAAGAAATTCACGAGCAAGTGCTTTTCCAAGTCCCCTTGTGCTGTACCAGCCAATCAAAAGACGCAAAATACATGTAAATCATACGTTTCTGCTCTCTTGAAGCCATTATATATGAAAATATTATACAAGATCAATCTTCGTGATACTACGGAATTAAAAAGCCTTCTCCACCAGTCCCACAACTCCTTACAAAATTTATTAAGAAGAAGAGCAAGCGAGAGAGAGTATCTACCTTCCACTGATGACAACATTTTGTGGACCAGCTCGACAGTGATCCTCTAAAACCATGTTAGATCCAACCATAGTTCCGATAATAATTCCACCAAGCCAGCTATAACAAACTAGCTCATTCAAATCACTGTCTCCACCTTCAAAAAAATCCAATAAATTAGAGGTCTACATATGGAACATTACATTTCGGACAGATAATATGAAACTAAATAGTAACATGCTTCTAACCTGACAACTGAAACCCAATTGCTAGTATGACTCCTGTGCTCATCATGGTCACAATATATCTTCCGATTTGAACGGCAGCCTATTGTTAAAGACACTTACAAGCATGTCAGAATCATGATAAACAAGACAACCTTGAAACGATCTATCATTATTTGAAAGATGTCTTTCATAAATCTCACTGAAAAAAAAAAAAACAAAAAAAAAGAAGAAAGACAAAATCTTGAGGCTTAAACTTCGTAGTACAGTCTTGCTTCCCCAAAGTTCAGTGATGAAAGATAAATCTTGAGGGGTTAACTTCATTTCTCCTTTCATTTGTTGATAAGAATTTGAATAACAACCCTAACAGAACAATCATTTCGAAAAAGTTCAGTTTCCTCCTTGGATTTTCTCAGCAACCAAACAACCAAAAAAAAAAAAAAACAAGTTTATGAAAGCTTCAAGCTTCAAAATTTAAAATCTGAATCATTTTCCTCCTTGGATTTTCCCACCCAAAAAATGTTTCAAACTTCAATGGTTTAAAATCCCAAACAAGCTTTGGATTTTCTCAAAAAATAAACAAATACATGCTCCAACTAAACAAATCATAATTAATTAACTCAAAACACTGTTAATTAAACGAAAACAAAGACCAGCAAAAACATTACTCACAGATTGACAGACCTCCTCCAACTTGGCCACCGCGTTCCTGTACTCCTCCCCATCTCTAAGCCCACACCAAAACCCCCCAAAACACTAGATTTCAAAGATTTCAAAATCCCACTCCCACCTCCCTTCTTCAAATTCCTGCACTTTCTCGCACTTTCCTCCTCTCCCTCCTCCGTACCCCCTCCGTTATCCTCCCCCCTGAACGACCTGCACGGTTTCAAGGAAAACCCATTTCGCCCCGCGGGCAGCAGCCCCCCGGACCGCCGAAAACCCTGACCCGATTATCAACTCCGGGCCGGTTCCGCGGTGGTCCTTGAAGTTGAAGTGTTCCAAGCTCTGTGGGCATACGTGGAGCCTCGCAACCATGGCCATTGCAGATAACAACACAGTGGCTAAAGTGCTTCAAAATGTGGCTCCAATATCTTGAGCTCTCTTCCGAATTTTCGTCGAAAAAGCTCTCTACCGAATTTTCGGTTGCAAAAATCATTAAATTAATTTAATCTAATTTGTTTAAAAGACTGATGGAAAACTTACGTTAAATAATAAAATTTAAATTTAAAATTTGGGATGTTGGGTGACGGAAATTGTCTTGATTGCGGAGGAAGATATTATTCGCGGGAGATTTAGGGGGAGGAGAGTGGCAGCGTGCGGGCAAGGAGGTGCGTGATGACCACAAGTTAGGGGAACCTCATCTGCCGAGTGATTGGGTGACACGTGTCGTTGTGGGTCTGTGTCATCGTGTCGCTTTTGCGTTGGCTAGATGGGAAGATCAAAGACGAGTCTTGTGAAACACGGCTCTGATTGAGTGGGTCTTGTGAAACACGGCTCTGATTGAGTGGTGTAATGGCAACTGCTGACCGTTGGATTAGCGAGGGCAGTTTAACACATCATCGATTCGGGCCCAAGTTTGATATTGAAGACAGATTAGGCGCAACCATTTGCAGTTATGTTGGATTGAGCCAAACCATGAATCGTTCTTATTTAAACTTTCTTCTTTCGATCCAGCCCTAAGCTTTTCCGATGGCCAATTTCTTACCTTTAGAAAAAAATTGATGTTATTAACGGGATAAGGAGAATTCAAAACTATTAGAATAATTTAAGAAATGAGGAATTTTAAATCCGGAATGCATGAGTGTAAACCTAACACCATATTTATTAAGATATTACACCACAACCACTAATTTTTTACCCTCTTCATTATTAATTTTTCTTGTGTTTATACTGTATGTTGCTAAAAATTGAAGTGCAGTAATATGGATGAGCCACATGTTAATGTAAGTCCGCCACGCACTCACCTCTCAAGTACATGAATTACACAAGGCTAAATTGATACACATAAATATTTGATAAAATTCCTACCTTCTCCAATGATAGCCTAAACCCGAGAATGTTAGTGAATCTTTTCAAATGCATGTTCTAGATATATGATCTTTGTTTTTAAAAATTTAAGAAATAGCTTTTTGTCCTTTGATTGGAGTAATTAGTGAGCAATAAAAGTTAAATCGTGAAAATAAAATTTTCAAAACGATTGTTCAAACATAATCACAAAAACTAAAAGGACTTTAATTCATCAGATAAAAACTATCTTTCTCTTTCCGTAAAATATTTGACTTAAAGGAAACTTTGTCCAAACTACAAAAGCATAGATTAAGGTTTAGCCTATAAAAATGATTCCTTTTAGGAAAAACCTATAGAAACCTAGATGAAAAATGGAGCTGCTAGGGATTACCTTTGAGGATTTAAGAAAAAGTGCTAAAAGTGTAAAAAGCCAAAAAAATAAACGCGCATACTTCTTTCGTCCAAAAAAATAAAATAAACGCGCATGCCTTGTTTGACGCCTCCAAAATCTATCTCCCTCTAAAACCTCTCTCCCCGGTTTTTTCTCAATTCATTTTCGACCATCTTTCTTTTGTCTGTTGTCTGAGAAGGGGAGAGAGAGAGAGTTAGCAAGAACCCACAAGTATACAGGGGGGAAGGAAGGATGCAGAGGCACCCAGATCAAAGGTCGAGATCCGCCAAGCTCACCACCATCCACGGCTTCGCTCAGTCCGGCGACCTTCTTGGCTTCCAGAAGCTGCTTCGGGAAACCCCATCTCTTCTCAACGAAAAAAATGCCGTTGTAAGATATCCTTCTCTTGTAAATTTGAATTCACGAAATGGGGTTTTTCAATAATTCGATTTCGTGTCGAAAGCTGACGTCTTTGAAATTCTGGGTGCATTTTGTTTGATGGGTTTTGGAATTTGGAATACTTGCCAATTGGGTTGTGCAAATTCAACCCGTTTGATCATGTTTCTTTACCACTTTAATGTAGGATTTGGCTTCTTTGATGGTTAATGTACTATATTTTCTTGTATTTATAGTTGTATGCGGATGTCGGTGCATAAAGGAAGGGAAGTATTGATCTTTTTCTTGGTAAATATATTAGTGGTAGAGCCTGTAACATGGAATGTAGTTGTGGATTATGTACCGTTTGATGTTTTGGGTGGATTGAAGAGAGGCATTGAGCTGGATCTAAGTGTGTTAAACTGTTCGGTGACGGATAAGTCAGTTTCTTTTCAGGGTTGTCATTACTGGTAGATGAGCATTTTCCCTACTGGGTTAAGTTAATTGACTTTCATTTCTAAATGGTCTGTGTTGCTAAATTGAAGATCCGATACCATACCGTATTTAGTTTTTTGTACGCATATACTTTTCTTTGGCCAGTTCATAAACCTTAGTTTTTATAACTACAGAAAGGGTAGTTCAAGAAAGGAATAAAGAAATGTGAGATTAGGAGGTTTTCTTTGAAGTTTTGGTTAGTAAAACGGCAGGGCATTTCTTTTATCATTTGGTGATAATTATGTAGGATAGTATCACTACCATTGGATGTGAACATCAAGTAAGGTTATCTTATCCTCTAATGAATCCTTTGCTTCCCTGAATGCAGATGCAACAAACTCCACTTCATGTTTCTGCTGGTTACAACAGGGGCGACATAGTTAAATTCCTTCTTGATTGGCAAGGGCCGGGTGAAGTTGAGTTGGAAGCCAAGAACATGGTAGGTCTCATGTCTGAATTTTGTATCACCTCAATTGTTTCGAAACTCAATTTTGAAACTGAATTTGTTGTCTTATAATAGATTTCTTATTTGATTTTGGGTGTTAATAACATGTTGAGCTTTGCAGTACGGAGAAACACCATTGCACATGGCAGCAAAGAATGGATGCAATGATGCTGCACGGTTGCTTCTTGTCCATGGTGCTTTTATCGAAGCCAAGGCAAATGTAAGTTTTGTTTCACCCAAGTCAGTTTCTGTTGAGTTTTGGATTTCTAACCATTGTGTCAAAGTGCTACTCATGTTTAAAAAGTCTCTTCCTCTGTCCATGCAGAATGGAATGACACCACTACACCTTGCTGTGTGGTACTCACTTACAGCTGAAGAGTTCTCAACTGTCAAAACATTACTAGAGTACAATGCTGATTGCAGTGCTAAGGACGATGTATTGCTCATTTCATTACTTGCAACATTCATTTTACTCAAGGATAACATCTAAGTATATGCTAATGCTGTCGCCTTTGAATTGTAGGAGGGCATGACTCCTATACATCACTTATCTAAGGGCCGTGCAAATGAAAAGTTGCGGGAACTATTACAATGGCACTATGAAGAGCAGAGGAGAAAAAAAGCAATTGAAGCATGCAGTGAAACTAAAGCTAAGATGGATGAACTTGAAAGTGAGTTATCAAATATTGTTGGTTTGCATGAGCTCAAGGTACAACTACGGAAATGGGCAAGGGGATGCTTTTGGATGAGAGGCGTAAGGCCCTTGGGCTGAAAGTTGGTGTGAGGAGACCGCCTCATATGGCTTTTCTTGGAAATCCTGGAACTGGTAAGTGATGATTGGATCATGAAACCTATTTCTTTAAAGACAAATTGTAATATACCACTAGCATTTTCATAAGCATAAAAAGAAAAAAAAGAGGAATATGCTTTGTTGGGTTACATCTTTGTAGTATAATTATGATAGATATGGTTATTGCTATCAACAGGTAAGACCATGGTAGCTCGAATTCTTGGAAGATTACTCCATATGGTAGGAATTCTACCTACTGATAAAGTAACAGAAGTACAGAGGACCGATTTGGTTGGGGAATTCGTTGGTCACACTGGACCCAAAACTAGGAGGAAGGTAAGACAATGATCATTTTGGAACTATTTATGTTCTAATTTCACACCTCTTGGACGTGAGTGCTCTTCTGTGACACCCTAATTGTAATATTCTGCACAGATTAAAGACGCAGAGGGAGGAATCCTTTTTGTAGATGAAGCTTATCGACTAATACCCATGCAGAAGGCAGACGATAAAGACTATGGCTTGGAAGCATTGGAAGAGATCATGTCTGTCATGGATAGTGGAAAAATCGTAGTCATATTTGCAGGATATAGCGAACCAATGAAACGTGTAATTGCTTCAAATGAAGGTTTCTGTCGACGTGTGACCAAGTTTTTCAATTTTAGTGACTTCACTTCAGAAGACCTAGCAAAGATCCTCCACATCAAGATGCATAATCAGACAGAGGAGAGCTTGTTGTATGGATTTCAGTTACACTCTTCGTGCAGTATAGAAGCTGTTGCAGATCTGATTCGAAGAGAGACAACAGAAAAGCAGTGCAAGGAGATGAATGGAGGTTTAGTGGATACGATGTTAGTGAATGCTAGAGAGAGTTTGGATCTTAGGCTCGATTTTGATTGTATAGATACAGAAGAACTTAGAACAATCACCCTAGAGGATTTACAAGCAGGCCTTCGGGTTTTGTCACAGTGAGGCAGATGTGGCGGAAATTTTGAAATAAACAAAAGGAAACGATCATGTAATCATAAGCATGCAGAGAAAGCTTTGCAGGTGTACCTCAGATTGATGTGAAATATTCGTTTCTCCAGCTCTCGTTCAATATCTACGCGTGGTCACGATGTTCGGCTGCGGTTTACTGCTGGAGATATAGTGGTTTTCAGGATATTCAGAAATTATTTGATTCATTGTTGGCAGGTATTGGTGTAATTGACATTTTCTCTGTGATGGTAGAAAATCCGTTGTTAAAAAACTTTCAAATTTCAATTGCTTGTTTAAAGTTAATGAGGAAAGAGATACATCTTTCACTTACTCGCCCCCTTTATGGAGGAATATTTTTGCTCGTCACCCTTAAGTGATGATAATGCTCAGCATCATATTTATTTCCGTTAGATAAGTTTCATCACGTGTGATGATAATGCTCACCATTCTATTTATCATCGTTAGATGAATTTAAATTTTGAGATATGTGTAGAGGATTAACACAAATCTTAAAATTTAAACTCATTCAAGATGATAAATAGGGTGATGAGTATTACTACCATTTATGGATATAGCAATACTTTCATATTAATTTTTAATTATAATTATCTTAAACTTAAAATGGTGATTGGAATTTTTTGTGGGTCCAAATTTTGGGTTTTTTTCTTCTTCATATTTTCCAAAAAAAACCGAGGAGGTTCAACCACCGCCCTTTTGCTTTGGCCCATAGATTCACTCCCTCGACAAACTCCATTTCCTCGGTGTTTTGTTTATCCAAACACCCCCCAATTCTCTCTCTATCTAGAGAGAGAAAGCATGGTCTCAGCTTCTCTCTCAATTCTCTCCTCCTCCTCCTCGTTTCCCTCCAACTCCGCCACTCACTCCGATGCTTCCTCCACCTCTACCACCTTCAAGGCCAGGCCTTTCGAATCCTCCAAACGTACCCTCAGATTCCCCAAATCCTCAAGGCTCCTTCCTTTCAAGGTCTTCGGCTCTTCCTCTGTCAGCCCAATTGAGGACGGCTCCGCGGAGCAGTTTTTGCAGACCAATTCGATTGCGGATTTCATGAGGTTCAAAAGGGGTGACGATGGCGGCACCGGGGAGCTGCAGACGGCGGTTGTCAGCTACAAAAAGCGGTTCCCTTGGTCGCTTTTGAGGCCGTTTCTTCAGGTATTGTGTGTAAAGTTGGATTCTTTGAGTTGGGTTCTTTTCTTTTGTAAGTGGGCTTGGTTTGTAACTTTGAGTTTGTTCTTCTTTGGTGTTGTAGGTTGATTTGGTTTCGACAATTCACATCGCGGATAGAGAGTATGTATCTTCGAACAATCGTTGTGATTTTTATTGCTTCTTCGTTTTTAGTAGTTTTGCAGTTAGCAGAATTGTTTGATTGTTAGTGAAATATATGAACTCGGAAGCTACAGCGTTATTAGTTCTAAAATATCGATCAAGTGGAAAAGTTGTTGCTCAAACATCGTGCGCGATTTGAGCTAAATAAATGCAATGCTAGTTGTTTGAGAGATGAATTTGGGAAGGGTAGCTTTCATAAAAGTTTTATACGTAACGCTTTCAGGAAAAAGTATTGTACTTTGGATATTAGAGTGCTAATGAATGCATCACAAGAGTGCAAGAGACTTTTAGAAATGGTGCTAGGAAACTGTCTCAACCAAATTTTATTTAATTTCCAGGTACTTTGAGACCCTCCAAAAGGAACTTGAGTCCTATGATTGCGTCCTGTATGAGATGGTGACTAGCCGGGAGAGTTTAGAGAACAGAAGATTCCTTGCTGCCACAAAAAGGCTAAAAGCCAAGGGCTCCCGCTCAAGAGGATTTAACATCCTGGGATGCATTCAGCGACAGATGGCGCGAGTTCTGACGCTTGATTTCCAATTAGACTGTCTTGATTACGAGTCTGAGAATTGGTACCATGCAGATCTCGACTTCGAGACCTTCAAATTGCTTCAGGTATGTATCTTCTCTCTCCTTTTTGGAGGCTGTAAAATGCTTGAGGATCATTGGTGCATCTAATGCCATGGTCATTTCTTTCAGGAAGAAAAGGGTGAAAGCTTCTTCACTTTTGCGAGAGAGATGACTGTTAGATCCACGAAAGCCATGATTCAAACTGTTTCAATTCCAGAAGGCCTTGGTCCCTGGAGATCTAAGCTTTTGTGGGCCGCGCGTGTGCTTCCGATGCCACTTGTTGGCCTTCTCATTATCGGAGGTGTCTGTGCAGACACGGGCAGTCAGGAGTCGGAATTTCCAGAACTAGAAGCCTTGTCTAGGCTTGACTTTGGTGCTGCGATGAAGGTCTTCTTGGCCAAGAGACTAACATCTGAGTAAGTATTTTCCATTAGTTTCGCTTTCTGTCACTTCGTCTGTATGTACAGACTTTCATAACTGATCAAACCAATTGTCAATTGGGTTTTTAATCTCAAAGGGTACTGTGAATTGGTGCTAAATTTTGAATAGGAAAGTTGTTAGCGTGCAGGAAACTCAAAACTAACCCGCATGTATTACTTGGTTAAGATTCACGCAGGCTACAGCCGATGTAGAAGAGAGCTCTGTGATTATTGGTGAGAGAAACAGAGCTGCCATAGATGCTCTCCAAAAAGCAATCGACAGCGGGAACAACAAGATTGCAATACTATACGGAGGGGGTCACATGCCAGACCTGGGGAGACGATTGCAAGAGTTGGAGCTCATCCCTACTAAGGCACAATGGATTTCCGCGTGGTCCATAAGGAAGCAGGATCTGGAGAGCAGTTCCCTTCCATTTCTGAAGAAGATGGCGGAACTATCAGGTTGGCCTTTGAACCGCTACCAGACTTTGGCATTGCTCATATTTTCCACGGTACTCGCACTGGATCTATGGTTTTGGGAGCTCTTTTTTGGCACCGCTGTGAACTGGACGTACCAACTTGCTTCACAAGTTACTGAATATATTGACGGTGCAGGGATGAACTTGTAGAAATAGTCTCCGAATCCCATTGCCCTGATTCTTTATAATTTATATGTAAATACAGTAAAAATCTCTGATTGATATACTGTACTGTTTGGCCAGGCCATTACTGTATGTAAAGAGCAAACCTCAGACTGGCCAACTCCAACCAATTTTAATGGAAATTAAGAACAGTTGTACCTCATTTGCTGTAATTCTTTCGGTTTCGGTCGCGGTTTCAGGTTCACAGTTTCAAGCGCACAAAAAACCATTCTAACCAACCATATCCATTGTTCTTAGTGGATTACGAAAACTTTCAAACCAGAACTATTGCTGAAAGTAAACACAAAGATCTAACTTATCATTCATAGCCAAAACTCAGATAGGAAGCTCATGATCTACTTAAAACGACGAAGACGACACGGAGGCTCTCTTCTTTATTGGAGCAGCCTCAGTAACCTGTGATTCACAAAAAACAACAACAAAGCCTTTTCCCACTAAGTGGGTCAACTATATGAATCCTAGAACGTCATTGCGTTTGGTTCTATGTCATGTCTTCTGTTTTCCAAGTACTAAGTCATTTCTTAGAGTCTCTTCCAAAGTCTTCCTAGGTCTTCCTTTACCCCTTCGGCCCTGGACCTCTCTCCTGTAGTTGCATTTTCTAACTAGAGCGTCAGTAGGCCTTCGTTGCACATGACCAAACCGCCGTAATCGATTTTCTCTCATCTTTCCTTCAATTTTGGCTACTCCTACTTTACCTCAGATATCCTCGTTCCTAATCTTATCCTTTCTCATGTGCCCACACATCCAACGAAGCATCCTCATCTCTGCTACAACCATTTTATGTACGTGTTGATGCTTCACAGCCCAACATTCCTTGCCGTACATCATCGCTGGCCTTATTGCCATCCTATAAAATTTTCCCTTAAGTTTCAGTGGCATACGATGGTCACACAACATGCTGGATACACTCTTCCACTTCATCTGGTTGAGGTCTCCATCAAATTCTCTGTTCTTTTGCAAGATAGATCCTAGGTAGCAAAAGCAGTCGCTCTTTGATACTTCTTGGTCTCCTATCCTCACCCCTAACTCATTTGGACCTCCATTTACACTGAACTTGCACTCCATATATTCTATATTTGACCGACTTAGGCGAAGACCTTTAAATTCCAACACTTCTCTCCAAAGTTTAAGTTTTGCATTTACCCCTTCTTGAGTTTCATCTATCAACACTATATCGTCTGCGAAAAGCATACACCAAGGAATATCATCTAAAATATGCCCCGTTAACTCATACATTACCAATGCAAAAAGGTAAGGTCTTAAAGATGAGTCTTAATGTAACCCCACATGCGATTCACACACCATGGAAAAATTATTAAACTGTAAAATCACGACCACAATCATATAAAATTAAAAATTCTCGTTGTAGGATGTCCGTTTTTATTAAGGAGATGGATTGTCTACCCTCCCATTTTCATACTCTCCCCATACCCTCCTGTGATGTGTGATCACGGTTAAGCCACATCAACATTTATATTAATTTTTTATAGAAATAATAAAACAAAAAGTAATAGGAATACAAAATGTTAACGTGTCTTAACCGTAACCATACAAACAGAAAAGGGTATGGGAAGAATATGGAAATAGAAGGGTAGATAATCCACCTCCTTTTATTGAAGGACTCACATGACATTATAGCAGGTCAGTACGTTTTGTTTTCAGGGTAAATATTGTAATGGGCTTTGAAAAGTGTTTGGTTTCATACCTTCTCTGAAGTTAAACTTGAATCTAACGGCAAAATGGCGAATGTACCTCATCCCACCAGTCCCTGTAGTCTTCCTCCGAATCGCCTTCTCGCTCTAATTATCTTTTTTTTTTTTTTGTTTTTTCACACAACAACTAGCAAAAATCAAAACCAAATTATAAAGAAATTAATCCTTCAACTTTGAAATGGATTGAAACTTTTAGCTGATTAGTGGAGACAAAGAAGGAAGACGACATTTTTGGATCCGGCTGGAAGGGAAGCCGCAGGAGGCGCAGCGGCTCTTCTGGAGGTGAAAGGTCCGCCGCCCGCACCGCACGCACAGCGTGTGGGTCTTGTTCCTTCTCTTCCCGAAGCTCGCCGTGCCTTTGCTCTGTTTTGTTCCACAGAAAAACAGAGGAAAATCAAACAAAGTACATCGAAAAGTTTCAATATTTATGGATAACAAAATAATATTTATACGTAATATCAAATTAGTAACAGATAAACTCACCATTTTTGGTAATTTGGAGAATTTTGAAGCTTATCGCTGTGGGAGGCTGAGTTATGGAGTTTTGTGCTTCACAGTTCATAGCTTGGCGGTGAAGTTCGGTTTCTTATGCTTTGAATTTTTGTTTACGAAAATGCCCTCAC